TTGTGGATTGTAACAAACAGGCTGGTTTGTTACCCACAACTGCACTAAGCACCTTCACCCTTCACTAGAGCACTTTAAAACACTGCACTTTCATAGCACACAGCACTTTTAACATATTTGCACATGGCAAAATAAATTGCACACAATTGGTTTTAAAAAAATATTTATTGTCTTTCCTTTTACCATTTTTTAAAATCCTGAGGCACAGTAGCACTTTAATTGCAAGCTGCTTGTCCCTGGAGGAAAAGGAGACAATAACCAATTACATTTTAAATTGAAGTAGTGCAATATAGGGTGCAATATCTGTTTTTGAAATGTTTTAAGTGTTGATGTGTATAGTGTATTTTATTGTGTTTTAATGAATGGTGTGGATCTGCTTTTACTTACCTCCCTTTTTATCTTCTGTCCAGGTGCGAAAAGAGTCCCCCAGACACGAGCTCCCTCTTTTAAGTTCCGGACTGGACCATGTGCATTATTTTGTACAGGGGTTTTAGGTTAGGTGTTTTATTGGTTTATGGGTTTTAACATTTAATTGGTGTATGGTTTTAGGGGTTTTATGTTTATAGTTTGCAGTTTTAATAGTTATCTGGGTTTTGGGTTGTTTTATGGAAGTTTAGGTTATGATTTTAAGATAATGATAATTTTTACCATCCCTGTTTTAGCATACTAGTTTTATCCAATCAGTAGGACCAGCATAAAAGGCGCCTTCAAAGATCAGTCTGGGTTCTGCTGCTGGAGAATAAACTGCTGTCTGCCTCCATTTTGCACCCTGCACTTTTGTATCATTGGAAAACAAAAGTAAACCGTGGACCACAACTACCTGTCTGTGTCTGCATTTATTTTTTATTTTTTTAGCCTTACTCACTGAACCCCAAGCAGCTCATGGTCAACCTACGTCACGTGGATCAATAAAGTTTGTTTAAGTTCAAGCCTAAATTTTAGCCTGAGACCTGAACATCAGTTCCATATGCAGTTTAATGTTGAGCTGAAATATTGAAATTAAATGTTGTAACTGCACTGTGCTGTTAAAAACAAATAAAACATACCAGTAATAATAACCAATAATCTGTATTTATAATATTGTATTGAACTGTGCAAATCATATTGACCTCACTGTTAAAGGTCCTATATTGCGCAAGATTGACTTCTTGTGAGCTTTAAGCCATTGTTACCCAAAGACTGGGTCACAAGAAATTGTTTTTTGGGGTCGCCTTGTCACGATCTGCATGTAGGTCTGATATATAGTTCTGACACATGAGAGCACAAGTGAATCTCCTGTCCACAGTAGGGCCAGTGTTTCTATGCTTATTCCTTTCACTACTACATATATGTGTAAACTGGGATTTTCTGTGCTCACAAAAATAAATCCAAAGCACAGAAACAGACTGAATGCTGCGCCTGATCTGCTGCTGTGTTCTCCCCCTGCACCCCGGACTGGAACGAGCTACAAAAACACAGACAGGCCCACCTATCTCATTAGAAATGTTAACATGTTGACATGTTTTGTATAATTTCTAATATTTTTGGAATTATTTTATTGACCACTTTGTTCCAATATTGCTGGTTCAATTGAATTTTGAAAAGAAAAAGAAAAGGGCTACATTTAATGTCCAAATATGTGACATATGGATCCTTTTATTGCTGGTTCATTGTTTAAAACTTGAGCAATACTAATTGTTCAGAGAGACATGATCACTCAGTCAACAATAAAATATCCTCATTAATGTTCAATAATGGTCAAATCCACCTTTATTTTGTAATTTACGAAAAATGTGTAGTGATTTGGGTCGCAAAAGTTTGTGACTTTTAAAATATGAGTCCCCAGAAAAAAAGTTTGGGAAACAAAACATCCCTGGAGTTGTGTTTTGTTTCATTCACAGATGTTTGAGTCACCCTTTATCATTAGTCTGTCTACATCCCCAAAGCTCAAAATGCTCTGTTCCACCTCGTGATGTCATTTAGTGGTCGTTGTTGTTACCTTTTACCTTTTGTTCAGTAGAAACTGTCAATTCCACAGCTGAATATGCACAGTTTGTGTGTTAAACACGTGTGAATGAAACAAAACACAACTCCAAATCTGTTTGTGATGAGGAAATCACATTAACATAGATCAGAAAATAGCGTAATATGTCTCCTTTAAGAATAGGGTTTTAGGCAGGTGCTTGAACACATCCAACAGTACATGAGCATTCCTACAGAGCTAATTGACCTCGCAGTGGCAGTAATGTGTCTGGGGTGTGTGCGGGTGGGCGGGGGGCATCAAAGTGGCAGGATCAGCGTAGATTCAACCAGCAGTCCTGCCGTGGGGGTCTGGAGCCGTGGCGTCTCACCCCCTAATGAGAGGCCATGACACGGAGACATCCACACACAGTTTGACCCCCAGAGGACCAGCTGGAAAAGAGAGTCCCACATGCCTTTCCCCTCTACCCCCAACCCTCCCTCCACCTACCAGGGGCGTAGCCAGTGCAGCTAAGGAAATGGGTCTGGAGACAATATTTGCTACCAGTATGTTTATCCTAATGAGACAAAAAAAAAAAAAAAAAAAAAAAAAGGTATTAAATAATCATCCAAACAGAAAGGGATAACAGACCAATAACAGCCTCCCTCAGCCACAAGTTTACCAATATAGGTCAAATATTCATGGATTTCAGCTTTCTGTTATATGAAACACCATGATGACTTTCAGTCACTATGACAACCCAATTTCTCATCCATGGTCTTAAAGTATATATCTGAATTTTGGTTGTACAATGAATAAAATGTAATAATAATAATAATGCCTTACACTTCCATAATCTGTACCATCGACTCCTCCAACCACCACCAAACACTCACACTCTCATGGTCTTTAGAGGATTTTTTTAATGGTAACAATTAAAAGTCTGAATTGTTTATTTTCAGAAAATTAATATTGATAGATACAATTTTATTTTGTCTGAAAGAGAATGAAGTATCAAAATTGTGATTGCCCATTCCTAGGGAAGTAAGGATACCCACATCTCTCAGGACGATACTTTCACGGTATACATCTCATGGTACAATATTTATTGCCATATTTTGTGAAGGCTAACAAAATTGTTAATATGCTACTTTTTCCTTTTAAAATGCCTTGACAAGACTTTGGTTCTGTCATAATCAACAATTAAGATTTAAAAGTATTTATAACAGTTAAGGCACTGAAATGGAGTAAAGGATCATCGTCTATGTAGTTCCCTCAGTTTTTTTTTTGCTATATTGCTTCACTATAACTATATCACAATATTTCAGTTATTGTTACATCCCTACCCATTCTTAATTTGAAAAACCAAACATTTTATCTGCAGATCCCATTGTGACAAACTGCACTTGTGGCCCTCAGTTTGTGTGACACAATTCAAACCCCCTCCCAGTTTTACCTCTGTCTCTCCCCTCCCTAAGCTCCACACATTCCAGGGACCGGGATAGCTCACAGTCATCACCAGATTGGTTTTGTCTCCACTCCCAAATATACCTTAATCCAGAGGAGGGACACACAGCCCGCAGCAGACAAAAACAATGCACAAAAACACAAACAAGCAAGGGCATTAATTTGGGATATGATTTGGGAATTTGGGATGATAGCATTTGGCCCACTGATCCTGTTTGCAGTTTTGCTGGTCATAGTGGACAGCATGAAGAAAATGTAAAATTATTCCTAAAATTCGCAACCAACCACCCAAAATCCTATTAAATGGTTGAGTGTAAAACAAACTATTGCATAATTAGATCAAACCTATGCGAATGCATTTGATTTAACTCCTGTAATTAATAAAATATAAACATTGGTAAACTGAGAGATAAGATCTCCTTCCTTTTTGGATAATGTCTGGCACAATCTGCTTTTATTATTTCTCCAAATAGACTTATGGGACAACCAAATGCATCTTTTGGAGGCTATACTGAGGCTTCTGTGATTATTATAACATTTGTTTTAAAAAAAGAAAAGAAAAATCCTCCGATAGAAAAATCCAAAAATGTTCAATCAGATCCTTTAGTAAGAAGGCTCAGAACATCCCTGATTGAAACAGCAACATTACATTAGTAGAATGGTGTGCTGTCATCTGAAACTCAAATGTAAAAATAAGGCTTTAAACTCTACAGCAACCTTTGTATTTGATAAGAGGCATAGTGGGGGCCGTTGAGTCAGAAAGGCAAGTGCAGCACCCGCGGGGGGAGGAAGGGGGTGTCATAGAGTCGAGAGAAGAGCCACCTTGCAACAGCTGGTCCCAATTATCCATGGAGGGACTGACGAGTGTACAGCCCCATGTGTGTATGTATGCAAGAGTGAAGCATCACAGGGGAGGGCTGAGACCACTGGCGCCATGAAGGGAGCAACAGGTCAGGGAGGATGAAGATTATAAAAATACAAGCAGCAGTTGGCCTTGGTCAGGCTGCTGCAGTGTGTGTGTGGTGTTCAATAATCCAGTTAGTATGCACCCTCAGATCATAGAGGCCATGTTAGTATACATCCTTTTATGACGACAATTGGTCATTAATAAAATATTGTAATGGAAACAATTACTGCATTATTCAAAAAAAAGTGACGTTCCAATATAGATATAGAACATAATATAGTAATCATGCTTGTGCTTGTACGTAGATTAGGCCTGATATGAAATGAACAAAAAAATTTAAAAATCCACCAACTAAAAACAATCTAAATTGAAGAAGGGTGAAACTGCTAATTAATTTAGTTTTTAATCTAGTCCAACTGTTCGTCAAAGGTCCAAGAATTAAACACGTGTATGGCTCCACCTGGTGGTGATACATGTCCTCACAGGAAATGTAAATAGCGTTACCTCTCATCAGCCAAAAGCTTTATCATTTTAAATTTTCAAGATTGATTGAGTAAAAATGCTTGATTCAATACTTCAAAGTGGCATGTCCCCCCCATTTGCTCTGCACTTACTGATATAAACAAAACTTAAATGGTGTATGGCGCACCCTTGTGATGGAACCCATTAAGTACAAAGACACACAAATAAGAGAATAGTTTGTGTATTTTCAAATATGTAGATACAAGAATGCATCACCCAAACAGTCATAGTATGAAATACGGCTTAAAATACAAACTATGTATATGTATATGTATATTTTTTTTAACAAATCAGGTAAATGTTCATATTGTGCTGCAGATGTTAAAGTTACATTTTTCATAATACGTCTCTTGGTAGAAAAATATTTTAGGTAATAAATAATGGACCACCCTTTAATCAAACACGCCAGATAAACCTAAAATAAATACAAAAAAAACTAACCCCAAAAGTATCAAAGTAAAAAATCTCAGTCTTTAACATTCATTGTAGCACTCAAAATTTTCTATACACTGACCTGATGTAAATATTGCATTAAAGTCCATAATAATGTTATTGAACAAAAATAAAAACATGCCAAACAATTCTGGAAATAAAACCTAATAGAGAAATAAAAAAAATTGTAGACCATTTGTGTAAACTTGAATATTCGCCAACATTCTAAAATGTCCCATCTTTTATAAAGCCTTTTTGCATACAAAATACTTTTGGGATCTGTAACTGAGGCCTTCTTACTTGAAAAGCTGAACTTTGGCTCTTCCATTGAGATGGCTGTAGCTCGTGCTGCTCTCCGCACACTCTTCTCCTTCATTGTTGTTCGACCAGCTGGCCTTTAACGGAGTGAGCTCTGGTGCAATTATGTCTCCATCCTATGTAAAAAAAAAAAAAAAAAAAAAAAAGATTACAGTCTGCAACTGAGGGAAACATTACTGAAAACAAAAGGCTTGTCATCTACTATCAAAAACATTGATAAATATAGCTACTGCGGTTCTCTCCACAACGAGCACATTTCCAAAATAAATAAGAAATGGGCAGAGTAAAATTTCAGGGCAATCCAAAATGAATACAGCTATATCTTTAGCATTATTCTCTTCTATTTCCATCTTAACTATTAAAAACTATACATAAATCTTGTCAAACTGGGAATGATACATGGACATTTAGAAAAACCTGTGTTGATTCTACTCCTGTAAAAAAAAACTAGACATACGTAGATTACCACAATATATAAATAAATGAGATGTGTTACCTGAGGTTTTGAGAAGTTCTTGTCCATGCACCATTGAACAAAGTGCTTTTTGGCTGCCTCCACACTCTTTTCGTCTGTCTTTTTGCAGTAAACTCTAATCAACTGTTCAGCAAAACGCTCCGGGAGAAGTTTTGACACCTGTCAAGAGGCAAATGTATTTTATGACAAGGGCACTTTAAAGATGTCCAAAAGGATAATAGAAACTTCATCTGACCTGGTTTTTGCGTATTTGGATGGCTGTAGTAAGGTCATTTTTGCAATAGAATCGAACATTATTTATTGGATTCTTCTCCTTCATCCCATAATCCATGTGGATAACCTGAATCAATAAAAAAAAAAATATTTCAGAACTGAATTCTGATCATCTAGATTTGACAAATTGCTTGTTCTCCACTACATCTTTGATGGAAGATCATTTGATACTTACATTGACCACAAAGTCCTCAGGTTGAAGCTTGGCATCCTCAGAGCCCTGAGGAACAGACTGAGCCAAATCTGCTTCCCAGCTGTGAATTATTTCCTAAAACCCCCCCCCAAAAAAAAACAACAACACTGAGACCTTAGTCAGGAACAGAGTTGATCAGTATTAATAAAAATAATAAGTTGCATGATCTGGAAGAAATTCCTGTGAAAAGTTTCAAAATAAACTCATTTGCTTACCTGAGTAACAGTAACAGGTTTTTCTGGTTGAGTTTGACCCAAGCACTTGTAAAGACGTCGACAAACAATATTGCGTAGAATCTGTCTAGCGTCAGCAAGTTCTTTAGATGAGGAATTGAGAATTTGTTCAAACACATGGTCTACAAAACAAAACACAATTTAAACATTTCAGTGACCATATTATACTTGTCATCTGACACTCAAATTTGCATTCCAAAAAGTGTGTTTAGTTTATTTGGATTGTAAATCCATCAGCTATTGGCATCGAGGCCAAACCTCCTTGTCAAAGCCTGATCTCATCAAATCTCAGAAGCTAAGCAAGGCCTGGCCTGGTTAGTACTTGGATGGGATTCATTGAAAGCGAATATCACTAAGCCAGTAGTTCTCAAACTGATGCATTAATACTATTGACACATTAAACAAACAGGTTCTTGCAGGTCAGGTCTTGCAAGTGCAAACTGTAGGAAGTAATAGTTATAATCCTGCTTGGTCCTTGTACACCATTTTCATTGTTAAATTCTTGTCAAGTCTTGTTTTTTTTTTAGCAAATACCAAATACCTTTTTTAATCTGCCATGTTTGTAATTTTTTTTGTGTATGTATAAACTACAAGTCATTAAAACAAATTGTCAACCATTGCATTCCAGAGATCTTCATAAATGTCACATGACTTTGGCAAAGACCTTCTGTGCTTGCCAAAACCTAACAAAAAATTCTCTAAATCTAACAAAACCATGTTTATTCACCACTATTAAAAAAAAAGTACTGGGTGTAACTCTATTGCCGAGTTGCTACATTTTTAAAAACACGCTTGCACAGACCCGTTAGTTTGGTGTAAGCCTCCATGTCGTCTATGGCTGTGGACAAAGTGAACATACGCCCCCCTGAGCCTTCAATCTTGATATGTTTATCTGCTTTTAAAAATGCCTCTGTGACCCTACCAGATTAAAAAAAAAAAAAAAAAAAAAAAACACAGTTAGCACCATTTAACAAGATTTGCAAGTAATAAAAATGTTAGGCTCACATAGTTTCAATGATGTTCCCGACTTTGTGTTGGTAAGCTCGTCTATGGAGGCAATTTCTGGTGTGGAACATGTCATACAGATTCCCCACTTCCTATTTAAAAGAAAGGACAGTACATGAACAAGAATTCACCTTAAATTTTACCATTTATAAAGTGACAAAAAACTGTATATAAATATATGAACTGAAGAATTAGAGGCAAAGAAGAGTTTAGACTGTTCTTAGAGTTCCTAAGAATTTCAGTGGTGCTAGAGATCTACTGGCTTTAATCAAAGAAAAAAAAGAACTGTACCTTGTCTCTAGTGCAAATGTTCTTTTGTCCATCTACTTCACATACTCGTGCAAACTTAAGAAAACGGCGATAGTCAAAATTGTTTTGAATGCCCAAGTGGTAGCAGTCCCTATAAAAGATAAATAAAAAAGTTAAATTATGCAGAAAAAAACTAAACACTACATAAAACTTTAAGCAGTTTTCTCACCTGGCAAAGTAGTCCCACTTATCCACATCAATGCCATTTCTCTTGTTGGCCACAACTTCATACAGGAAGGATTTGTCTTGTGTTCGACCTTTGTAGGGCCACTGTGAAAGTAGAAGAACCTTCATGTAGCCTGCACTTATTGTACTAATTGTGGTAATTGTAGTAATAGCTAGTTTGATGTCACTCATAGTGTTCGGCTCCACTCAAATGAAGCTTGCGGTTACATTGGTGAATTTGGAGCAAGGCTCTATATGTTATGAATAGGATTTTTTAAACAGACAAAATAGCTGAAAAAATTACCAGGATCATGTAGAGCTGGTTAATATGAACATTTTAAGACCAAAATGACAAGGCTCACAGCAGCAGTTACAGAGAGAGGGACCACAATATTCCAGTGTAAGTCAGTGGGAGCCGGAAACGCCTGCAAGTGAACTTTGCATTTTGAAGGCGGCAGCTAGCGCGTTAGCTATGTCCATTTATATAAACAGTCTGGATTTAAGTATTGAAATTGACAATTCAAATGAGACTCATGTGACATTCATTCTATTTTCTCAGTGGACAATTGACTTGAGAACCAAAAAAACTAATTATAAATGGGCCATCATGTCCAAGCTTTCTGTAGTTAAAAATAAAATTAGCATTAGATAAAAAAAATAAACAATAGTAAAGCTATATTTGATTTAAACAAGTTTCCCTTGTATCTTGGGACACAAATAGGTCATGATTATGAAATTCTAAATCTAAATCTTACATACAGTTCCTTTAAAACACAACAAAAATAACACAAGAATGGCTAGTTAAAAGTTGCTAAATATACAGTTAATATTTAGGAGGCAACAGTAAAGTCAGTGATTAGAGCACTTGTCTGCAAACCTGAAGGTTGGTGGTCCAGACAAAGTTCTGTCATTTCCTCCTTAGGCAAGACACTTGGCCTAGTATTCATGTGGTGAGAAAGTAAACAATTGGTGGAGGTTGGAGGGGCTGATGGTGCAAGCAGCTTTGTTTCCATCAATCTAGCCCAGGGCAGCTGTGGCTGGAGAAGTAGCTTACCACCACAGAAAGTGGAGTGAATGAATAATGCCTAAATTGCGGTGCTTTAAGAGGTTTCAATCCCTTAAAGTATGCAAAAATAAAATAAATCATATATAAATCATATACTAAAGCAACACCTTTATGACTACACAACTCTACAGAAAATCACCCTGTGATCCTTCTGTGTGTGAAAAAAAGAATAAAGTTAAGTAATGGGGGTCTGTTTTACCTTAGCATTTTGATCAGCAGCATTTTGCAGAGGTCCGGCAATCTGCTCTTTGATAAAGTCCAGATCTTCAGGAAGGACAAGGCCGTGTTGTTCCATGACTGGTCTCAGACCATTTTCATCCACCAGATAGTCAAACATAGCAAGGGATGCAGTCTCATGCTGCAACAGAACAGAGTGAGCATGAGAAAATGTAAATAATCGGCATATCTGATAAAACTCAAGCGTATCTTATGGCTCACGTTTGACCGGCAGCAGGTCTGTGACCATAGCTTACATAATAATTGCAATTTGAACAGCTCTTATCAACAACCCTTATCAGTGTCCACAGTGAGCAGAAAATGTCACAGTCATTCAGTACCTTTTTAATTATGAAATTACTACAATACAATAATTTCACCTTTACACATTTACATTAAAATTATATACCAAATATGCAAAGACAAAATGTTTGAATAGCCCTTTCAGATCAGATCACATAAAAAAAAATTAAAATAGAATTGTATTAAGGTTTTGTTCAATTGATCAATTTTCATTTTGTTTTAGCCTGCAGATACACACTGGTCTCTGACATTAAAACTAAAATAATGCTGAAACTAAATTTGTTCTTGATACACAGCAGTTGCACCAGTTAACTGTACAAGGAATGCCACATTTCAATCAGTTGGCTTCTTACCTTCCATGTTATTTGTGGACGAGCTTTGGGAATAAAAATTCCATCAAACATATGAGAAAAAGGCCCATGTCCTGAAAGGAGACAGACTTTTTTTTACATGAGTGGACAATTGGCCAAGTAGTATTAGCAAAAGAAATGTTTTATGAGAATATTGCTCACCAAGATCATGGCAAAGGCCAGCAATCTGGACACACAGGATGTCTCTGCGAGAAATGAGGAGTTCAGGCTGCTTCTCATTCAGTGCTTGAACAAGGCGACCAGCCAAGTAACCCACCCTGCACAAGTCAAGAGAAGAGAATACTATGAATACTGCTTCCTACACTACTGCTTAAAATCTGCACCTCACGGTCTTAAAATGAGTGATTCCTCATTTTGAGATGGAGGTGAATGCAGAATGCACTCCAAAAATGTATTGCGTTCTGTGTTGTCTCTTGTGTAGGGTTTGCTTAATTTCCCAATATACTGTTCATAAACCATTAAACAGTACATCAAGAAAAGTAAGCAATCATGTGTAAGTTTGAAGCAATAAGAAAAGGAAAAAAAGTACACTTGAATGTCTCTGTAGGAAAACTTGACCTACATTTAACCCATCCTTCAATGCCACTGGGGCAAATAAGGTTTTGTTAATCTATTAATTGCAACCCGGTATTCCAGTTCTGAAAGGGTGAATGATTCATTACATCCTGGAGTACCTACCCAATACTGTGCTCAAATCTATTGTGAGATGCGCCGGGAAAAACAAAATAAGTCCCTCCAAGCTGCTTGATGTTCCTTAATCTCTGAAATTGGGGTGTGTCTATAATTTTTATTAGAAGTGGGTGTAACTCAACGTGGCCATGAATGGGATCATTGAAGACCTGAAAGAAACCAAAAACTAGAAACTTAAGCCTATTTACAATGGCATTTTTAAAAATACTTCACCAACAAAACAATGATGCTTTTAGTTAGTAGTATGCCATTACCTTATTTGGTTCGGCTTCTATTTGCCACAGTTTTCTGATGCTGTGAAGGATCCTGAGGCGATCGCCGTGACATCTGCAGCAAAAAAGGGGGTCGACATAATATATGGAAGACTTTGAACATATAACCGCAATCAAAGTCAAAACAGACACATTTACAGAGCACTTACTTTACTCCCATCTTCTCCAAATCACAATCTTTAATGTACCTTAGACCAACACCAGTGACTTTCTGCGCTGTAGACACAGTGTTAGTTGTTAGCTAGGATTTTACACATTTTAGCTCCGGTGAGACGAAACAGTATGGGATTGTTGCAAAGTGTTGAACAGATTACCTCTAAAAATATCTTGCCACTCGATGAGCCCCTCTTTTCGAAGATATTGGCACGTATCCTCCACTTCCCAGTGCATGTAGTCCGAGCTGATCATCGGGTCCACTGACACTTTCTTTTCCGGAGTGTGCAAACTGTTCGCCGTAACTTCTAAAGGTCGCTTTCTGTTCGCCATGGTCAGCTAAAACCTACCGTAAAATGCTCACAAAGCGCCTGCCCAGTGTTCACGTTGCCTGGCTCAGCTGGCCGGGTGACTTCGATCGTACAGAGACACAGGCGCAGAAAAAGACCCGGGTTTTGTTTCCGCGCCCGTTACGTCACGCCTAGCAGAACTTCCGGTCAATAGTTTCAAGATAAAATGAAATATATATGAAAAAAATATTATTATCATTATTATTATTATTATTATTATTATTATTAGTAGTAGTAGTAGTAGTAGTAGTAGTAGTAGTAGTAGTAGTAATAATAATAATAATAATTATTATTATTATAAGAAGAAGAAGAAGAAGAATTTCGATCACTATCGTTATATTTAAAGGTGCCTGACCTGCTTATTTCTATGGATATGTCTTGCTCTAATGCTCCGCAGTATGATATTACAGCTCAACCTTATATATACTGTATTCAATTCAATTCAAGGTGTTTTTAGAGCTAACAAAACAAAACAAAAACCTCAAACATTCTCCTATCGATCTATTTAAAAAACCTGACTGGTAACGTTGTCTAGTTTGGTCTCCATGAAGATACAAAGGTTTAATGCCATACTCTGAAACATTCCAGATGAAGCAATAGCATATCTACAGAGAAAAGCATTTCATGGACCCTCCACTAGAAAAGTTACACAATGCACTGGGTTTGGGTTTAGTGAGTGGTCAGGATTTGCTGTATAGTAATTTGCTTTTAGAAATCTGTGAGTTTTGGTTGGATGATATTAAATGGAAACACCAACTCAACTTTGCCCTTCTCTTGTCCGCTTCCTGTTTTTTCCAGTATGTAGATAATTTATTCACTCCAACGGAAACAATGTTATATGATATAATTCTTCTTTCTTGCCATTCCAAAGAAATGTTTTTAATTAATGAATTATATTGTTTATAAAAGGCATTACTCAAGCTTATGCCATCATTGGAATATAACTGAACTGTGGGGCAATCAGCAACTCAATAGTGCGGACTTTGCCCCACAGGATATAGTTTCCACATATCTATATTTAAATTTTGAATTCAGGTTATATTAGCGGCTGCTAAAGGCTCCAAAAACAATGTAAACAGAAGGGGACTTAACGGGTCTTCCTGTTTAATTCTGTGCTTAATTTTTTTTTTCCTATGAGATCAATCCATTTGTTAATACTAGATTTCTAGGATCAGAATAAATCACTCTGACCCACCCAATTAAACCCTCCCCAAATCCAAATGCTTTCAGAGTACATTGAAGATAGCTCCTCTCTACGCTACTCTACTCATCCAGTGACAGAGCAGCTGCCAAGGTACTAGTATTCAGATTTTGCCACTTAAGGTGCAGGAGGCTAGCCAGACTGGCACCACCTGATGCCTCCGCTCAATATCATTTCCCTCCAGTGACTAGGTCAGGAATCAGAAAACACTAGACCAAGGGTGCTCACACTTTTTCATCATGCGAGCTACTTACAAAATGACCAAGTCATAATGATCTACTACAAAGCCAAGCAAACTGCACTGAAACACTCCTTTTTTAAGAGAACTTCCTCTGGCACTTTACACAAAACTGTGAAAAAAGTGAAGGAAGATTTTTAAACCTGTTTTTTAAAGTTCCAAACTGGAGTTGCATTCTTTTCTGGTTTTGCAGTGATATTTACCAGCCTCTGCATGTTTACCAAACCAAACGCACATCGTGACAAACACAGATGCATTTGTGCACTTTTGTTAGGCGAAACTTCAGCCAAATGTGGCAGTAGGTCTGTTCTGTAGATCTGCTCTATGCTGTAGACCTGCTTTGTGCCAACACTGGAACACAAATTTAGACTCGTTTTTGCTTCACGTTTGGTCTTGCTCTTCTAATCAGCGCGCACTGTGGAAGGGGCGAGAGCGTGAAAAGGCGAGGGGCGGAGTGCTGACATGAGGCAGATGGACAGGTAGGATGTTTAGGAAGTTTAACCTGCCCTGTGATGCACGCTGGTACACGAGGGCACACGCTGTTGCAGACGAAGCCGTGCATAGGGAGCGTGTGTATTTGTGATGTGGCGTAGAGTCTCCGCGGGCTGCACTGAGCGCACAGGCTGCACTGAGACGCCCCACACGCTCCTGCACCCCGCTACAAGTTTATTGCCATCAGTAGCGGCCATAATGAAATCTGATCGCACTTGTTGAGTGTCAGACCTTAAGTGAGAGACAAGACCGAGTCCAAACGCGAGTCAGAGACAAGACACGGCGATCTACCCACACGACCTTGGCGATCAACTGGTAGATCGCGATCGACATATTGAGCACCCCTGCACTAGACGGTTCGCAAAAACCCTGGAAGTGCAAGTTCAGGCACCAGCTAATCAGCAAAGAGCCATACATTGTGTGTTGGTGCAGATTCCCAAAATCGAGGATTTAAAGCCAGAACAAAGAGAATGTTTAGTGAATTTTTTGTAGTAGATCATTATGACTTCTGATGCTCGCTGTGGCTGTAGCCGTGAATGTTTTAATCTAAACATACAGAGAACCTGATATTTGTTAATTAGCCCTGGGATAACGTTACGTCGGATGTTAGCCAACTGGCTACCACTATGTTATCTAACATATAGGTGCAATTTCCCATTCAAAGGAGGTGTTTCTACACAATATTATACAGCAGTGTTCGGTTCCCGAATTCAAGACATTTTTACAATAGATTTTAATTAACCCACTTGTTGGTCGCTGTTGTAGCTTCTTGTGCTATTACTCTTTTTACCCTCTGCTACAAACTTGAGCATGCGCAGTCTTGATCTTGATCGATGTTTCTTCTGCTCGATGGATAATGTCTGTGAAGTGATGACGTATTTTTGACAGTAAAGTTCCGTCTGTGAATTCGTATTCGTACCATGGATCTATTAAAATAAAAAATTAAAATACTGATGATTTTATACGTACTGATGAAAGCGTAATCGTAAATTTTCATTTCGTGATTGTAATTCATGACGTCGTAATTTTTCAATTCATATTCTGATGGATAAAATACACACAATATATTTTATGTACGACTGGATTCATTTGAGAGTTTACAAATATTTATTTTATGCGCAACTACAGTTAAATATGCACGGATTTCCCAAATACGCACGTATTTCTATTTTACGCGCACGAATATTTTTGACAGCTTTCTTACTCCATAGATTATAATCATCTGTGTTAAAATAACATCTCAAACCTTGTTTCTTGTGCAGATCTGCAGTTGACCATTGTAATGTAGCGGTTGTGGTCAAAGCTGTTCTTTATTCCAAGGTGATGGCAATCTCTGTCCAAGTAGAATCAGATGTTAAGTATAAAGGACATTGATCTGAAGTATTGTGAACTAGACTAAACCTGGCAAAATAATCAAACGTGCCCACATTGAGGCCATTCCTTTTGTTTGCGACAGTCTGTTAGAGGAAAGACTTGTTTGATGGGCGACCTGTGTAATGTCCTTATTTGAATTTAAACACTTTGTCAGTCTGAAGCAGGGACAATAATACAGATCTTGTAACAGTTTACTTTTTTTTTTGGTCCACTAATCATCTCTGTGATAAAGTCCAGGTCATCACCATCCATGTTCTTAGTCTAGTCATCACCATCAGTGTTCTGACTCAGTTTGTTCAACTTGGATTTCAGGTCAAAACCATGTTCTTTTAGATAATTCACAATGTGATCAAATATCTCAGCTGATCTTTGCTCACGCTGCTGTGGAAGTATTACTGATTATTACTTCAAAGTAATATTACATTTACATTATCAAATCTGTTCCTTACTTTCCATCCAGTGTTAGGTCCATTTTTATTTTCTTGAGATTTTGGTATGAACATTTCATCAAACATGTGGGAAAATGGCCCGTGTCCTTAAAAAAAAACATCCACAAACTCAAATAACTGCAGATTATACAGGCTACATTAAATCATTTAATACATTTTCTGAAACATAATTAATCAATTGCACATACCCGTGGTACATATTTGATTAAGTAAGAGAATGCCGATTTCATAAAATGTTTGTTTTTTATTTCTTTCCTTGTGGAAACTGTTACTCACCCAGATGATGGCAGAGACCAGAAATTTGCACACTAAGTATGTCTCTGTCAGTAATACCAAGTTTTGGTTGTTTCTCTCTTAAACTTCGCACAAGTTGTCCTGCTAAATGAGCCACACTTAAAATGTAAATACATTGTTAATTTTTAAATTGCACAATTTAAAGCAGTTTTAAAAAAAAATTTCTCCCATTGTGTATGTACCCGAGTGAGTGTTCAAATCGGTTGTGAGATCCTCCTGGATAACTGAAATAGGTTGTTTGAGGTATGGAAGTCTCTGAAACTGAGGTGTGTCTATGATTTTAAAGGTTGTATGGAGGATTTTTTTTTGTTTCAAATTGTCATTGAAAGTTTAAAATATCATTAAAGAGACGCAGCAGCCTTGAAATTATGATGACCAAAAAAAAAAAAAGAATGAAAATCTATCAACTGTGGACGTAGTGAGGCCAGATAAACATCAGCCAATAGATAAAGCTCCCTCATTTTCTATTGGTTGTTAAATTGTCAATCAAACTCCCTACATTTCTAGTGTAACTGACTCGCTGGCGCGCGGGGATTACGTGGTTTATGCAGTGGTTCTTAGGGGCTTTTACAAACTGTCGCTTCCTCGCAGTTTGCACAAAGTTTGTTGCAATGGCGGACGAGAATCCACGACCAGTTCGCCGCAAAAAAAAAAAGTCTGTTTTTGAGGTCACTGAAAGAAGAAAATAAGGGGAGAAGGAGCGAAGACAAACGGAGGTGAATCTTGGAAATTCCTTCCAGCGATGGCGAGACTGAAGCAAACGAAGGGTCTAAAAACTTATGTGTTGGTCGCTAAATTATTTCTAGACAGGTCACTTCAACAGTAATTCTGAACGCGCACTGGATGTAAACAAACGTGATTTCTAGAGTAAAGAGGTGGGAGGAGATGTTTCTACTGAGGGAGCTGTGGAGGAGGAAGGTGGTGTCATGCATGCACAACATTTTGAATTGCTTGCCTTTGCCTTTTGAAACGCTGAGAGGAAATGGAAAAAAGACCGCCTACAGGTCTCCCTGCAAATATTAAGAGACAGTTTGGTCGAATATCAGAGGGTAGTTAAAGCTGCTAAATGTAGTTTTATATCAAACATGGTATCAACAAACTGCCACAAACCTCAGATGCTTTTTAATACTTTGAAGACTCTAGTAAATCCATGTATGACAAATGTGGCTGTGCCCTCATCTACACTCTGTGAAAAGTTCTTATCATTCTTTAGGGATAAAGTCTCTGCTCTTAGACTGTCAGTGCCTTCTGCTGTGGACCTTGTAGCTTCAACAGTCTGTAATTCAGTTTTTGAGTGTTTTGAACCAGTGTCTCTTTTGGACCTGAAAAAAATTGTTCAACAGCTAAAGCCTTCCTTCTGTTCTCTAGATATTATTCCAAGCCGTCTGTTCAAGGACGTTTTTGATTCTATTGGACCTTATATTGCTTATGTTGTGAACACGTCTCTGATGTCTGGTTGTTTTCCCACTGCCCTGAAACATGCTGTAGTCCAGCCACTTATCAAAAAGCCTAATCTTAACCCAAATGTTCTTAGTAATTTTAGACCTATCTCAAAGTTGCCCTTTTTATCTAAGGTTTTAGAGAAGGTTGCTTATGACCAACTACAGGCTTACCTTAATTTTAATGAAATTGGTGAAAAATTCCAATCTGGTTTTAAATCTCAGCATAGTACTGAAACAGCTCTTTTAAAAGTTTATAATGACCTGCTTTTAACTGTTGACTCTGGGAAATCCGCTGTTCTTTTGCTTTTAGACTTAACAGCCGCTTTTGACATGGTGGATCACAGCATCCTTCTGTCTCGCCTATAGAGACACATGTGGGCATTAAGGGCACAGCGCTCTGTTGGTTCCGGTCTTATCTGTCAGACAGGAGTTTTTCTGTAAATTTAGGGCAGTACTCCTCTTCAGTGTCTCCTTTACACTACGGTGTGCCTCAGGGTTCTACATTAGCACCGGCCCTCTTTGCTCTGTATATGCTCCCCCTGGGTGATGTTTTTAGAAAGCACAATGTCACTTTTCACTGCTTTGCAGATGATATTCAAATTTATCTGCCAGTGACTGCAACTGACAGCCAAAGCACTATTAAAGCTCTGCAGGACTGTCTCAGGGACGTACAAACCTGGCTGAGCGCAAACTTCCTGAATCTAAATCATAAAAAAAACTGAGATTATGGTGTTTGGGCAAATTAACCCACTGCTTGGGCAGGACAGTGTGATTGGTCCCCTGTCCTCCTATTGTCTTCCTGCAGTGAATAATCTTGGAGTGATTGTGGACTCCATGTTCAAACTGGACAAGCATATTAGCGCTGTGATTAAGTCCAGCTTCTTTCAGTTAAGGCTCCTCGCTAAAGTAAAGCCCTACCTCCCACGGGCAGAGTTCGAAAAAGCGATCCATGCTTTCATGACATCACGCCTGAACTATTGTAATTCTTTATATGTAGGGTTAGACCAGGGCTCCCTGCAACGCATACAACACGTCCAGAACGCTGCAGCTCATCTGCTGACAAATACTAAAAATGTGAACACATCACACCTCTTCTGTGTGACCTGCACTGGCTCCCTGTCTTATATTGTTTGCACTCCATGGGTCCAGTTTACTTGAGGGAGTTCCTGCAGCCCTATACTCCACCCAGAGCCCTGAGATCAGCCGACCAGCTCCTGTTGGTCGTGCCCAAAACTCGGCTCAAGACAAGAGGTGACAGAGTTTTTTCTGTGGCAGACTATGGAACTGCCTTCCTCTTGCTGTCAGATCCTCTCAGTCTGTAGCGCAGTTTAAGACAAGACTGAAAACTCACCTCTTCTCCCTGGCATTTAGTACGAGCTAGTCAGGTTATCTTGGTGTTTTTTATTGTAGTTTTAACATGTTTTCTGTATATATGTATATGTAACTGTTTCTTCTATGCTGTTGCTGTTGACTTGTATGTGAAGCACTTTGGTCAACTGAAGTTGTTTTAAATGTGCTATATAAATAAACTTGAATTGAATTGAACATTTGAAAATGGACTGTCGCCCTATTTCACTTCCCTTAAAAAATCCTCTATACAACCTTTAACCAGACAATGGTGAAACTCTATTTGACCATGAATAGGGTTTGAACACCTGAAGAAGCACAAACAAAAAGCTGAAATTAACAAGAACAGAGACCTTAAATTAATGCTATAGGCCTACCTTTGGTTCCATTTTTGATTTTCTGAATTTCTCCTCTGCCTTCATTTTTGAATACTTCAGTATCAGATGGTGCTGTGGATGAATCTTTTTCAGCAGACTGAAAATTCACGTATGTGTTTTATTGAAAAGGATGATGGAATAACAATAGAAAGAACTGTGCACCCTGATGAAAAAAAAAATCTGTATCTGTATTGTAGTGTAGTATTGTTTCAGTTGTTTCCACTATATAATGCCTATTACGGTCTTGTGACCTTGGACGCAGTTTTCTGTCTTTTTTTGTTGACCTCACTGTTGGATGCACTTTCATGTTATATATATGTATTATTATATACATATTTCATTGCACAGGGAAATTTTATCATTTTTGTTACATGCTATATACATGCAAAAATAATTAATACATATTCATTGTGCATCTTCTCTTGTGCATTGGTCATCTTTGTCCTAACGCGAATGTCCCTATGCTGTTGTCAGGCAGGACTCATCTCTCAGACTTATGTTTACCGGCTGGGTCAGTCATGTTTTGCTAAGATGAAATGTGACCTATGAAATAATGGAATGTTGAAATGCAGGGTTGGGAAATTTATATAGCATATACTATTTTAATAAATTGTGCACAATATATATTGAATAAATATAAATGTTTTTAACCAAAAAATCCAGATAGGTAACCAAATATAGAATTTTAAAAAATAAAAATGTGTTTAAGAAAAAGGTACACAAAAGTACACAAAATTGTAAAATAATATTAACTGACTCATATTGTTCCTCTGAGGCAGCACAATCCAAATTCATCTGGTGATCAGAAAGATGTGCCATTATTTTATATATCTCACCACATCTGTCGTCACTGCCCAGGTGACACAGGACTTGCACGTACTTCTTGACTTTGACACTGTATAACTCACTGAGGGGGAATTTAACATTTATAAGGTGACAAAAAGTACTCATTTTGTGTTCCAATATTGCTGTCAATTTTCACCTGCTTGTGCAAGGGGTTTCCAAACTTTACAATCCGGGATCCCCCAAATAACCATACAAATCAACTCCTGAGTGGTAATAATTTAAAGTAGCAAAACATTTAAAATCAGGTTTAATTGTATTTATTTGTGCAGTTTGTTATGCCATTTTTTAAATATATTTTTTAACCTTATTTCACTAAAATGAACTGTTTTCAGGCAGAATGCCATGGAAATGAAAACCATTCTTTGGAACAATTTTCATAGAGACATGTTTTATACCAATGAGCTATTGTAAGGCACTAGAGAAATTGTCACCAGTCTACAGTGTGAGCCGTGTGTCGACCAATATCTCCTGACATTAATACTTGGGCTTTTTTGTATTTGAACTTTATCTAATGCCCATGTTCTACCGTACTAATGTGAACTGATCATGAAAACATATTTTTGGTTTTAGTAATAAATTCTGTCTTTAATTGGCATGAAGTAAAAACAGAATGGGTATCAATGGTTGTGTCCATATGGTGAACCCGTACTTGTGAAGCAACCTTGAGTGATAAGACTGTGCTTTATTATTCATTATTATTATTACGGTTATTGTGTGTGTATTTATTTACACTTTTTTCAAAGGTTTTAGCTCAGTGTTTGAAACTTTATCTAGTTAGATCATTCGGTTCAAACCTGTATGTGAACAGGGGCACAGGTGGTCACATCATATGGAACATTTCTCATCAGTTCATACAGTTCTCAGGTTCTTTCACAGAACACCTGACACAGCTCAAAACAAGATCAGTAATTTCAACTTGTTTTTTTCAACATTACAGGCCTATTCCCAAATGCTAAATGACTTTGGCCCAAACTTTGTCATTTTCAATACAGCAACTCAACAGCAAAAATCTACAATTTGTGAGCATCAAAAATATAACAGCAAAGGATTTCACACGTATCAAACAGGGAGAAGAATCTCAGCCGTGAGTAGCACTGTATAGACTACATATAGACATATACACTGTAACATATGTAATTGTCTTATTTGATTTTCAAGAGCACATTACATATTACAGTATAAAAGTAGTGTTGATGTATTTGACTTCTTTACTGTGTACATTTATACCATGGATCTTCCATGATTAATTTTTAAATAAAACAATACAGATTTTAGACAAAAAAGCAAACCTTTTCCAATCAAAAATCACATCTCTCAGTATATTCTCACCGATTTCTTTAATCATAATTATTATAAATTAGTAAACGATTGCAGTAATTGATTAAAGAAAAGTGCTCATGACCACTTATTACATCAGTGATAGTATTGGTCCAGCCCTCTGCCACATGTCTGGATTCTAATATGGCTCTCAGTTTAAAAAAAGCCAATCACTGCATTAAATGATGTACCAAAGCAAGATCCATGTGACTGTAACATTTTGCACATCACGCTTCATAGAAGGAAAGTTGCGGGTTCGACTCTGGTTTGGAGTTTGCATGTTCTCCCCATGTCTGGGTATGTCTTCAATTGACACACTTGTTTCCCCCATCAACTCCAAACATGCACCATGGGTAAATCCTCAAGCTAAGGTGTTCCTGACCAAGCCTAGCTCAAGATCTGGAGATGAGTCCCTGAGTGCTCACAGCAGTATGGCAGTAGCTCACTGGTCCTGACAGGCTGTCCCACCGGCACCGGTTGAAGAATTAGTCAAATATAGTAAAGGAATTTCCCTCACAAGGGATTAATAAACTATACCTATACCACACAAAATCCTGCTCACTAGGAGCAGACCGACAATGTTTTCATTTCTTCAGCATTGTCCTCAAATCTCTCTGGTTATTTCTTCCTCTGAGCTATAAGCTCTGTGCTGCTGTGTGCCTTGTGAGAAAAGTCTGTGCCGTGATTGTGCACTCAAGTCTAGTGTGTCAAAGGACTCAGTGGAAAAGAGACTGTCTTCACTCACAATACTGGAAGGACGACTCATCTCTTCGACCACAGAACTGGAAAGAAGATGCTGTCTCTGTAATGTCTCAGGGAATGTTGTGGTTTGGAAGGACAAATCATGATTATCAGAGAGGTCCAGGCTGCGTGAAAACTTGCCATTACGTTTAAGTATGCCCTTTCTTCTTCTTACTGCCTCTGTGCGCAAATTGGGGCTATCACTGGGGCTATCCTCTGCAGCAGAAACTGGTTTCAAATAGCACAAATCAACATTTTCTGCACTGACTACAGAATTAGCCTTTGCTACCGAAGGATCATAATCAGACAGTCCATTGTACAGATTCTTGAGGATACCCTTTTTGGGCATTTTGGATGAGTGCTGGTTGAATGTAGAAGGCTCTCTGTTGGATAGGATGTCTGAATGATGATTTTGAATGTTACTTCTAGTTTGGGATGACATGCTTTCTCTAGGTTGGCTGTAAATAACTGAGTCAAAACTTCTCTGCTGTTTGAGAATACCTTTTGGTTTCTTACTTTCAACAGCAGAAGCAGCACACACCACTCGCAATGCATTCTGGGGGATTGCATTCTCCTTGCGAGATTTTTTAAGGCTACCCACATGTGTCCGTGCTCCTCCTACTCCCTGCTCTGTCTTTAAGGGTAAACTGAAGTGGCAAGCAGCAGTGACCTGATTCTGCCAGTCAATGTAGCGAGCGAGCAGCGGAGAGGAGCAGTCCTGAGCGGAGGTGGGACAGTCGCACACACTCTCCTCGTAACCCCAGTTCACCCACCAGTGGTTGGCCACGTCCTCGATGGTGGCTCTGTCCTCCACTTCAACCCTCAGTAGCCAGTCTATCAGGGCACAGGCATCTAGACGGTAGCAGAAAGTACAAGGAACAAGGAATGTCTATTGTTTACATAGAAACTGAAACTGTGAAACTGACTTGAATACCAATTATTTATTTTATAGAGTAGTTAGACTAGATTAGTTAATTGAGATGCACATTTCATATGAAATGGCACTCAGGTGTGCCCAGTCTTACAGATACTGTCAGACAAAAAAAAATAAAAAAAAACTTGATGTCTGAGTTTTTTACTTTGCTTCACACTATTAGTACTTTTACTTGTAGTACTTTTAGTTTTTGTAACATAACAATACTTTTTAACAAAAAGGGATTATGTAAATATTTGAGAATTATTTTGGAAAATGTTACATTATTTACCTGAGGGTGAGTTTGGTCTGCGATAGCGACCTTGTGCGATTTGCTCTGTCAGTATTTTGATACTTGCTCCGTCAAAGGGCATGCTGCCGTACACCAGAGCATAAAGCAAAACACCTAGGGCCCAGCAATCAACCTGAACAAATAAAAGATGGTTACTGTGCTCATTTATATTAGAATAAATGCAAATAGCACACATTTTGTTCTTTGAGACACAAGAGCATAATTCTTCTTTTTATATGTTTATTTAGGCTATTTTCTTCAGTTCCATACCTCAGGGCCTTGGTAGGGACAGCCTTGAACTATCTCTGGTGCAGCATAGAGAGGACTACCACAGTATGTCTGTAGAAGAATGCCTTTTTGAAAGTGGTTTGAGAGTCCAAAATCTGCCAGCTAGAAAAAGGAGTGAAGTAACTATAATTTATACACTTTCAATAAATACATTTGTTAAAAATACAGAAGTAAATGTAAAATTGGTTTTAGCTTACTGAAAGCACTTCTACATTCGAAGCTCTGTTACTCACATTGGACTTAATCTGAGTTTTATTTCAAAACAATCTGACCGAAAATAGTTGACTTAGATGGAACTACAACTGGTGAGATGATTTGTCTAGCAGAAGCCAGCAGTTTTTCAGTTTCAAATTCCTAAACAGGACCATGAATGCTTCTATCTCCTGAAAATAGGTTGTTTAAAACCATTTTGTATTTTTTTTTTAAATATATATATATATATTTTTTTTATCTAAACACTTCTTTGGTAATTACTGCTAATGTGTGCATTCCACTACAAATACACAGAAATACGATCCCAGTATCAATAGCCTATCTCCTAAAATTTGGGCTTGGGAATTTGTGGTTTGTGATCATTTTACAATCACCCAAAATTTCATTACACCCATCAGCCACATTATTCAAACCCTTTCCAAAGAAGTAAAACAACATTTTATTTATATGGGCTAAAAATAGCTACTGAAAACCAGTGCCAGTGGATGTGCAGGACAACACGAGAGGGAACGCAAAGTTCACATAACAGAAGCAGCTTCACAAGTCCACACATTTGTCTAAACACATGGCTTATATCCACTGTGTTTCTATACTGATATTAGTATTGATAATATTAATAACACAAGATACATATAAATCATATCTGCATAAAATAAACTAAAAAGTAGTGTATTCTCAAGTCTGGTTTGGTGTCCCTAAATGAAAATGAGATCAATCCTTTTTCTCATTCTCAGTTCACATTGGTTAAAAGAAAATCTGTATCTATTTGCACCCCCTTTTGTTCAAAATGCTTCATAACAATGTATTTCATGTATTTGACTGAAAATGAAAATAAAATGCCTTCCCTAACTCTATAAACTTCAAATAACTATTGTTTAATGCATCACCATGGATTTGTGTCTGTCACGGTTCTGCCTTTTGTTTACATGTTTTCCCCAGTCCAGCTCTATTTCCCAGTCAGTTCCGGTCCTCGTTTTGCTTTTCCTACAGCTGCCTCTCATTTCTTAATCATCCCAGGGTAATCTATACATACTCTGCTTGATTCCCTGTTTGTAGTACCTGTTTCTGAGTTTTTCCCAGCCCATTTTCTACTTAGAGTATTTCACAGTTCTGGAAGATATTTAAGTTCACATTTGATAATCATATATTCCTCTGTTGTTTTCAGGCTGCCATATTGAACATTTCCTGGACATTTCCGGGAGGAGCTCGGAATAGAGCCGCTGCTCCTCCAAGTTGGGAGGAGCCAGCTGAGGTGGCTCGGGCATCTGTTCGGATGCCTCCTGGGCACCTTGGGAGGTGTTCCGGGCATGTCCCACCGGAAGGAGGCCCCGGGGAAGACCCAGGACACGCTGGAGAGACTATGTCTCTTGGCTGGCCTGGGAATGCCTCGGGGTTGCCCCGGAGGAGCTGGAGTGAAAGAAGTCTGGGAGTCCCTGCTTAGACTGCTGCCCCCGCGACCCGGCCCCGGATAAGTGGAAGAAAATGGTTGGATTGATTGATTGATTGCATTTTATGTAGCACCTTTCAAGATACTCAAAGCTCTTTACAGTTCATTATTCAGTCACTCCACACACAGTGGTGGTAAGCTACTACTCTAGCCACAGCTGCCCTGGGGCAGACTGACAGAAGCAAGGCTGCCAATCTGCGCCATCGGCTCCTCCGATCACCACCATCACTCACGCTCACACCACTTTTATACTAGGCAATGTGGATGAAGTGTCTTGCCTAAAGACACAGCGACAGTTTTTTGCCACTGGCGCCCCACTGTGGCACCTGGAATTCCCAGCGGTCTCTCATTCAAGTACTAACCAGGCCCAGTCTGCTTAGCTTCTGAGATCTAACGGGATCAGGCTTTGACAAGCCGGTATGGCCGCATTGGATGGACACGGTCTGTTATTGAACTAAGACTTTGTTAGCATGTATACTTGTGTTGCATTTGAGTGTAAGTTACCTGCGTGACAGTGTCAGAATATTGGCATGGTCGCCATCAGATACCTTACATTCTTTTTTTCAGTGTGTATCACTTTTGTGTAAGAACAGACTTCCTAAAAAGGCCAAAAGTGAACAACCAAATTTGGACTGGCACCATAAACCAAGCAGGTGGTGATTTTCAACAGAAGTCACAATAAAAACATTTACCTTTTTATCTATGGCCTTTAACTATGTATGAGTGTTGATAACCATCTTATCAACACTCATACACTTCTACCATTAGGAGTTTTTACAATAAAAAATACAAACACTAGTGATGTTGATGCCCTTACCTTGACATGCAAATCTTGGTCTAAAAGGATGTTTTCTAACTTGAGGTCACGATGGACAACACCGCTCTGAAAAGAAAAAAAAAAAAAAGAAAAAAGCAATCATACAGTGAGTAATAATAATAATGCGTTATCTGATAATGGTCTCTCAATTTCATGCTTTATTCATTCATTGCACACTTGGTGGCAGTAAGCTACTACTGTAGCCACAGCTGCCCTGGTTAGACTGACGCAAAACGAGGCTGTCATTAGCCTCTTCAACCACCACCAACACTCCTCACACAGCACCTTCATACTATGCAGGTGAAGTGCCTTGCCTAAGAGCACAACAGTCTCCCATCCAAGTTCTAACCAGACACAACCTGATTTAGCTTCTGCGAAATGACAAGATCAGGCTGTGACAGGGAGGTCTAATAACACACATTACTCAGTATCAATTTTAAAATAATGTCTATTTCTAGTATTTTGTTTATTGTCACTTATTTTATTGTTTATAAATTGTTTAAAATAATGAAACATAATTATGATTATACTTTTGTGATTACTCTAGAAATGGGTCAGAACAGTGACCCATTTTGCCACTAATTACATCTAATACAGCACGTGAGGACAGTAAACAACAGCTCAAATAGTCTTTTGTGAGTTCTATGCAAAACATTCCAGTGTCTTTTTTGTCTTTCTATAAAACATTAAGAATAGAGTGTGTGCTCTAAATACCTCTGCAGCATCAGCACGTTCAGTCATTCAGACATGGACACATTATTAACGGATGAATTATATTTCTATTTTTGGAACAGTTCACGTGGTGGGAAACTTATCAAAACAAAAGGAATTAGTATATATGGAAAGTACTGAAAAAAGAATAAACAAATATTTCTCTTTTTGCCGAGCCACAAAAACGTGATATTTTACAATAGAAGTATTATCTAAAACAAATCAATTTTCCCTTTAGTGAGGTTATCTTTGATCCATACTTCAAAATGCACAAAAATCTGCATGTTTGGAGCAAATAACTTCGCCCTTGTTCCATTACTACAAAGCAACGTACAATAAAGTCATCAACATTTTATCATCATTTGCTAAGAAACAAACATTTAATTTACCTCAGCTTGAAATTTCATTTAATAGGATTGAAGATAAATTCCTGTTCGATCATATTAAATTCACACTTCAATAAAAATAAGAAAACAATAGTTATTTTGTTTCTTTGCCAGGGCTTACGGTACAATACAGTCAAATAGAGGAAGGGGGTATGTTTAAATATGTGATTATACCAAACATTCAGCTACTAATGCGCTCTTAACCCAGAGAGATCTGAGGAAACAAGTCAAGTTTGGCTGGCGGATTAGGATTTAGTGGATTTAGTGGTACAGTATTTGCTTGTATGTGATTCAGCACGTGCCTGAGACCTCCTTACTTTATTCCCAGCTGTTACCAAGCATAGAAATAAAAACAACTTACAGTAAATGCATTTAACAGTATGTACTGTAACTGCGGCAGACACTATTAAGTAAGCTTTAATAAATACATTTGTTGTTGTTGAAAATGTTAAGACATGTCAGCAATGGGCCTAGGAAAAAATGGTTCACTTACTTATTTGGATACTGACCTTACTTACTAAAATTTTAACTTTTTGTAGATGGTTTAGCATTGTGAAAAATAATGGATGAAGCATTTGCCACTGAACTAAAGAAAAATTGTGTTTTAAAGGTGCACGATGTAAATTTTTGGTTGGGGGTCCATCACCTTCTTGTTTCTATGGATATGTCATTGCTCTGCTTCAACTGTTCCACAATATGACATTAAACAGAGCTTTCTTGCATTTTTTAAATTACAGGCGGTTTTATTGCTCAAAAATTCTACCCCCCCTTCCAAAAAACAAAACAAAACAAACAAAACAGGCATTCTGACTGTGAGACTGGTCGCCTCTCCAAAGATCTGACCTGTAACTTGGTCTGGTTTGGTCTCCATGATGATAGAAACGTTTATTGCTATACTATAAGACATTATCGACAAAACAATAACATCTCCATACAGAAAAGCAGGTAGCAGACCCTCCCCAGAAATATTACACAGTGCACCTTTGAATCCTAGTCTACACATTATCTTGATCACTACAAAATGTTGGGACCATTGCAGTGACTTATTTGAAAATGCATATTTTTATGAAAACATGTCCAAGACTCTTTGCAGTATTGTGAAAGTGTATAATAACAAACCTTGTGGAGGTAGTGAACAGCGGATGTGATTTGTCTGAAGATGGTACGGGCCTCAGTTTCGGACAGTCTCCTTCTCTCCTGGATGTAATCGTACAGCTCTCCCCTGCTGGCATACTCCATCACAATCACTATCTTGTCCCTGCTCTCAAACACTACACACAATGTGAAGCAGTTACATTCAGTTCGACTAGCTTCCCATCTCTTACAAAACTTTTACATTCATTACAAAATAAAAATCTTATCAAAATGTATGTAACAATTGTCTGCAATATTACTCATCAGTATGACAATAAACACAATTTGCTTTGTGCTATTTTTGAGGGGGTGAATATTTACAGTGGTGCTGTGGCGTTCATGTATCTGCTTGGTCTGTAACCTTACCTTCGTGGAAACGTATGATGTTGGCGTGCTGTAGGGCAGACGTGATCTCAATCTCTCTTTGAATGTGGATACGCTCCAGATCATCGGTGATGTGCTCCTTACGGATGGATTTGATGGCCACCTATCAAAATAAAAGTGTAATATAAATACACTTTATATAATATACCTCTACTAACAGGTGAACTTGTGGTTGGGACAGATAGTATATATATATATATTTTTATAATCCAGCACATTTTTGATTGATTACCAAAATTCAGTATTGTTAATGGGATACTCAAAAGGACATTGAGATAATAAATTTGTCAATATTGTGTTTCATGATTCTTTGAGGGTAACATATCTGGGTCAGTTAATAGCCGTAACAGGCCTGCAGTGATTATCCATTAAGTGACCTAAAAGAAATAAATACATGGACTAAAGATAAACATACCATATTCCCATACAATAAAACAATGTTAAATAAAACAGAATGCTACCTGAAACTTTTGTTAAAGCTACCAATTGTAAATAGAATGGCTGACCTGACCTTGTTGTATTCTCACATACTACCACCACTACAGGCACAAGAATTATTCAGCAATACATATTCACATTATTAATACATGCACAGTGTATACACATTCTAGTGTGTAGTATTAGAAGTGATTATAAAGATTTGGCAGAAGAAGGTTAATAGATTTACGCTTCTTTAATCCTATTCACTGTACTATATTGAACAGCTCAAATGATACCCAAATAACAGTAACATATATTGCAAGCTTTTAAACATTTGTAGGACAATCCAAAAATACACATATTTGCAATCCTAGATCAGATGGTCAAAATTGAAAAAAAAAATAAAATAATAAAATAAAATAAATAAATGAATAAAATTTTAAAAATAAATAAAAATGTTATTTATCAGGGAGTTGTCTGAAAGGTGCTATATTACGCAAAATTTACTCTACTACTCTACTCTACGCCATTAAAATGTTGCTTCAGCACCAAAAACATACCTGGAGCCCTGTAAATAGCTACCTTTTACCTTCTGTTAAGTGGAGACTGGAAATTACAAATGATCTAAATTATTCTAGTGATGGTGTATGGAGTTTAAAAACACAATGGAAAACTTCCTGTATTATCACATGACATCACAAAGTGGAACAGAGTGTTTTCAGTTTGAGAGAAGCAGCCTAAATATGCAGTGTTTATGTGTTTAGCGGGTGAAAGAAATGAAACAAAACACCAGGTGCGTAACATGGGCCCTTTAATAATGGACTTGCATATCTTTAGGGTTGTGTTGCTGATTGCCTCTTGGCCATGAAAAAGACATACTTAGCCAGAACGGTCAAGACCTGCCTCAGTGGAGCAGAGTGGCCTTATGAAAACGAAGACCTGAACTCTGAACTCCAGCATTCTCAGCTGCTGGAAAAACATCTATAAACCACTGGGACAGACAATTCACACGCTCTATTAGCCACTCAGCTTACATAACATCACTCAGACTACTATAAGCATAGACCTGACTTGATAAAACTGACGTCTGTGCAACTTAGAGGAAGTTGATAGAATGTGCCCCAAACTATAACATGTTTTGCTTCATCTGGATCCTTATAGCTGCAAAAAGACGTACAAGAATACTAGTGTGAATAATGTATTATTTTAATTTATAATATAGAAACATTTATAACCCCATCATAAACTGAAATAAAAGTACAAGTAGGTGATAATCCTGTTATGGTTTTTATGTTTACAATGACATATTCTCCTTCAAAATACTTGTAAACCACCTAATGGACACTGATGCATATTTTGCGCTTAACACTATATCCATTGTTCACAGTCCAAGGAATTAGGAGCATTTTCAGAGGCACGTGTGAGAGGTGAGGGGGTTTGTGCTAATTTAACTTGGTTTTAATTGCAAATAGTTCCAAAATAATGTATTTAGCCTTTCAAATATAAAGACTTACTTGGATCTGTGATACCAGAAAGGTACAATGTTGGACTAAAGCAGGACTAAAACAAAGCATGCTTTAATAGTATATGGACTTAACACCAGTTCTAAATGGGAAAGAACCAGGACAGTGCAATGCTATCATATTGGTAAAACAAGGCTAAATCTGCTTAAAATTAGCATCATAATATTAGTCTATTCATAAGTAGTAGCTAGAAATAACACAAATATGATAATCATCACTTGTCCTCAAAACTTGTAGATGCAAATTTACCAACACATTTATTTCTCCATTACATTATGTTTTTTTTCCAATTTCCCACCATCCCACTTCTCAACACTCAAAACAACAGAGCCCTGGTCTCATTTCCAAAAATAATGTCCGTTTTGTTTCAAAGAATCCTTGGTATGTGCTGGCAGGCTTCAGGAATCCTGCATTTTCCCTTGTCTATCCAATCACAGTGCTGGACCAGTGCGATTCTCACTTCTCTCCATCACCAATTATGGTCTTTCAGAGGCTTAATACGACTCAATAAAACTATTTACATTATTATATTGACAAGAGGGTGCCATTAAGAGTAAGGCTTTGGAATTAGGTCATTCATAACCTGGGACCAAACACAGTCTCATACTTATTTTGCATTACGAATTTGTGTGTATCACTGTCAGCAAAAGGGAGCAGGCTCCTATGGGAGAAGCCTATTGTAGTAATTTTATCCTCTTGTTGAAGTGCTGAGTGAGTCAGGCCAAAGGCATCTCAGCCTGGCAGCACAGGAAGCAAGTACTTCATGAGCACTGGCTCATGATCTCACCAACCAACACCAACATGCCACACAGTTCATAATGCAAAGTTCCTTAAACTGTCTATGGTATGATTGTTAGAGCTGCACTTGACCCAGGAACAAAGGACTGATCATTAGTCCTGGTTAAGTTTATAGACTAATTATCTATATATTAATATCTCATATAAGTCCTGCTTTAGCAGTCATGAAGCAGGGAAGTTGAACGAATAGAACATTCAGTGTGTAGCAATGTAATTTGGCTCTCCAAGTGCCATTTTAACCAGTGGCCCAATTTAAATAAAGCTGGATCAGGACAACAGCTATGAGTAATGGGATTGTAAACGATTAACATCCAACAGAAATCTAAAGGCTACACAAAAAAACAATGTTCTACTGCAGTTAAGCATTTTGATGACTTGGTTAAGATCAGATGCCTTGCCAAGTTTTGGATAAGCACACGAGGAAAAAAATTTAAGAATATATTGTTGTGACAAATCGAGGGCAAATATTATTAAAATGGCCTACAACTGTTTCACTGACATCTGATTTTAGTTCACTGCTCACCGTGCGCAAAGTTGCTCTCTCCATCGCCTTCTTTACTTTGCCGTACGTGCCTCTCCCCAGCGTCTCCATCACTTCATACCGGTGCTTGAGGTTGTGTTTGTGCTGGTGCTTCTTCACCTCTGACGAGGCTGTGGTGGTAGATGTCTCCCGGGGAACTGTGGGGGACCCCAGACTCCTTTGCTGCCTAGTACCGCTGCTGGAAGAAGTGGATACAGTGTCCTGCAACAGAGATCCCAACTCGGAGCGCTCGCTGGTGGTCATCGCGCCTCCACCGTCCGCCTCTCGTCTACCCATCATGCACGTAGCACGCTCCGGTGCGGTTCCAGAGGTGAGCTCTCAGAATAATGCTAGCGCCCCATGGAGACTAACGTAAAGTAATAGTATACATATTTATAAAATTAAGCTGGGGCTGGGACATCTCATCTGAACGCACTCCTTCCTGTCCCCCTTCTAAACTGCGTGAACCACTGGTCCACTGTTTGGGGCGGAGTCAAAGCATCAATCTGCACGAGACGTTTGGCTAGGTGTTTTTGGGCTGCAGGTTACACACACAGTATATTTCACTAGACTAGAAACATGTATGCAATGTATTGGCGTAAGCCTTACATAAAAATGCCAATTTAAAAACGCATTGCGCAACTTTATTAAATTACTTTGTCTGGAATGTTCCATGGTATGACATTAAAGATTCTCTCTGTGAACAGGGGTGACACTCCACAGATCAGGGACCTCATTTATAAAAAACTGCGCAGGAGTTGTCGTAAGACTTTATTAAACAAGGTTTAATAAATAAATATAAAACTAAAAGTGACAACAACGACTCATCTGTTCATTTAATCATAATTCATATTTAGGCAGCACATCTTGGCAGTAAAGCCCATGTGTTTTTTCGCTGTTTCAAGAGTTTTATCGCTATATTTTTAAGTCTGTCTATGATGTGTGTGTGGACTGGCCCTGTATATATATATATATATATATATATATATATATATATATATATATATATATATATATATATATATATATATATATATATATGTGCATATACACATAGATACGTGCACGCGCTGATCTGAATGGTGCGAGAGATTCAGATGCCCTCCCCTGGAGAGCGAAAGGAGCGAGGGAAGGACATGAGGATACGAGGACACAGATTTAGCATGAAACACATCAGATACAGATGTTATTCTGCCAATTAAAGTCCACACGAAACATCCAAACTGCTCACCTGTGAGTGTGGGTCTGGGTTGGGACGGGCACGGGCATTATTCTGTTCTTCATATTGTCAGAGAGCAGCTCTCATGTGCAAGAGTTTCCCATTACACAAAAATGTAGGGAAGATTTTGGTTCGGGTCAGGTTCGGGCAGTAGGCTTCGTGTTGTCCGCAGACTCAGGTCACTCTGGCGCTCGGTGCGTAAAGACTAAAGTAAAAGTGTTAAAGTTGCGTTCATTAAATCAAAGCCTGGCTCCTGCTGCGTCCGAGGGAAGAGTTTTTCTCTCAGGTCGGGTCATTATTTCATCCTCTATGTTGGTCACAGACTGTGTTTTGTAGAAGTCTATGGCCGCGGTGTGGACTGTGGGAGACTCTGCGCTACACCGGGTCCGGGAACGTGGCCGCGCTCGTGCATGAGTTTTAAATGTATTGTAACGGCGGTTACGAAATGAAAACGTGAGAACAGGTTGGCTTGTATTTCAGCTTTATTAGAACCAGCAAAATAGCAACAGTGCAGGGTTAAATTTCAAACACTCCTGCCTAACTCATGGTCTGAACGCTCCCCCCCCGAAAATGACTGCCTGTCAATAAGTAGCCCTAAATAAAAACAATCCCATAAAGCATTGCGACAGTTTGTAGGTCGCTACAGTACAATATTGTGGAGAATAATGAGTGGAATAAACAGCCCTTCTCTCTGTTTTGGCGAACCAAACACTTAAATGCACAAATCTGAGGGTATTTCTTCTATATACGTGGATTTTCTGATCAAACACTTACTCAAACTCTGTACACTTCTGCTCCTCTCCACGAGTGTCGCTTTTTCCCTGTGTCTCCAGAGTTTGCGTAGAGCTTAAAGCGCCACGCCTTAGGCGAGGTTCATGAATACCGCGGTGGGCGTAGAGAGCGCGTACGCAAGGATTTTTGCGTAAGCAAGCTTTATAAATGAGGCCCCTGATCTACCCAACCCTGCGGCAGTCACTGGTTACTGTTGTGGACCACGCTTCCCCAGGTAAATGACATATGCTATGAACTTATCAAGTGTGGATGCAGAGTAGCCTGTGCTGGGCGATGCAAAGACAAATTTGCCATGTACAGGTTCATGCAAAGGTGGCAGCAGCTGCACTTAAGAGCACTTTGACTAAGTTTCACAATTTAAGGTAGATCTCTGTTAAGTGTTTGAGCTTAAGTGTCGTTATCATTATGAAATATGATATGGCACTTACAGATCATTAGAGATTGTTAAATGTTTTTTGTTATAAAAAAAACAACAACAAATATGCCTTTGAAAGATAAAATATTGTATTAACTTGAATTTCAACCGGAGGCAACCCATACAACCCTGACATTCTGGAGGAAAACGGTCATGTGACCTTCTTAATGCTTTGAAGTTAATGAAAAATAGTTGTTCAACATTTAAAAAATGGATAACTAAGCAAATTAGACTGTAAGAAAGGGATTATACAGTGTTTTTTTTTATACCAGCCTCGTTTTCATATAGTCCATTTTGTGACATGTGCAGTTCTCAGCTCCAGTGTTAAATTAGGCTTGGTTCCATATCCAGAAATAATAGTCCTGGGGGTCCTACTAATCTGGAAAAAGTTTCATGCTTGTACCATAAAAGTGAACAATTTTGGTCCTTAACAGCTTCACTATGGCATGAATTACAGGGGTAATTCTAAAAATATTTCTTAAAAAGACACATTCTGACCTTTAACTTGGCCTGGTGCTGACACCTGCTTGTCTCCATGGAGATAGAGGTTAAATGCCATATTGTGGAGCATTCCAGGCAATATTATCCAACAAGCAGGTGACAGAGCCTCCACCAGAAAGGTTACATGGTGCACATTTAAACTATGTATATTGGCCACTTTTAGGTAGTTAATCAATGCAATTTTAACTTAAAGGCACACCGTGTAATATTTCTAGTGGAGGGTCCGTCACCTGCTTGTCTCCTTGGAAATGTTTTTGCTTTGTCTAGAATGTTCCACAGTATAGAACCTATCACGAGGGAGGCAGGCAGAGTAAAGCACTACACTCCATTACAATTCAGATCTGTGGAGAGTCGCTCCTAATCACAGAAGAAATTATTGTATTTTTGAGCAATAGAAACGCCCGTAATTAATAAATGCTAGATGGATATTTCAAAGCAATAACAGAAGACCAGCAGATGGCGAACCCATCATCTGAAACGTTGTGCAGTGCAACTTTAACTAAATATTGCATACAGTTGTTTTTGTTACTTATTTACTAAGAGAGAGAGAGTATAAAGTAAAGTATGACTACAGAAAGTGCATGAATTTGCACCATGTGTGTTCTGGGTTTGGAGCAGGAGTTTAAATGTATTCTTTACTGTCCACTGTATTTTTATTTGAGGAATATTTTGTTATACAGTCTTCTAACCATGATGAGTTTTGGAGGTCTGATTATACAATTATGAGCTAGCTTTATAATGAAGAGAAGTTTTTGGGTTAGTCAGTTACATTACTAAGTCCGGGGAAAGGAGACGATAAGTTTTATATCCAGTATAATTTTTATTTCACTTTTTAAAGGGTGAACTTTTTTGTCTGTAGCAATCTGTGGATTGTTTACAGTGTCTTGTAAGATGAGTGGACAGGCTGTAGGACACTATAATAATAAAAATCTATTTATCCATCCATCAGAGTAGCATATACAGTAAATTATTCACACCCTGACTATAACCAGTTTCAATGAAGACCTGCATGGAAGTGTAATTTAAACTTGAAGTAGATCAGTAATATTAAATATTTGTGATTTCTTTACAAACCACACAATGGCATAAATGTCACTGAATATAAAACATAATCATTTGTTCATACTCTGTGTTTTTTCAAGGTGTGTAGAGGTCTCGAGGATTCAGATTAGCCACTAGACATACATCATAACTGTCAGGCATAGCTGCTCTCCTCTCCACCACAGTCCAAACATTGTCGGTGGGATCCAGCTCCAGAATCTCCTTTGTGATGATCTCATGACGGCCTGCGGTGAGTGCAGAAAACATGCGAGGAATTGGTGAACAAAAGTAGTCCACTCATAACCAAACATGGTTATGAGTTATTTTCCTGGTAAATTGCAATAACAATATAATTTTTTTTTGTTCACAAGTTGAACATAGTGTTAAGTGTGAAGTAGTAGAGTTGAAGTTACGTTACTTTTGCTATAGTGGCACTTACAGGTCCTACATTACACAAAATTGACTGTTGTGAGCGTTCAGCCATGTTAAAACCTGTAGTTACCTCCTCAAAACCATACCTGGCATTGTGTTTTGTTTCATTCATATGTTTGAGTAATTCATTATTATTAGTCTGTCAATATCTTCAAAGCTCAAAATGCTCTGTTCCACCTTGTGATGTCATGAAGCGGCAGTTTTCAAGTTAACATCTACCTTTTATCTTTAGTTCAGTAGAGTTTGCCAATTCCAGGGCTGAAAGTATCCAAATGGTGCAAGTAAAAACACAATGTTGCACTTCCTGTATTTAATGCATTTTCCTGAATAAACAAAACACAATTCCAGGTGTGTTTTTGATGAGGAAACAACATTATAACATAGATCAGAAAATAGTTTAATATGTGCTCTTTAACTTAGTATTGAGTAGAGGGTCAAAATTGGGAATACACATTGTTTCACTACATAAACAGTACTTACCAGCTCCTTTGTAGTATCCACAAAGATACAGCTTGTTGTCCACTACCACAAAATTGGATGCATTGGATCGGAGGGAGAGAAGTGGTGTGGGCAGGGTTGGTCCTTCTCTCCAAGTGTCTGTGTCTGGATTATAGATCTCCACAGAACTAAGGCTACGACGTGACTGTCCACGGTCCTCTCCAACACACCCTATACCCCCTGAGGAACACAAGAAGGTAAGATGATAGGTATTTATATAAAAAGCAAATTGCATGGCATGATTGCATATGCTAATGATTGATGATATGAAAATTTTAATTGTGTAAATTTAATTGTGATTTCCTTGTGTAGGCATCATTAAAGTTCCTATGACAGGTTGGACTACTTATTTTACTACAACACAGTTATTATATTTAAGATTTTTGCAAAAACATTAACATTCTTTTTTCCAATTTACCCATTTTTTAAGTAAAAAATGTTACACTCTGGTTGTAAATAGTCACATCACACTAGGGAATCATAATTGTTATGTAGCAAAACTTCTCTAATCTATTATCTGATAAATATAAATAGAAGAAAATACTTCTATTTTGTTGAATTAAGGTGTGAAATATAAAAAAGTCACCAGTGTGTTTAGAACTCTTGACTTCCTGTAATTAAAAACACATTTTTCAACTTTTATTCACAAATTGTTTCTTGATTTGTGTAAAATCATTTATATACACAATACTTATAATCCCACCAAATCATAAAAATCTGTCATATGCATGTAAGCCTGTTTTTATAGTCCTGAATTAGTCTTTGCTTAGTTTAAAATTTTATATGGTTCCAAAATCTAATTATATTCCAATGTAAGACAAGATTTCATTTGTTTAGGCATACATAATTATTTATAACTATACAAAAATATATAATTTGAGTAAAATTCAGTATTTTTCTACATAGCGCATTTGTTATATCATACAACTCTATAACAAACATGGGCCATATATGCTTTCTGAGTCCTTAATAAAGACAAATAAATAAATAAACAAAAGCAACCTGACCTAGTATGTATATCTCCCCATTTAGCACAGCACAGCCACAGCGGTATCTAGAGTACTTCATCTGGGCACATACTCTCCACCTGTCCTTCCCCGGGTCAAACTGAAACACGCTGTTGCTCAACTTGTCTGGCTCCTCATCCGGCTCATCCTTAAAGTGGACAGAGAGAGATGTTTAAATGTTTTAAGATGTTTTAACATGATAATGGAATACTAAAAAAGATAATGAATTTTATCACTTAAATTGTATTTGCCCTGTGATATTGTATTCACAAAGGGGAGCTGAAGAAACGCTTTTTTGATCAGAAACGTTGCTTAAAAAGAGTTTGAGGAAATGTTTGATATTTTATGGTTAATGTTTAATAATCAGTCAGCTACGGAATGTTTCACTGTATTTTAATCCATGTTTAAATCAAATTTATTTGTGTGTAAATGTAATTTTTATTAAATGTAATGCACATTTAATTTTAATGCATGCACATGGTTGCTTTAATATAAGCCCCTCTGGGTTTTTTGCCTCTTCCTGCAAATACTTTTTTATAGTGTGACTTTTAAAAATTTTTATATGTTATATAAGTTCAAAATATAATAAAATAAATAAATACATTTCACTATTTATTTACTGCTTATCTCAAACCTTTCCGTTCAATTAGCAACTGCAGAACACATCTAAGAGCCAACCGGAATAAACTTGGCAGTAAAAGATTAAGGACAACACCATGGCTACGGTGAGCTATCATGAGACAAAGTCATGAATGAATGAACACAGAAAGAACACAGTCCATACAAACAAAGGAGGAAAAAGTAAGAAAAAGAAACAAATCCTAAAGAAGTAAAACTAAAATAAGACTAGAAGAAAAAAATACTGAACATAAAATACACATTTAGTCTACTACTGACCAATACTGATAATTTCATAAAAAACACTGAATCAAATAAGAATTATAATTTGAACTGAAAATAGATAGCAACTTACAAGAAATAGCCAAGATTCACAAGTGTACAAAAATAATAGTATAAAACTAGAAAAGCACTCAGAGAGCGCAGACCTCCGCTAAGGACTACCCCCATTTTTTATATAAATTGCGATAAAATCAGTCTTCTGGATCAGATCCGGATCAGCCTTTGGAATATGAAAGAGGATCCCATTGTCCATCCCTGAGTCAAATTTCATGGGGTTACCAATTACCCGAGATATTGAGAAACAAAATTTTTGGCCCCATTTACCACAATGTTAACTAAAATTTCAAAGTGATCCAGATGTGTGATAGAAATTTAGATTGTGGAAAGATTTCTCTCAATCTGTCTTTTGTAAATGAATGTGATTTCTACCTGAAACCCAGACCAGTCATTAACATGTGTAAAGGTTCATCAGACACAACTGTCTCCGCCTTCAGGAAGCCTTTTGTTATCATCAACTGTATGTTCATTTAGCACCAGCCTCTGAAACCACAGTCACTCTGCATTGATATGTATGCAACTTGTATTTCTGTATAAATACTGAGAGCTCAAATGCTCTGGGAGAGAGACATGGAGGGGACATGGGGGAGACATGGTGAGAGGCTGTTGGGCTTTGGCCGAAACAGGCCTAGGCCCTGTCCATATCTGCTGTAACAAGAATAAACCTTGGTCTATATTCCAAAAACTCATCGGGCTTCGCAAATGGATTCATTATTTATCTTCAAGAGATATATAATTTTTTCCACAACAAACCAGAATCCAGTATTTCTTCCGGATCACCCCCAAAATGAAATCAGTTCTTCCTTTTCACATTTCCAACAAATCCTAATTTCATCAAAATCGGTCCATAACTTTTTGAGTTATGTTGCTAACAGACAAACAAACAAACAGACAAACGCCGGCAAAAACATAACCTCCTTGGCGGAGGTAATAAGGAATTTTCCTGACTATGACAGCTGAACAAAGGCAGTATTGTGTGTGTAGTTAAATTATATTGTTCTGTAACCTGGCAACCCGAGTACAACACCCGGCTGTCCTACAAGATTTTAAATATCACATAAGGATTTGTGATTTGTGTTTAACTGACCCAGAGCACTCTGTTGTAACAGAAGGATAAAGTCAAAATTTGAGATGATATGCCAGTTTCTTGTTTTCAGCCCATAGTACACTGATGCACATTCATTAATTGTTCTCTCATCTTATTTCTGTTTGGGGATGTAGGTGATGTTTATTTCGAATGTCACCAGGTGACCCCATATGTTTGAGACAACAAGACAATAAAATTTGTATTACTGGTAGATGGAGATACGCACATTTGATAAAAATTGTGCCTGCGTGCTGGGTCCAAAGATAAAAATTGTAGAAAAGAAAAAACAGATCCGCACTCAATAATAACATTACTTTTTATGTTTTAATAATGTTATTAAAATAATAAAAATGTATGCTCCAAAGAACTGCAGTCCGTATCTGTTTTTTTCTTTCTTTTCTACAATAAAATAAGTATTATCATCAAGATTAACTGCCTCACTATCATACAAACATGTGTCAGCATTGGTAATGTTTCAGTGTCTTGTTGTGTAACATAGAACATCCATGAACTGACAAAACTTAAGTGAGAATTAACCACGTTTACCTGTGGTGTCCACCCTCCCAGCACATACATGTGTTCGTTCAGACTGACAGCGCAGTGGCAGGCCAGGGGCAGAGGCAGAGGGGCAAAACTGAGCCAGCTGCCCCCCCTCTTCAGAGACCACCTCTCCACACTGTCTGTTATAATGTACTGGCTACGCATCTTCACTTGACCTCCGATCAAATAAAGTGTCTCTCCAATAACACTGAGAGCATACATGTCTCTATGCAGGGCTGAACATAAGAGGGACCAGCAGCTGTCCTCTGAACTGTCATACCTGAAATACACAGAAGCTCTTCATGAGAAAATAATAGTATCAGTATTGATCAGTATTAAACTTTTTCAGTGCTAGCCCACAATTCTTACTCAACAGGAGGACGGCACAATATAATCAAAAGCACAGCTTTAACTGCTGCAAGTATCAAAGCTATAAACATCTTCTGAAATACATGAGATTCTCTACTGGCAGTTCATATTTTAGTTTTCTACAATCATCTGTCAGTAAACAGAATTCAGATTTGAAAACATAATTCACTAACTAGAAATATCTTTCCAAATGTGTGCAGCCTCCACACAGCAGTATGTTTAGAATTATTCTAAATATAAAGAGCTTTGCTTTTCTTCTTTATAAAAAATAATGTCAGCCCTGAGAGCTTGGTCACAGGAGAGGAGCTTGAAATCACTGACAGAATAGGGACAGGAGATTCAGGAGGGAGTGGCAATTAACTGAGGTGTGGTGGTGGAGTTTTTTTTTTTAATAATTGATATGGAAATTATTTAATAGGCATTTGTTTTGGGGGATTTGAATAGAAATGTACCAACCCGTAGATGTCCAGGTGTTTCATTCTGTGATCATCTTCTGCTTCAATGGCAACTACAATATTGTTATCTCTAGTGACTGCTCCAGCTGTGATCTGCCCTGTGCCCGTAGAGGCCCTCAGAGGAGAGGGGATGTAGAAAGTCTTCTTGTTTTGTGGTGCAAAGCAGAAACTGAGATCAGCTCGACCTCCACGTCGAGCAGGCACCCCGTCCTTATCTATGCCCCCCAGACAGAGCAGCAGATCGATGGTCTCCATCCCATAACGCAGCGCTGGTCGAGGCAGAGCCAACGCCTCAGTGAGGCTCGAGGTTTGGAGAGCGGCATCAATCATCCCAAAGCAATCAGCATCTTGCAGCAAAACCTGATGGACACAAATACAGGATAAAAACAGCTAAAACCAATGATTTCTATCAATCTATTTTCGATACATAAAAGTACAAGTGTACAAAAATGTGTAAATTGTAAATAAAATCTGAGAAAAACAGCAAATGTTGCATTTAAAGGCGGCAACAAATCTCAAAAATACATATAAAGCAAATAGAAAACATGAAAAAGTAGTTTGTTATGCATTTGTGGCCAAGAATACAGTCTGTATTAAATATAGTGTAAACTAGATTATGATATGGAGAGCACAAATAATGAATAATCTAAATAAAATAAATAATCTCTATGTAGCCTTTCTGGTAGAAGCTCCACCTTCTGCTTGTCTCCATGGAAATGCTATAACTTAGCCTGGTCCAAAAAAACAAAAAAACAAAAACGTGAATGGAAATGAATAAAAGTGAGATAAGTTAACACTGTGGAAAATCCCTGGCAAACAAACTGAGACACTCTTCGTAGAGACAAGCAGGTAGTGGACCTAGCACCAGAAAGGTTACACAGAGCACCTTTAATGAGGTTTTCTAAATTGATTAATAAATTGATCTAATAAATTGATTTGGGAGTTGCTGAAGTAGATATTTCATATAATAAATGTACATTCGTTTATATTATAGGCAATTGCAAGAGTGATGGACAGAGTGTATTAAGGTTAATGTGATTCACACTCACTCACAGGGTTTCTTCTTCTGGCCTTTCGGAGGAACGCTGGATCCACCAGTTCCAGTCGGACCCGATGAAGGAGATTTGCGGCCTGTGCCTCACGCTCAGGGCTCCCTCTGTGCCGCTCCACCCAGCGCAGCACCAGCTCCAGCACCACCTCCTCCTGGGACACATTCAGGTCGTCTGAGGCCAGGAGGTCCCCCAGGCGCTGTGCGTCTAACTCCAACACCTCCTCCTCTTCACACACCTGAGGTCACATTGTTTCACACATGCACACAAATAACATCGTAACAACACTCCTTACAACCCATAAAACTATAGATCCATGTTACAATCCGGTGAAATTGAGATTGCCCTCTAGTGTTAATTTCTGATATTACAGGTGCAAAATGATACCTACTGCCCCTACCTATTTTGGGGGCTTAAATAATTCTTACAATAAGAGACTAGACTAAGCTTCTCCCTCATTGCATGAAGACTTTACCTGTGTAAAGTGTTGACATAGGAACCTCAAGGCTAGATCAGCCAAACTTGTTGCCCCCAGGTCCCTGGACCAGTGGTACAGCCCAATTACATTGGAGGGGGCCATCCGGGCCTCCATGTGGTTTTGACATAACCTGGAGCGGTAAGTCTGAGTCTTTATGTAATTTCTACAAAAGACTCGAGTAGGGCTAAACTTTGTTTCTTTAGATCTCACCTAAATGCTCCATCTACATGAAGCAGGAAGGCAGCAGCAGCCACTGCCTGGATGTTGTCATTGTTCAGAGGGAGCTCGGCCCGGTACATGAACCCCAGCAGAAGCTCCAGACTCTGTGCAGGAGTGTCTCTGAGAGGTATCTCCCCTCCACGTGTCTCCTTCAGACCACACGTAAACATGGCCTGCACAGACACACATGAAGGCTACATCTGAATTTACAACACAAATAACATTTTTCACAAAAGAAAACTGGCCAGTGCCTCTTTAAACATTTACCTGGAAGTATGGGCTAAAGGCAGACAGCACCACCCTGTGGCAGGGAAAGGGTACACCCTCCGCAACCAGAGTCACATCTGTGAGCTCCTCAGTCGTCCTCATCCTCTCCAACTGCTGGAGCAGAAGAGCCGCGTGGTTCTCCTTAAAGGAGGCCCCCAGTACTTCCATTGGGAGGTGGCCTACACTATTATTTCACCAAACAAAATTTTAATAACACAGGCACTTTAATCGCCTACTAATTTGTGTTTTCAAAGCTGACCCTTTCTATTAGTGACATGCACAAGTTTAGAAATGTTTCACCAAGGGCCACACAATGAAACATGTATGAAACAGAGGGTCACAGACAACAATTACGTCAATCATTTAAAATGTATTTGATGCAGGTTTGACTGAGCCAACACACCTTTAAAAAGGCTTAAAACACTAAGCTTAGACACAGTGTTTGTTATTTAGGTTAGCATAGTTTTATTTTTGTATTTGTATTAAAAAAAAAAAAAAAAAAAGGTCTGAGGGTGACATTTGATCCTCGTGCCATAGTTTGGACAACCCTGGTTTAAACTAACACTTGCAAAGTAGCCCAACCTAAACCCCACCCCAATCATCATTGATTATGTGTGACAAATCCAAGGCCCACTTGGCACCAGTTCCTTGTTTTTCCCACCTGGATTTATAAGTCACTGAATGCTGTTTTATTAAGAGTAGCTAATATCATTGGTAAAATAATAACAACTGACCTACCTAATTAAACCTGATTAAAGTGCTCTACACACTGGTTTTCCTAAACAGTTTAGATTATTGCCCTTTACCTTCAGTGCAGAAAAGTCTAGTCATCCAATTTCCGTGGAAAATAATAAAAAAAAATATATGTGTTTAGCTTATCTTCAGTAGCTCATGTTTACCGGTCTGTTAGCTGGACTGTGAACGCTGGAACGCTGCATGCTCAGCTGTCCCAGCCACTCAGACACTTACGTAAAAGTCAAAGAGCGACTGAACCCCCCCAGGAAACCAGGTCCAGAGAGAGAACTTATACTGCCTCAGACTAGACACAGGCACCTCTCACAATCCAACACAAGCCTTGTGTTTGGACCTGGTAGCAAATTGGCTAGTCTTCTCTATACTGAACTGCCATTTCTTTTTCTTTTAAAGCCATCATGGCAGAGTATGAGGACCACCTTGCTATGCATTTTTGCCCCTGTGTTTGTATCCTACAAGGCTGTACTCTTTTAAAAGCTAAAACTGAGTATTTTGTGAGAGAGTGTAAACTACCAAATCATCAGAGTAGAATTAAAAGCTTGTTTTTGAAAGTGTGCCATAACCTAATATTTGGCATGAGTGATAATTTGTGAATCATTGTCCATGCAAACTTTTTTTTTGTTTTGCTTTTGTTTTAGTTATCTAAGATGTACAACTGTAGTCAACCTATGCACACCATGGGACAGTTTAATGAGTGACTGGGAACATGTAATGTGCACTGTGAGCCATCTCTTATGCCCTGTCACCTGCAAAACAACATCATGAGATGGAACAAAGGAGATACAAAGGAATTTCCCATCCCCTAGGTTATCTACAACTTGACCCCTTTGTTGTTCAAGAGTTTAACCACATGTTTGTGGAAGAAGTCTTAGAATTGCTAGTCAAGAAAAGTGACACCGGTCTTAGGACATTTAATTAGTGTTTTAAATGGAAATGTTTAACTTTATTTATTTTTAGGCAGTGGTGGAATATAACAGTAAAAGTAAATGTAGTAAAGTACTGTCCTTAAGTATAAAATTTAGGTATCTGTACTTAAGATAAGTAGATTTGAAAGTGGATTCAGTTGTTTATGCTGAATTCAGCACAAATCTTTATCAAATTTACTACATTTTGAAGCCTTATAATATTATCATGTGATACTTTTACTCTTACTTGTGTATTTTTTGCTCTGATATCTGTATTTTTAAAAATTAACAATATACGTATAGTTATACTTACAACTTACTTACACTTGTATACAGGCCCGTCAGCAGAAATTTGGGGGCCTGGGGCAAGAAGTCTCACATGTAATATATATGGCTGTAATATAAATGAATAGGAAGAGGGTCCAATTCTGGACCCCTAAAAACCTGGGGCCTGGGACAACAGACCCCTTTGCCCCCCCACCTCTCTACTGCCTTGCTTATACATACAATACATCTTTCACTACTGTTTATAGGATCCATGTATTTAGACTTATTCTGAACACTGTATACGCCCATTGTTATATAAACTGCTTGAGGGTTGCGTGGATGTACAAGTTGCACATATGCGCACAGTCATCCAGATAATCGCACACACTCACGTGGGAGTGACACACCAGGGTTAATGTGTCCACAAGAAGTTCCTCTTGCATCTTTAACACATTATCTATTGTTGTCAGTCATTCTGCTCAGTGAAACAAACAATCATAAAAAGCCCTTAACAGTAGGAACTCCTGCCAAAAAAAAACCAAAAACTGAAACGTTGTAAAAAGATGATTTAGATAAAAGGTTTATGTCCTTTCACTTACCTGGCCTTCAGTGTCTACACATACATTTCTAAAAACTTGTAAAAGTGTGTGGTTTTGACTGGTTTTGTTTACTTTTTTTTATTTAGACAAGCGTACTCCTACTAGTTTTCAGCACAAAATTTACCACTAGCATCAAAGGTCCCAGAGAGCATGTCAGATTTTCCAGCTTTGTATTGAACTTTGTATTGGTGTGCTCATATTGATTTCAATTCTCAAGAGCCTGCATTACTTATGAAAAGGTTTCTTATCACCCAAAAGCTTGTTATTACCTTATTTTCTTATGTCTTATGTTTTTAAATGTTTTGATATGTGACAGAGATGGGGTAGCCGTACGAAGTCAGTTGTGTTAGTACTGATTTTGGGCTGAAAGCTTAATTCTATTTAAGGTTGGCATCGGAACTGAAAAGCTGGATCAGTGCATCCCTAATTCCAACCCCTAAAGTACAGTTCTGGCCTTTTATATTGCATGGGCTACATGTCTGTGGATCTCTTGGCTGAGCACAACTCAAACTGACATGAACCTTCAAAGATGCTGAACGTTGTGGTCACAACGAAGGATCTTAACTGAAGACCTGCACTATATGGCAGTTCAATTAAAGATCATGATTACAGTAATGTGGGGCATAATTTAAAATGTCCAGATCTGGATTTTAAGAGCCTATATCATATTTTTTACTTGAATTTTAATTGAATTGATGACAGGTTTTAGACATTGCAATGATGAACAATGATGTAAACATGTGTGGTGTTTTTAATTGGATTTTGCTATGAAATTCAAGACAAAATGTTTTAACTGACTAAACTAAAGTAGTGACTCTTATAACTAAAGATCTTCCTCACCTTGAATTCCACTTCCTGGATAAAACAGATACATTTCTCCAGAAGGTACAGAAAGCACACGGAGGACAATGGAGCAATGAGCAGAATCGGTGCTGTTTTCCTCCTCACTGATGTTATTCACCACCTCCTCTGGACTGTTCCAGGGGGGTGACACATTCTCCGCTTGGCTCGTACGGTCTTCAGGACTCTGAGGGAGATTGGACTGTACTTCCCCATTACCATTATCGACCTTCAAAACCTCCAAGATACAGCTGGGAGGAGATGCATCCTTTGTGTGGCTCTCAGCGTCTTCAGTAATCTCTGAAAAATTGCACTCAATCCAGTGGTCAAGTACTATCCAGCTGTTCTCTTCCTGAGTGATCTTCCACCTGGACCTCTTTTGGGTCTGCCATTTGTTTGGCAATTGGTGATGGCTCATTGAAGATATCACTGTCTTCATCAACCTCCATACACTCGTACTCTCTGGATATAAACTGTGTAGAGCAAGCTGGATTTTTTTGTTGAAGGCATCTCCTTGACCCTTCACTGGTGGGATTCTGAGGGTCTCTGTAGGTGTTCTGAGGAACCAGGCCCATAAGGTCTCTGGCCCATCTCACATAGTCAGCATGGCTCTCCTCAAAGTACTCCAGGGTTATAAACTCATGCTGTAGAGCTTCACTTTGAGTTATTCTCTTTGAGAAGTCCATGTGAAGCAGTTTTCTTACCAGGTTCAGAAACCCCATCCTGTCCCTAAATGAAACTTCTGACGTTATGACCGAATAGCCTTGACCAGATCAGACCCTTCCAGTGGCCCTGCGCAGTCATAGGGCACTTCCTGTGTGTGGCTGTAATACGATACTTCTCCTGTGTTCTAAATGTCCATCCATCCTCCATCTTGGAATAGTACCTCCTGCTGTATATTCTTCTGTCCAGTAGCTCATTTGACGGAGCTCCCAGCACACTACTGATGGTCCTCAGATTGTAGGGAATGGGGGTTTGCCCAGGTAGAAGAATACAAGGAGGATGCCCAGAGACCACATATCAATGGCTCCGGTCAGAGGCATTCCCAGACTGACCTCTGGAGCCTGGAGGTAAATGTTCTGATGAGAAGATCACAACTGCAGCTTTGACTTCAGTGTGAAAATCCAATATCAATCACCTTCACTTTTAAAGGCTGATTTTTGCAATTGACCAGTATTACATTATGTAAGCTCTTTTGAGGCTGTTTCCAAAAATCCTCCAAGCTACAGTCCAGCATTTCAAACACCATACATATGTTGACATTCTAGACAAATGTGTTAGTAAATTTGACTATGTGGCATTTGTCAGGGTCCAGCCGTCAGATGTAGTGGAGCATTGTCACCTCTTTCTGCAAAGAGTACAGGCCCTCCTTCTTGAGGACTTTCACAGTGACAGTTTCTAATGTTGTGGGCATGAGACTGTGTAGCACCTGTCCAAAGCCTCCTTCTCCGAGCATCTGTAGGATGCAGTAGTGCAGTTGCAGGTGATAAGGCAGTTTTTCTCCAGACATTTTGTAGTTTGTTGTGTTGTGTGGCCGTTCAGTTTCGATCAGTTTGTGTAAATAACTTTAACCTGTCTCTCCTTCACAGGATTTTTACTTTACTGAATGTCTTGGCATTCTGTCATTTCCATGCCACCCATATCATCAGTGTTGATTTATCATTATTATTATATTTTTAAAATGCATTACATCTTTTCATTATTACCATAAAATTAAAAACACATATCATCATATCAGCATTCAACAATGTCAAGCTCTAAATATATTCTGTATATGTGAAGAATCCCTCAGTCGTCCAGGTAGAATCAATGGTGAGGAGAAAATTCAGTTTGTCGACTGGACTCAACCAAACTAACTTTTGTCCAGTCAACAAACTGAATTTTCTCCTCGCCATATATTCTGTATACATTTTGCAAATTAATATTGTAGACAATATATTCATTGAGAATAAGATTTGTGAAATTCAAATCAGAATGTGCCTATGCCTATGACTGTAACCCAAATCTTATTTTCCTGACTCAGAAAGTTTAGAGAAAGTCATTGTGTACATATGTTTGGTGTGTAACCATGAGATTGTAACAACAAAAGTTTTCATTTTTGTCTTCCTTTTAGTAACCTTGAACGATCTTCTTGAACATCAAGATTGCCTACTTAGAATAATAGATGTTAATTGTCCTTTCAGAAATGGCTTGAGTCACAGGAAGTTGGTTAATAAAATGAACTGTTGTAATTAAAATGTTTAAAAAGTAATTAAAAAGGGGGTTGACATGGATTTGGTTTTATGCTATAGTTTTTTCTCTTTTTTTTTTTTTTTAAGTTTGATGCAGCTTCAAAATGACCATAAACAAATCTCTCCTGACCTTTGCACGTTGTTTCAACACACACACAAACACGCACACACACTTTTATTAGCCCGATTAATGATGGCTAATTTACAACGTGTCAATTTTCTGATAAGGTATCCATTTTTAAAGCCATAAAAATGGAAATTTCCACTTACCTTTAAAACATTCTGCATATAATATTTGTTCACTTTCTGTATTTACTTAAACACAAAGACCTTTTTTCATGACACTTAGTATGGCTAAAATGGCTATAACTATGAGAAAGACAACTAAAAATCAAGAAAAGTAAACAAAGAATGTACGTACAATTTGTAGTGCAAATGAACTGAAAATGTTTCCACTTTACAGGTGATGGTTTCCAGTCTGAGTAGGCTATAGCCATAAAACCCTTTCGTCTAAAAACAACAAAGGAACAATACTTAGTCAATCAGTTGCAGGCTCTAAATAGGCCCCTAACTAACTCCCACTGCCCAGAGCCTGCTGCTTCATTCTGTGCTCATCTCACGTACGGAGAAGTCACAACCATGGAGGAAAGAGACCATCCAATGGACAAGTATGTGGTACAGCGAGAGGTGCTCAGTGAGGTACGCCTGGAGGAAGTGGCCCAAAGAGACACAAATACACAAGGACCAAGTGTGGGAGAGAGGTTCAAGGAATTCTCAAGGTAAAAATCTTTAATACCTTTAACAGCAAAAGAGAATCAGACCTTCTAATCATTAAGAGAAATAAAAAATACTAGTATCCTTTGATGGAATTTGAAATATAAATAATATGATTAACATAACATAAGTAACATTTTGGCCATTATGGAGTAGTAGTAGTAGTTTGTGTTTTTATTTACTAGTAGAATGAGTAATTGTTTTATTATTTAATGAAAGTCAAAAGTGCTATTTAGGAAGAATTTTTTTATTTAAAGTTTTTTCAGTAATTCTTAAATATGCATAATTCAGAATGCTTACTTTGCTCAGCACTTATCACTTTGCAAAGACTCATTGATAAGTATGAATAAATGCAAAAAGCAAGATCTATGTTAAATATGTATTCTGGCGTGTATCATGTGGTGGACAAACTGTTGTGAAAAATATCACTACAGTTACACATTGTTGGTGAGGCACATGTTATCTGGAGGTTTACAAGGCCGGGTGATAGTGAGAAAACACATGCAGGTGTTTACATTCTCAAGCCACTTGCCGGGTTCTATTCTCTTTTGCATTTTGTTGGGGCTGCCTCCACCCTCCCCCAGTCTTCTGCTGCTGAACTAATGGTGATGTGCACATTTTTGAGTATAACACATAGAAAGTCTGAAGTTCCTTTATTATAATGTGTAAAGGTATAAACAAGCAGGTAAGCAGTTTTGGACACATTATACAAGGTGCATTATGTAACTTTTCTGATGGAGGTTCTGTGGCACCACCTGCTTGGCTCCATGGAGTTATTGCCTTCTGCAGAATGTTCCACACTGAGACATCAGAATATGACTCCAGGCCACTTGGGTATTTACAACCTTTATTCGAATTTGTAGTTAAAATCAATTTGCTTTGAAGAAAAAAAAAATTCCCTAACTTTATTGAAAATTGCATTGAAAATGCAAGAAAGGCTGCTCACTGCAGTCACAGGGACTAATGTTTAGCACAGGGCCATGTAGTGCTAACTGCTTTGAAATCACCTCATACATAAAATATTTCCCCAATCACCAATGAGAGTTTTTTCAGTTTTGCCCATTTTCTGTAGTTTGCAGATAATTTTTAGTGTAGAGTGGGGGGAAAAAAAATCTGAAAATTGAATTGAAAAAATTATCAATTTTATTTTTAGGCAAAATTGCCCATTACATTTTTGAACCAAAAATCTAGAAAAACAACCAAATACATAACTGAATAACTCCAAGATAAGTTTAATGCCATACTATGCATTCCAGACAGAGAATGAAATAACACCTCTGGGGACAAGCAGGTAGTGGGTCATGTAACAGAAGAGTTACATAGTGCACCTTTAGCAAAGAGAATTTCCAACCTACTGTAATAGCTAAGTAGATAAATGAATGAGGATGTGTTTTATGCTGCAGGTGTTCATTGCCCAGGCTGAAGGAGACTGTGCAGAAGTGGGTGCCTGTTCTGGACTGGCTTCCCAAGTATCCCATCAGAGAAAATATCCTCGGAGATGTGGTCTCCGGCTGCAGCGTGGCCATCATGCACCTCCCTCAAGGTCCGCATCTACATTACATGACTATTATAAAGTATTTACAATGTACACTATAAAGTCAGGGTCCCATAGTTTCATAACGATTATGTTAATATGACTCAGGCACAGTTCTCACTTAGTGCTGTCCAATAAATAGACCTAAATAACAAACAGAAACTGTAAAGAAGTAGTAGATGTTTTAGTTTCAGAGTAGTTTTAGTGGAGTTAGGTCCTCCCTTCAGGCAGATATGAGGCAGTGTTCACCAGTGTCTGACCAGGGGCCTCATTTATAAAGCTTGCTTACGAAAAAATCCTTGCGTACGCGCTCTCTACGCCAACCGCGGTATTTATGAACCTCGACTAAGGCGTGGCGCTTTGCTTAACTCTACGCCAACTCGGGACCTCCTGTAAGTTCTACGCAAAGTCTGGAGACACGGGGAAAAAGCGACACTCGTGGAGAGGAGTAGAAGTGAACAGAGTTTGAGTAAGTGTTTAATCAGAAAATCCACGTATATAGAAGAATTACCTTCTGATTTGTGCATTTAAGTGTTTGGTTCGCCAAAACAGAGAGATGGGCTCTTTATTCCACTCATTATTCTCCACAATATTATACATTTGAAACTCATGCACGAGCGCGGCCACGTTTCCGGACCCGGTGTAGCGCAGAGTCTCCCACAGTCCACACCGCTACCATAGACTTCTACAAAACACAGTCTGTGACCAACACAGAGGATGAAATAATGACCCGACCTGAGAGAAAAACTCTTTCCTCGGACGCAGCAAGAGCCAGGCTTTGATTTAATGAACGCAACTTTAACACTTTTACTTAAGTCTTTACGTATCGAGCACCAGAGTGACCTGAGTCTGCGGACAACACGAAGCCTACTGCCCGAACCTGACCCGAACCAAAATCTTCCCTACATTTTTGTGTAATGTAATCTTGCACATGAGAGCTGCTCTCTGACAATATGAAGAACAGAATAATGCCCGTGCCCGTCCCAACCCAGACCCACACTCACAGGTGAGCAGTTTGGATGTTTCGTGTGGACTTTAATTGGCAGAATAACATCTGTATCTGATGTGTTTCATGCTAAATCTGTGTCCTCGTATCCTCGTGTCCTTCCCTCGCTCCTTTCGCTCTCCAGGGGAGGGCATCTGAATTTCTCGCACGTGCTCATAATTTGACCATTCAGATCAGCGCGTGCACGTATCTATGTGTATATGCATATATATGTATGTATATATATATATGTGTATATATGTATATATGCATATATATATATATATATACAGACAGACAGACAGACTTAAAAATATAGCGATAAAACTCTTGAAACAGCGAAAAAACACATGGGCTTTACTGCCAAGATGTGCTGCCTAAATATGAAATATGATTAAATGAACAGATGAGTCTTTGTTGTCACTTTTAGTTTTATATTTATTTATTAAACCTTGTTTAATAAAGTCTTTAATAAAGTCTTTGACGTGATCACGTGGTGTTGCGTGGAGCGTCCTCCTCCTGTCCCGCGTGTCTCGGTCAAACCCACTGATTACCGGCTCATGTTTAGGGAAATCTCATTCACGAGTCACTTTACATGCTCCTTTTATGGTGAGGTGGAGGTGTGGAGAGGGCGTGACGTGACGTGGGTTTACGTGCGCAAATTCGAGTTGCAGGTGGGATTTATAAAGCAAAGATTGCGTGGTTTGGTGCGTGTGGTGGGTTTTCTAAATATGGAGTTTGCGTAGCGCACGCCTCTCGTAGCTACTAGGCGTACGCACTAACTTACGACAACTCCTGCGCAGTTTTTTATAAATGAGGCCCCAGAACTGAAGAAGCAGCTTGGATGAGCTATGAAACACATTTGATCAAAACCTTTTATCCAGTTGACAGAATTGAATTTTTCCTTTGCTACTTATACCTGGGTATTAATGTACACCCATCCATCCATCCATTTTCGTCCACTTATCCGGGGCCGGGTCGCGGGGGCAGCAGCCTAAGCAGGGACTCCCAGACTTCCTTCACCCCAGACACGTCCTCCAGCTCCTCTGGGGGGACCCTGAGGCGTTCCCAGGCCAGCCGAGAGACATAGTCCCTCCAGCGTGTCCTGGGTCTTCCCCGGGGCCTCCTCCCGGTGGGACATGCCCGGAACACCTCCCGAGGGAGGCGCCCAGGAGGCATCCTGAACAGATGCCCGAGCCACCTCAACTGGCTCCTCTCGACGTGGAGGAGCAGCGGCTCTACTCCGAGTTCCTCCCGTGTGACTGAGCTCCTCACCCTATCTCTAAGGGAGCGCCCAGCCACCCTGCAGAGGAAACCCATTTCAAGCGCTTGTATCCGCGGTCTCGTCCTTTCGGTCACTACCCAGAGCTCATGACCATAGGTGAGAGTAGGAACGAAGACTGACCGGTAAATCGAGAGCTTCGCCTTTCGGCTCAGCTCCCACAACGGTCCGATACAGCGACCGCATCACTGCCGAAGCTGCACCGATCCGCCTGTCAATCTCACGTTCCGTCCTTCCCTCACTCGTGAACAAGACCCCGAGATACTTGAACTCCTCCACTTGAGGCAAAGACTCCCCACCCACCAGGAGAGGGCAAGCCACCTTTTTCCGGTTGAGAACCATGGCCTCAGACTTAGAAGAGCTGATCTTCATCCCAGCCGCTTCACACTCGGCTGCAAACCGCCCCAGTGCACATTGCAGGTCCTGGTTCGATGAAGCCAACAGGACAACATCATCCGCAAACAGCAGAGATGAGATCCTGTGGTCCCCAAACCGGACCCCCTCTGGCCCCTGACTGCGCCTAGAAATTCTGTCCATAAACACAATGAACAGAACTGGTGACAAAGGGCAGCCCTGGCGGAGTCCAACATGCACCGGGAACAGGTCTGACTTACTGCCGGCAATGTGAACACAGCTCCTGCTCCGGACATACAGGGACCGGACAGCCCTTAGCAAAGGGCCCTGGACCCCATATTCCCACAGCACCCCCCACAGGACACCACAAGGGACACGGTCGAATGCCTTCTCCAAGTCCACAAAGCACATGTGGACTGGTTGGGCAAACTTCCATGAACCCTCGAGCACCCTATGGAGAGTGTAGAGCTGGTCCAGTGTTCCACGGCCAGGACGAAAACCACACTGCTCTTCCTGGATCTGAGGTTCGACTATCAGCCGGATTCTCCTCTCCAGTACCCTGGCATAGACCTTACCGGGAAGGCTGAGGAGTGTGATCCCCCTGTAGTTGGAGCACACCCTCCGGTCCCCCTTCTTATACAGAGGGACCACCACCCCGGTTTGCCAGTCCAGAGGTACTGTCCCCGACCGCCACGCGATGTTGAAGAGGCGTGTCAGCCAAGACAGCCCCACAACATCCAGAGACTTAAGGTACTCAGGACGGATCTCATCCAACCCCGGAGCCTTGCCACCAAGGAGCTTTCCAACCACCTCAGTGACTTCAGCCAGGTTGATGGATGAGTCCGCCTCCGAGTCCCCAGCCTCGGCCTCCTCCTCGGAAGACGTGATGGTGGAATTGAGGAGATCCTCAAAGTATTCCTTCCACCGCCAGACAACGTCCCCAGTCGAGGTCAGCAGCTCTCCCCCCCGCACTGTAAACAGTGTTGGCGAAGAACTGCTTCCCCCTTCTGAGGCGCCGGACGGTTTGCCAGAATCTCTTTGAGGCTGTCCGATAGTCCTTCTCCATGGCCTCCCCGAACTCCTCCCAGCTCAGAGTTTTTGCCTCCGCAACCGCACGGGCTGCAGCACGCTTGGCCAGCTGCTTCAGGAGTCCCCCGAGCCAGCAAGGCCCGATAGGACTCCTTCTTCAGCTTGACAGCATCCCTTACTTCCGGTGTCCACCACCGGGTTCGGGGATTGCCGCCGCGACAGGCACCACAGACCTTACGCCCAGAGCTCCGAGCAGCCGCATCGACAATAGAGGCCGAGAATGAAGCCCACTTGGACTCCATATCTCCAGCCTCCCCCGGAATCCGGGAGAAGTCCTCCCGGAGGTGTGAGTTGAAAGTCCCTCTGACAGAGGGCTCCGCCAGACGTTCCCAACAGACCCTCACTACACGCTTGGGCCTGCCAGGTCTTTCCGGCTTCCTCCTCCGCCAGCGAACCCAACTCACAACCAGGTGGTGATCAGTTGACACCATCAGATGACACGACTACAAAGTCGATCATCGACCTCCGGCCTAGGGTGTTCTGGTGCCACGTGCACTTATGGACACCCTTGTGCTCGAACATAGTGTTCGTTATGGACAAACCGTGACTAGCACAGAAGTCCAATAACAAAACACCGCTCAGGTTCAGATCAGGGAGGCCGTTCCTCCCAATCACCCCTCTCCAAGTGTCACTGTCATTGCCCACGTGGGCGTTGAAGTCTCCCAGGAGAACAACGGAGTCCCCGGCACTGTCTAGTACCCCTCCCAAGGACTCCAAGAAGGCCGGGTACTCAGCACTGCTGTTCAGCCCATAGGCCGACACCACAGTGAGAGACCTGTCCCCGACCCGAAGGCGCAGGGACGCGACCCTCTCGTTCACCGGGGTGAACTCCAACACACAGTGGCTGAGCTGTGGGACAATGAGCAGGCCCACACCAGCCCACCGCCGCTACCCACGGCCAACGCCAGAGACATGGAGAGTCCAGCCCCTCTCAAGGAGTTGGGTTCCAGAGCCCAAACTGTGCGTGGAGGTGAGGCCGACTATATCTAGTCGGTAACGCTCAACCTCCAGCACAAGCTCAGGCTCCTTCCCCCCCCAGCGAGGTGACATTCCATGTCCCCAGAGCTAGTCTCCATGTCCGGAGATCCGGTCGTCGAGGCCCCCGCCGTCAACTGCCGCCCAGATCTCTCTGCACCGGCCCCATATGGCTCCTCCCGCGGGTGGTGGGCCCACGTGAGGACGGCAGCACGTCGCTCCTTCGGGCTAAGCCCGGCCGGGCCCCGTGGGGGAAGGCCCGGCCACCAGGCGCCCGCTGACGAGCACCCACCCCAGGCCTGGCTCCAGGGTGAGGCCCCGCTGACGCCAATCCGGGCGACGTAACTGGCCTCTGTGTGTAACTCATCATGTGGGGCTTCTGAACCGTTCTTCGTCTGACCCGTCCCCCCGGACCTGTTTGCCTTGGGTGACCCTACCAGGGGCATGAAGCCCCCGACAACATAGCTCCCGGGATCATTCGGGCACTCAAACCCCTCCACCACGATAAGGTGACGGTTCAAGGAGGGGATTAATGTACACTTGGGTAGATATTCTAAAATATATACAGGTAATAAATACTATGCAATAAATTAAACTTCCCTTTGCTAATAGTTATTTTAAGAGATACAAGTGTCCTTCTGTTTATGAAGTATGAATTCTGTTATGTCTTTTAAATAGTGATCTTAATGGAATCGGCATAGTGGTGCCATCTGCTTGTCTCCTTGGAGAAAGATAGCTTTCATGCCATACAGTGAAACAATCTAGGTAACACCATCCCCATAGAGAGAGGCAGGGGCAGAGCCTCCACCAGTAAATGTTAAGATTGTTGAGAGTAATTTTACCTTTTTCCTAGGTATGGCATATGCGCTTTTGGCCTCCTTACGCCCTGTGTTTGGTCTGTATACCTCCTTATACCCGGTACTGGTTTACTTCATTTTTGGAACTTCTAGACATATATCAGTTGGTGATTATTTAATTAAAATTTATTTCACTTTCACTTTCTAATTAATTAAACGCATAACTAATGTATTGTATGTCTAGGTACATTTGCTGTGATCAGTATCATGATTGGAAGTGTGACAGAGAGACTAGGCCCAGACTCAAACTTCCATGTAAACAATGGCACCAACGCTACAGGAGATGTGGACATAGATGCCAGAGATGCATACAGGGTGAAGATAGCGTGCTCACTCACACTTTTGGTTGGGATTTTCCAGGTATGCTTTGTTCTGTTTGGTTATTGCTGAAATGTGCTGGGTGGACAGATGTGAAGTGTATATGTATGTGATTTTGTGTGCATTAGTTTCACAAAGTTTGGTACTCACATTCCTCAAAACACAAACCAATAATATTGCCAGACAAGACAAGAACAACAAGTTTTTCTATGGCAACACTCAAAATGTGAAGTGGGAGTCCTTCATCTGCTGACTCAACAATTTTGTTGATTTGAAAGCACAAACTTACATATGCCATCCAAAACAGTAGGGCATCAAAAGTTATCCACAGTCTACACATACCAGTTGAATAATTTGGACATTTGACCAAATTAAACAGCAGCAACAACAAAACTTTCTTCTCACATTTCAGACCCACCTAAATCCCAGCTCTCTTCTTTTTATTCATAAGCTTAAAAAGCTTTTTCTTCAAGTTTGTCATCATATTTTCTAACATATTTTTCTTGTCTTCAGATTCTGCTGGGTGTGGTCAAATTTGGCTTCGTGGTCAATTATCTGTCAGAGCCACTGGTCCGGGGCTACACTACAGCGTCTGCATGTCATGTCTTTGTGTCCCAACTTAAATACATTTTTGGAGTCAAACCATCTCGTTACAATGGACCACTTTCTCTTATTTATGTGAGTTAAACTACTTTGTCCAGGGATATAAAATTAAGCCTCTTGCCATTATTCCCAGTATTTTCCTTTGCAATATTTTCCTCAATCCTGTTTAAAAATGCCATTAAAATGCTTATTTTTGTTAACATTTTTATAATATAACAGTTTATATTTACTTCACAGACTGTTGTGGACATCTGCAGCCGCCTGCCTCAAACAAAGATTCCTGAGCTAGTGGTCAGTCTTGTGGCTCTTGCGGTTCTCATTGTGGTCAAAGAAGTCAATGGTTGTTACTCAAAGAAGCTACCTTTTCCCATCCCGATTGAACTCATAGTGGTAAGTCTTTTGGTGTCCAGCAGGGGGCAGCTTTATTCTTTAGTGTAGAATAGTGAATCCCATAAATTTATTTCCGCTTATCCGGACCCGGGAGCGGGGGCAGCAGTCTAAGCAGGGACTCCCAGACTTCCTTGACCCTAGTTACTTCCTCGAGGTCCTCTGGGGAAACCTCAAGGCGTTCCCAGGCCAGCCCAGAGATAGTCCCTTCAGTATGTTCTGGGTCTTTCCCGGGGCCGCCTTCCGGTGGGACATGCCTGGAACACCTCCTCAGGGAGGCGTCCAAGAGACATCTGGAATAGATGCCCTCCCCTTAGCTGGCTCCTCTTGATGTGGAGGAGCAGCAGCTGTACTCCGAGCTCCTCCTGTGTGACTGAGCTCCTCACCCTATCTCTACAGGAGCGCCCAGCCACTCTGTGGAGGAAACTCATTTCAGCCTCTTGTATCCACAATCTTGTTCTTTTGGTCATTACCCAGAGCTCTTGACCATAGGTGAAGGTAGGAATGTAGATTGAGTGGTAAATCAAGAGCTTTGCCTTTCGGCTCAGCTCCTTCTTCACCACAACAGCCTGATACAGCAACCGCATCACTGCCAATGCTGCACACATCTGCATGTCAATCTCACGCTCCATCTTCCTCTCACCCGTGAACAAGACCCTGAGATACTCAAACTCCTCCACCCACCCATAGAGGGCAAGCCACCTTTTCCCGGTTGAGAACCATGGCCTCGTATTTAGAGGAGCTGATTTTCATCCTAGCTGCTTCACACTCAGCTGCAAACCGCCCCAGTGCATGCTGCAGGTCCTGGTTTGATAGAGCCATCAGGTCAACATCATCTACAAACAGCAGAGGTGAGAAATGTCCTTTATGATCAGCACATCAACGAGGCTAGTTACGTCGCTCGGACAGGCGTCACCAGGGCCCCACCCAGGAGCCAGAACTGGCGTGGCTTCTTGCCGGCGAGCGTCTGGTGGTCAGATGTCCCCCCACAGGCCAGGCACAGGCCAGGCACAGGCCGAACAAGTGACTGTCCTCCTATAGACCCACCACCCATAGGAGGATCTGTAGGGGCCGGTGGGAAGAGATCTGAGCGGCAGTCGAAGGCAGGGGCCTCGACTGCCTGATCTTTGGACACGTGACACCCAAGTCTTCTAAAAACACAATACCATGGCCATGTCTCAATTCTCTTTCCTTGCCTCCTTTTCCTTAATTCCTCTCCTCGACCCACCATTTTTCAGCTGTCAAACAAATGTGGCATATTACGTGGTGTTCCAAAGCTCACAGGAGGCAAGGAAACCACAGAGAAATATGAGCGAATATTCAAGAGACAGACAACAGATAAAATAATAAAACTGTATTTGTTTCACAGTGAGAAATTTGTATTGTTACAACTACACGAGTACAGGGACAGCTGCAAAGGATGTTTGACATGTTATATAATTCTGAATTTGAGAATAAAACTAATAAAATATGTTCAAACACATTTATCTGAAACCAAAGATTCTGGATCTCTCTGAAATAGCAATGTTATAAAATAATCCTTAGTAATAGGCCTCATTACAGGATAATTTTGGTCTCCCTTCTCTGCTCCTCTCTTCTTTGCTCCTCTCCCCTCTCTGTGTCTCCTCTGTGGTTGGAGCTTGCTTACCCATTTCCTGCATAATCAAAAAGATGAATCAAGGAGAAGGAAACAATGAAAGAGGAATGAGATGCAGCCCAGGTCTTATTAAGAGTACCAGTACCATACTTTTGAGAACCACGTTTGTAGATAAAGTCTTGTTTTGTTTTGCATCAACAGGTCATAGTAGCAACAATCATTACTCATTTCTGTGGACTGACCACGTTGTATTACATCGATGTGGTTGGGGAGATTCCCAGTGGGTGAGTTTTTATTTTCACATTAAAAGTTATATTATTTACTGTGGTTGAGAGGGAGAGCTGTAAGAATAAACATACATCTTTACAGCTGATAAACAACCTTAACACTCAGCTTTGTCACACTAACTGTATGCTGTAGTATTTCTTAAAAAGTTTCCTGCAAAACGGCAATGAATGAGAATCTTGGAAGGCCTTAAAGGGCTTCTGCACTGAAAGTACTCATTATTACTTAAGTTTACTTTGGATACCTGCTCAAATAATGAAGTGTAGGCTATAAAACAGTAGATTAATTAGATGATAGTAGCAGCACTGGATTAAGGTAGTAGGCAGTAGTAGTAAATTGTAATAGTAGTAGTGGTCTGTTATCTATAGTTCATTATAATTCTTATCTAATCTTCCTTACTACCGGTACATAATATCAGTTACATGAGCCACTCTTTTTTGTATTTCAGACCAAATATTTTTTCTTCCTTTCTCTCTGTTGCTACAGACTCAAGGCCCCTCAAGCCCCAGATATCAGTTTGTTCTCACAAGTGATTGGTGATGCTTTTGCTGTGGCTATTGTGGGCTATGCCATAAACATTTCCCTGAGCAAGACATTTGCTCTAAAACATGGATACAAGGTGGACAGCAATCAGGTGAGAATAACATTCAAATTCACACATTAGGAAATTATTGTTAGAATGAATTTTGTTACAAATACATAAACATATTATGCAAACTGTACTAATTTAATATAGGGACTGGAAAGAATCAACAAAAGACAAACAATTCCTAGTTCTGCCACAAGAGGTCGCATTTGTGTTAATGTGCAGGTTCTACTCAAGAGAGGGAGGTACATAAAGTTATTTAAAAAAATATCTTAGCTGGCAAAAAATCCTCAGTTGCTTTGATCATTTTTAATTTTAGACATTTCATCTTCAAAGGTAATTATTCAACCTTTAAATCCTTAAATTACTTTTGTTTTGGTTAAGCATTAGAATCAGTCTTCTGGAAATTAAGTGTGTAATGTTGCAAAAAGGCTTGCAAATCCAACTTGTGTGTGTCTATTCTCACTTGGTAATCACTAGATGCTTGACAATAGATGATATGGCAAGATTTATTATGGCGATGCTGGTACTAAATAATGAGAAACGCTTACTTACTTGTAGCATTATTGTATTATTGTATATTGTATATATTACATAAAATAGTTTTAACATACAATATAATTGACAAGGGTCATGTAGAGCACACTGTGTCCTATAAAAGTCTTGTGATTTGTGATGTGCAGCTGGTTTTATGACAATTGAATTAGACTGCCTCTTACTGTAAGCAGATGGCCAAACGCATTACTCGAATCCTGCTGTTATGGCTCCTGTTTCATACATACTGAACAACAGCACTCTCAAGGCACTTCTATACAAAGGAAACATATAGATTAGAAAAATAGTGGTGTAGAAAATAATAATACAAACTAAATTTTTGATTTTTTTTTTCTCTGATATTTTTACTCTTGATACTCTTGATTGATACTCTGATATTATTACTATTTAATAATTTCTTTACTTTTTCAGTTGTGTTAGCCCTTTGAGCTCAGGACACCTTTTGACCTGGCTAAGAGGTTAATTCATCTACAGCTGCAAGAAACAGAGTTTACAACTGCAATACAAAGTGCACTGAATAATTAACTTAAAATACGTTTGCTTCTTAAAGTCAAGGAACAATTGCCTTACTAAATGCTTTTAAAAATGTAAACATTAAAAGGCCCCTATAATTACACTATCAGAAATGCAACTAGAAAACTTTGACTCTGGTAAAAACTGTATCTCTGTATATTTTTAGAAACCTGATGGGAAATATATCTCACATACTAGTATATCTATAAACACATGTATAAACTCATGTATATATCACCATCAGATGGCCAAATACCTTCTTAAATTTAGTCTTTTCTGTAGACATGTGTAAAAGCCTGTCTAATTGTATCATCAGCATAAAATGATGAAAAACAGTCACTTTTCTGGTACATATCCAGAAATATTTATGAATGTACATTATCCCTGTTGCAAAAAAAAAAAAAAAAAAACCCCACAACAACTAACAAATAAACATCTACCCTCAATGCAGAGGTACTGTTTTCAAATCGTAACCTAGTTCAGATGGTCAAATTTATAGACCTCGACTAAGTTTATCAAGGTCAAATATAGTTCAGTCTGAAAATGGCTCATAAACCACCAGTGCTTCCTTTCATGTTTTTATTCAGGGCAGATAATGTCGATGTATTTGGGTGAACAGTGAGTTACTGTTCACAGTGGTAAGCACTCATCTCGGTATTGTCCCACAAGCACACACCACTTGCAGAGGCATGTGACTGGGATCATTGGGCTGAGAGCACTCAAGCTTTAAGTGCTGATCTGCAAAATCATTAACGACCAACATGCCCAACGCAGCCTACCGCTCAGACATGCCTGTGGTCCTGTGGGTGCTAGTCAGTTTAATAAATACTCTAATGTTAATAATTGTATTACCACATTGTATGCACTATATATAACATCATCGTCAGTGTAAATGTATAACTAAAACAATGAGAAGAATATCTGTATGAAATTCACAAACTGTATCATTGTCTTCAGTCCCCAGTGTACATGTAGAATTAGTGACCCCAAATGAGCTCACATGAGAGTGAGTTCTGTTCTGTCTGGGTTCTTCTATAGCCATTAAGGTGATAAATGAATAGATAGGCAATGCATATCAGGTCTGTACTCCAATCAGTACTACTACAGGTATTTGATTACTATTCAGATAAGCAGTCTTTTTTATTGATGATTGAATTGATGCATGGGCTATCAGTAAAATTGTTGTGACATGAAAATGCAATACTAAAATGTGCAACATAAATGATATGTTCTGACTTGTCTTTTTCAGGAGTTGGTGGCCCTTGGTCTATGTAACTCCATCGGGGCCTGTTTTCAGTGTTACAGCGTCACATCGTCTTTAAGTCGCAGTCTGGTTCAGGAGAGCACTGGGGGAAAGACACAAGTAAAATACAGTTATTAATAAAAGGGGAATCTGTGTTCAGGAAATATTTAAAGAAAAAAAAAAAATATATATAATAATAATAATACTTTTTTGCGTGCTTCTAGGTAGCTGGACTTATTTCTTCCATTTTTGTTCTAATAATTGTTCTGAAAATAGGAGCACTCTTTGAAGATCTCCCAAAGGTAATGCCAAGCACTGTGCCTGTTCATCAATGAAAATGTTTAACTATTAACTAAAGCTTTCAGTGTGCCAATGCTACTTAAAAAACAACATTTTAAAAATGTGGTCTGGCCACACTTTATTTGTTTTATAGGCTGTCTTATCAACAATAGTATTTGTGAACCTCAAAGGCATGTTTAAGCAGTTCACTGATGTACCTCAACTTTGGAGAACCAACCGAGTGGATCTGGTAAGCTATTTGTTCACTTGTATATTTGAAAAGGGCAACTATACAAATTTAACTTAACTTGCTTTTTAGCTTGTATGGGTGATTACATTTGTGAGCACCATCCTGCTGAACTTGGACATGGGCCTTGCTGTGTCCATTGGGTTTTCCATTCTTACTGTGATCTTCAGGACACAACTGTAAGTAAGAAACTACTTTGTGTAACTTTTTTATGGTTAGGGTTTTTATACAAAGCATCAATCTGCGAAAGAAAAATTCTGGATATAATTTTAAGAAAAGCCACAAAGAAAGCCTGTAGTGTTCCATTTCACACACACACAAAAACTAAAAAGACAGAACATGAATACTAATGACTGCAGACCTCAATCTCATCTTGTTTAAGATACTGTATATTACATAGTGTAACTCAAATTTCTTATGTTTTATTTATAACGGTCTTAATTATAAGAATTTTGTATGTAATTTGTTTGCATCTTCCTAAAAAGCAAACAAAAAGACAATGCTGTGTTCTGTCAATTGAAATTCAATCAAAACATTTCAGTCTGTGATTTTTCTTAAATGTGTTTTTAATGTCCAGGCCTCGCTATTCCATTTTGGGTCAAGTGCCAGGAACCGACTTGTATCTGGAAACAGAGACCTACAAACAGGTATTTTGTCTAGTAAATTTCAGTACAATATACAAGTGCACACAATCAAAAAATACAATTATTAAGAAATGTTATTACTTCTAAAGTAATAACTTCTAACAGGCATTTATTAAAGATTTAGTAGACAGTGGTTAAAAACACACTGTGTTACCACATGACATCACTAGGTGGAACAGAGTGTTTTGTTTGAGAGAAGAACGCAGCCTAAATATGCAGGGTTTGTGTGTTAAACGTGCAAATGAAATAAAACTCCAGGTATGTTTGTGATAAGGAAACAATATTATAACATAGATCAGAAAATAGTGTAATATGGGCCCTTTAAACTCCTAAAAAAGTGATTTAAAACTTTTGCAAATACACATGTGCACAGTCAACTAGGTCTTGATCTAAAAAGTTCAATGTCTTTATTATATGTGTCTCTTCAGGCCAAGGAAATCCCCGGAATCAAAATCTTCCGCTCGTCCACCACCATCTACTACACGAATGCTGAGATGTATTTGGATGCTCTCCAGGAGAAGGTGTGTTCATAAACTTCAAATCCCTGTTGTGCTTTCTTCAGCTCTGCTAATAGCTCTCATTATCTCTTTGTTTTCCCTGGTGCTTTGTGCTGCTGTGTGTGTAGAGTGGAATTGAAATCGGAAAACTGCTCACAGCAAAAAAGAAAGAAGAAGCCAGCATGAAGCGTCAACAAGAAAAAGAGAAAAGGAAAGCAAAAAAACTTGCAAAGAAACAAGTATGAAACCTTTATGTTGCTTAAAATGTCAATATGTGTAATGTGTAGAGCACTGATGTGAGAAAAGAACTAAACATTTTGGCCAATTCAAGTTAGTTTTGAAGTTCATCTTGAGCAGCTACTTCTGCATCCATCATTAGTGTCAATTAATACCCTTTACCATTTATTTAAATATTTAAACAAGCTACCAGAGTAAATTTGCATTTACTATGCAGTTTATAAAATATAGTTTGCCTCCTAAACTCGCCTCTGACACAGTAAATAATATATTTGGTTCTAAAATTTCAATAAAATAAATAAGTGTGCTGTTATACTTTAACATATATATTTTAACATATTTTTTAACCGTATATATTTCATATGTATTTTTAGAAAAGAACAAACTACCAGTCGACTGGTAGCTTCACTTTGACAGAGTCCCAGAGGAAGGAGCCCACAGGCCTGAATGGACACAGACATGGAAATGGGGCTCCGTCACATATGACGGAAACAAATGGCCAAGTAAACTGGGCCTATCAACACGATGCGGCCACATTAGAAACAGACTCTGAGTCAGACACTTATTGTCAAATTGAAGATGAAGTAAAGGGCAATAAAAAGCAGAAAACTCACAGCATAATCCTGGATCTATCCACTACCAGCTTTGTGGACACAGTGACCATCAAAACCCTGAAAAATGTGAGTGTTAGTGAAATGTTACAAGAATAATTGTGGAAGATAAAACAGAGAAACTAATTTTTTTTTATTCAGTTGAAGTTTTTTTTTAAAATGTAACATTTTTACTAAATCAGCACATGTTCAGCAGCTACAAATTTGGGTAAATTAAACTGTTGCATGTTTAAGCAATATTTAGTTAAATCACCATATGGTGGAGGCTCTAGTACAGAAAAGCCAGATTAATACAATAAAATAAGATTAACAAAGACCTAACTATGCTCAATCACTCTGTGTCCTCACCACCACCTTTTGGCAATAATTTTATATGATATTTAAGTCTGTACATTGTATGTGTCAAAAGCTTATCTTGTACAATGATTGTAATGCTGCTTTTTCTTTTAGATTTTCAGAGACTTTGGGGAGATTGATATGGCCATCTATCTCACAGGCTGTCAAGGTGAGTAGTACACCAGACAAAACATTCAGTTAAGGATTTGTTATTGGGGGACAAAAAAATTATAAATATCTATATAAAACGTTTTCAGCATCTGATATACTGTAATATATGTGTGTATTTTTAGCTTGTGTTATTGAAGAGTTTGAAAAAGCAAATTTCTTCTCAAACTCCATCCCCAAAAGCCAAGTGTTTGTAACGGTCCATGATGCTGTGCTTCATATTCAGAGGACCAGGAACCTGCTGGAAAAGGTGAGTCTGTACTGACAATGCTGTTATTATGGTATAAATATCATGGCTTCAAGATGCCTCTCTTATTTTGGGTGTTCTTCTTTCCCCACTCCACAATGACAATATGCAGGTATAAATTTGCTTTAAAGGTGCAAGAGTCCAAAACCTGTTTTGTTCCATGGAGATGTTGTTGTTTTGTCAAAAATGTTTCACAGTATAGCATTAAAACCTTTCTAAACCAGGCCAAGTTGCAGGTCAAATCTCTGGAGAGACAGCCCCCCTCACATTCAGAATGTCTGTTTTTCTAGGTATTTATGAGCTATAAAACCATCTGTAATTTCATAAATGTAAGGTACATCTGTTTAATGTCATATTGTGGAACATCTGAAGCAGAGCAATGGCATGTCTATAGAAAGATGATGGACACCCAACCAAAATGTTACATAGGACACCTTTAATATACTTTATCTGTAATACATCTGTTATATTAATATAATTCATTTACTATTTCATATTAAAATCTGTTTCAAAATAATGAATACTTTGAATTTACATGTATTCTTGTTTTAGGAAATCGCCTGCATCACTCAAATGTAACCAGCAGGAGGCAGACTCTTCCTTAGTGAATAGACATTTTTATTCACCATTGGACTGAGTGCTGCTGTGAGTCTCCTCCTCCTCCTTCTTTGTGGAGGTAGATATGCACCACCTCCACAACATGGCCGCTGGTTGCCCTTGGAAACAGGGCTTTTTATGATATTGTATAATGAGATCGAGCCTGCATCACGTCACCACTGCAGCTCTCTTCTGCGAAAGAAGAGACAGCAAAGAAGGCTGAGTAGGAGAGAACTCTCTGGAGTAATAGGCAACTGTATAAATATAGACCAATTGACGTTGAAACACAATGAAAAAAAACGTCACGGTTTAGGTCTTTAAAACACAATAAATAGTACTATTGTAGTTTTTGCACAGAGGGAAATGTTTCAATGATGACATGTTATTATATAATTATTACACACAATAATGGGTAAAACTGGCCATTATTAAGTTCGTATTAATTGTTGGTGTGGTGATGGTAAATCCAAGAACACAAATATTTTTTCCCCTCCAAATATTCAGTTTTTATATATATTTTTACTGATGCTATTTTTATGTACACTAAATCACACAAGGTTCAAGTTCACTTGTGACCATTATGATAAACCAAAATTTACTAGCTTGTTTGAATTTACAAATTAAGACATGTTTCACTCTGTGTACTTCAGTTACTTTTTAAAATCTAATATAAAACCAGAAACACAATAGTTTATAGAGTCAGCACTGCTTCTCTTTGTGTCTTATGCTGTTTCGTACAGATAATATGGGGTTTCCCTATTCAAGTATGTGACCTTTTGAAGCTGCCTCGTTTCTCTTCAGTCTAGTTTCACATCTCTTTCACTCTCTCAAAATGACATGACGTACCATTTGCTATGTAATTACAGAGATGCTAAAATGTATTATTTACCATATTTGTAAATACTGTTGATATTTTAAAGAGAGATTTTTTTTTTTAGCTCAAAATAGCTACACAGCTAAATGTTTGCAGTTTCTGTCAGGGCTTCCTGCCTGTGGTTCTGTGAATGAAAGGAGGAAATCCTCTTGAACTGCAAATGACCTGTTAAAAGTTCACCCCAGGTTTCTATGCCTCACCATATGTTATTTCTATGTTTTTAAAGCTTTAACTTTTATATAATAAAATTGGTTGTATGTTGGTAAGTGTTTTAAATAAAAAGAGCCATACATAAAAATCTCCATCTTGGGCCATTTATTGCATCATTACTCAGATCAAATCTCAACCCGTTTCCCTGCACCTGCCTTTTGCACATCAAAATCTCTCTTTACCTTGCTAGAATGTGGAAATACTGATCACAGATTTTTACAATACAATACGATAGTTCTATTATAACACACATCTGGTAGTGGTGCTGATGCAATGTCTTATTTATTATTCTTCTTTGTAAGTAATGGAGGCTATTTTTATACAAAAAAGAAAACACAGCTGGAAGAAAGATAATGGCTGGTGTTAAATTGGGATGCCATGATTTGAAGCTTTTAGTAACACTGTAGAATAGCTAACCACAATTGTAATCAAATCAGTATTAATATATTAATACTTAATATTTCACACCGTATTACTAATGAATTAATACATTATCTCGAGATTATTGGTACTGCTTTGTAAATGGCAACATATTCATTACTCAATGATAATACTTCATAGTGCTTAGTTATTATAAAGTGTTACCAAGCGACCAAAATGAGATATACCCGAGACACATATACTATACATGGCATCTAAGATCTTTTGATGCGTATTATCTTTTATACAGAGCAGCAAAATATTAGAAATGTACTAGTATAATGTAATATTAGCAAATACTATAAAGCAATTGTTTATTCAATTTACTTTTCAATTGTGAATTCAAGCAATGCTTTAAGATAGAAGGTTATGTTCCAAATGTGTATGCATGACATCTTATCCTATACCATGTTTTATTCTGATATTGTGCTGCTCTCTTATGATGTCTACTTATGATGGCAGGACATCTCGTGGTACACAGAGTGAACAATAGGGGGCAGCAGCAACAACACTGGTCACACCACAGACAAGACTGGACGGCACAAAGGCAGCGGGCAAGAGAGGGGCGAGGTAGAGTCAGAAAGAGAAGCTTGGGATGCATCCTGTCAAAGGTGTGGGCTAAGCAAGGTATTATGCCTAATATTATCTTTGGTCCATTCCCCCTCGGATTTTTCATACTTTAAATCTGTTAAACATATGATTGTAAATTTGAACCACTGCGCGTGGGTGTAATTCTGAGTGTGTTTTGAATGTGAAAAGGAAACATTTCCTTTATGTATGTTAGGTGCATTAGATGACACTCTCAAAGAGCAGTGTACTCTTGGTGCCTGTAGAGGGCAGCAGCTTGGCTTCACTCTCAGGGGCCAGGTACTCAAGGTGGTGTCTTCCCCACACAGGAGTGGTGAGGTGCTGCCAACGCTGTGGAAGTATAAAGTTATTTGTTAGTTATTCAAGTAACTTATGTATCATTATTGTCACTAATCAGTATGAATATTTGTACTATTACAAATTAACAAAAAAAAGTAAAAGTAAAATCCATATTTAGTACATGGATGGGCCTTTTCACCACAAAATTCATCCATCCATTTGCCCGTATTTTGATTCGAACAATTTACCTTGAGTGGAAGGACATGAAGGCTCACAACTGCCTTAGTGAATGACCTTATCACTCTAGCCTGTTTTGAATATGTCAAGTTAAATATTAAACTATGCACCAGCTTCTTAAATAATAATTAAATAATAATTCAATTACTACTTGTTGAGCAATGCTGCAACTAGGAAACGAGTGTTTATTGATTTTAGTAACACAGGATACTAACCTAAAAGATAACATTAAGTTACATATTATTTGTACTGACCTCCCGCAAGGATCCCTTACATCGCAGCATTTTGTAGAGAACAGTGAGAGGGATACAGAGCATAGAGGACAGAGCCAGGGTCCAGCCGAGTAGTTCACCCCACAGTGGATAGGTGTAGATGGTATTGTAGGTCAAGGGCTTGTAGTTTACCACGTGAAAAAAGAACACGCCCTACAAACAGATGAAAAAAGTATGTTTATTGGTTGTTTTGACTTGCAGTGCAATAAAAAAGTTACTTACCACACAGACCAAAGGGGTGATATAGGACCAGCACCACTTCATGTATGGTAGCGGCTGGTAGCCAATCATTCGAGCCACATCATCCATAAAGCGGTCTGCACCTAATTAAACAGTGTTTAATGAGTGTTAACACAGATCATTTTATTAGTACTATATAGAGACAGTAAAAGACATTAAAAAGAAGTGCATACAATGCTTGAAGGGTGAGTGATGAGATAAGAAGAATGGCTACAGTTCTTCTTGTGTGGGAGTTTGTGTGTGTGACCACAGACCATTCTGAAACCGACTGTAACAAGCTAATTACAATTACAGTATACAAATATGTTATGCAACAAAAATAGCAATCACCTGTACTTTTCCTACATTATATGTATGTATGTATACGTGTATATATATATATATTTATATATATAATGAATTAATCATTCTTGTTTTGATTAACAAATAGATAGTCCTTACCATAAACCCATGCGATCACCACACACTCCCAGAAGGCCTGCCACAGAAGTGTGATACCACTGGCAGAGTAATAGTCGAACAACTGGAAGACATACATGCCTCCCTAAAAGAACAGAGAGAACAGTCTTCAATAACATCACATCTTTAATAGTTAATGTCTGCTCTATTTCTAGTCCGTCTTCCCAGCTCCTAATGATTACTGCTGCTTGTGCAGCTACAGTATGCATAAATATTTTCATACTTATTCGCATTAGATGGCTGGAATGATGGATGGGAAACTCCCCGGACAGTGGTCAGTGTAGACACACAGGGCATTTTTTACACTTCTACACTATTTTGTTGTCAGTATCTACTGACTCTTTAAATGTGCAACCATAATAACCAAAAATATGTTTCTTTTGTTAATTGCAAACCACAATATTAATGTAAAACAGAAACAGGTGCATGGACTTCTTGTTCAAACTTCAACATCTGGTTCTAATAATATCTAAATAAGTCTCCTTTAAACATGCACAGCAATACTCCATTGAAGTATGCCTGATCAAGATCATTGTTCAAGATCTACAGTACACTGGTTGCCCCTGCAGCTCTGAAGGATGAGGTAAATACAGAGCACACATTACCACTGGACTATTCTCTCAGTCCTATTTTTACTGTACCTCAGTGACCATGGACATGTCAATAAGGAAACAGATCAGGCAGCAGATGGCTGCCACCACTTCTCGTTGCAGGGAGCCCAGGGCGGACTTGGGAGGTAGCATGTCCATGATACCGGTGATCAACCCCTCCACTCCAACGAACTGAGGAGAGAAAGAGAAAGTAAGACACGTGCTAGAGTTTCACTGACTGAAATTACACACGTTTCCTTATTAAAACTGAACACTTGTGCAGGAGGCTATGGTGTCTAATCAGAGAATTGACCACAGGTAAAAAAAACTTTAATTACTGTCTAAATTTAAATAAATACCACATAACTACATTTAACAATATAATCAGAGAAACCAACTATCATAATTACTATCTTTATAATAAAATAACATAGAACTTTACATTCCATATTAAGTAATATAGTTGGTAACAATAACTTGTACTTTTACTTGAACCTGATGTAGCAACAGTGCATTTACTTAATTTAAATATATTTTAAATACTTCTAGTTTTGAGCATAGTGCTTTCTACTGTTTGGCAAACAGTGTAGGCGTAAGTGAATGGAGTGACAGAGACAGCTGCTGTGAGTGAATCAGACAGAAGCTCATTGACAAATCCCTTGACTGGAAACAATGGATGTAGGCAACAAACCAGAGTCTGAGAAATACAGTCCTCAACCCAAGCTGTGGGTCTGGACTGACCTGAGAGAACTCCACAGAGGGGCAGAGGCACAAAGCGACTGGATATTTACCTTCGCCAAGGAGGTTATGTTTTTGCCTGCGTTTGTCTTTTTCTTTGTTTGTTTGTTTGTCTGTTAGCAACATAACTCAAAAAGTTATGGACCGATTTTGATGAAATTTTCAGGATTTGTTGGAAATGTGAAAAGGAAGAACTGATTTCATTTTGGAGGTGATCCGGAAGAAATCCTGGATTCTGGATCACTTTGAAATTTTAGTTAACATTGTGGTAAATGGGGCCAAAAATTTTGTTTCTCAATATCTCGGTTAATTATTGACCAAACCCCATGAAATTTGACTCAGGGATGGACAATGGGATCCTCTTTCATATTCCAAAGGCTGATCCGGATCTGATCCAGAAGACAGATTTTATCGCAATTTATATAAAAAATGGGGGTAGTCCTTGGCGGAGGTCTGCGCTCTGAGTGCTTTTCTAGTTTTAGTAATGTATTTCTTTATAAATATATTTGTGAAACATCACATTGACATCTAAAACATATTTTGGAATTAATTAGGTATTTTGTGATAGTAATATTAAAAGAGCCTGAGCTATAACAGCAGTACCTATTAACTATAGTTGTGGTAATAAGAGTAGGCCATGTGAAGTGGTTATAAAAGTACTTGTTGTACTTGTGTCCTGACTAAAGAAATATATTCCAATATATTGTATTGTATTACCTGGCTATCCAAGCCCAAGATGAGCAACATAAAGAAGAAAAGAGCTGCCCAAAGGGGTGCAAGGGGCATCAGCGTTACAGCTTTTGGGTAGGCTATGAAAGCTAGACCTGGGCCTGCAAGCACAGAATACACTATAAAAATTATAACCTTTGTAATGTTTTCTTTTGATTGTGTTCATAAAAGCACTTTATTCTTACCACTTTCTGCAACCTTACTGATGTCTACACCTTGTTCTGCAGCCATGAATCCCAGCACTGAAAACACCACAAAGCCAGCAAAAAAACTGGTCCCACTGTTGATGAGGGCCAACATGAAAGCATCCCTGCAAAAGCACAAGTAAGTCACAAGGAAAAGAAAAATCTGAAAAGTTATACAGAGTTATACTTTGCAACATGGTGCAATATAATAACTGAAAGTGAACACTGAACTAAGAAGGGAGGGGGTTTAAGATCAATAAGCAATTTGTCTAAAAGCTCTTATTGTTTATGGAAACTCTAGCTAGAAAAATGCAGTTAGACTCATTGTTACTTACTGTAAAAAAAAAAAAGAAAAGAAAAAAGGTCTTCATCGCAAGTTAGAATTTGTCTCACATTTTGTGACATTTTTATGTAGATATGAGAGACAATAAAAACTTAAGTACATGTTTAAAGTGTTTGCATAAATTATTTTCTATTAAGAACCAGCAAAAGCCTTTGTCCAAATGCATCTGATGCCCTTGCAGTCTATTTCAGGCCTTGATGACTCATCTGTAGACATGCAAGTGTCCATTTAAAGCAGCCCAGGGATGTGGTTATGTGAAAGACATATTCAGAAGAAAACAGCAATTGGGACAAGTTATACCCTGTCTAAGCCCCAGTCTAAGAGACTTGGGTCACTTATACCCCACAAGAGCAAGTAGATGAAGATATAGAAGTCATAAGAGAAGTGCTATTACCTGTGGCAGAAGTAAAACTTTAATAGTAATAATGACATGGTTTATGTTAAAGTCAAAAAGATATCCTTAAATAAGTAGAGACTAATATATTTAAGTTTCATAATAAACCTTGAGTGCTACCTGTAGACTACTCATTGCGTTAATTACAATTTGTAAAATTACTTTATGATGTAGTAATCCCATTGTACATAGATAATAGGACCTCTTTTATTACACAAATGTTCTAAATGTTAAAAATGAAAATGTGATGATTATGATTAAATTGTGAATGTTGTCATGCTGAGTCCAAACTCACTGGTAACAGTTGTTGTGAAAGCGGTTATAACTGCCCAGAGCAGTCAGAGCCCCAAGTCCGATGGCATAAGAGAAGAAGATTTGAGTCCCTGCATCAATCCAAACCTAACACAAGTCGTATCGTTTTAACAACAATATCCTGTGACATCAATGTTGCCCCATTTTTTTAAGACGATTTCTTGTCCTACCTGTGCCTCTCCAAGTTTGGACCAATCTGGTTTCAGGTAGTAAACAATCCCGTCTAAAGCTCCTGGCAGAGTGACTCCATGGGCCAACAGCACCACCAGGACCAGGTAAGGGAACAGGGCTGTGAAATACACTACCTATAAAAGAACAAAAAGTAAAACAAATGAGAGTACTGCAGTGTTTGTGTGAAGGAGGGGAGAATAAAATACTTCTAACCTCTTGAGTTAACGCATCTAAACTACACAGCTACAGTAAGTACACACACAATGTCATTGTACTAACTGAAACAGGTTAATAATAAGCTCCAGTTGCTATTGCTCTACTAATGTTTTGGTTTTATCAAGTATGTTTTATTTTTTACATGATCACTTGTATTAAGCCATTACCTGCTGTAAATACTCATAAGAAGAGGCCCATTTGGTCCCTCCTGCAGATGTAATGGGCCTGTCATGTTACTTTGGAGAAAAGGTAGCCTGTAAATGGAAAGCCAGACAATTTGTAAACCTCCTGCAATAGCAGGGGTTTTTGGCAACCTTTTCAGACAAATACGACCCTTGTGACCAATTACACAAATAAGTTTCAATCTATCAGTCAAAACACATTCGCTGTTTGCCTTTGTAAATGAACACAGACTCAAATCCCTTCTCTGACCTCAAATATTACAAGTCAATAATCAGCTTACTCAAGCTGCTAAAAACTCTTACCACAAAACAAAATTATATTAACAATTTACTGCCTTAAGATGACAATTCAGATTTAATACCTGCCTTGTAATAAAGTATACATGTGTATAAGGTTATTAAGATAAGATATTCAGATAACAAACAAAAGTGAAAACAAAGAGCTGTCTCTAATCTGATTAAATACAAATGAAGGCAATTGAGGGCACATAATATTTAGAAAAATAGTTTTCAGACTAAATTCTCTAGAAATTTTCTAAGTTGATTTCATGGGAATCTGAGCCCTTAGGGTTAAAAAGAAAAGTTGCATTTGGGAACAATTCTTTGTATCAGTATCAGTAACTGTACTAGTAAGTCTCTATACTCAGTGAACCTCAACTACATGAACATGTTATTTCACAATCAACAGAGGGGGCTTTACCTTGCCAGTGGATTTAACTCCCTTCCACATACAGAAGTAAACGATGATCCAGGTGGCTATAAGACATAGCACCATCTCGTAGCTAATGGCACCGGGCTCATGAAGACCTCCCGACAGACGAAGTACTTTACGCCTATGAAAACAGAAAATATATTTACGCATCAAATGTGTGTAACAATATAAGTAACTGGATAGTTTGCGCTCTGTCAAACCGACTGGTAGCCACTGAGCAGAGCCCTAACAAAAGCAGGAGTTTTATTACTACATCAAATGTTCTGCTCCTAGTTTCATTTGGATTGTTAACCCTTATGCCGATCCTGACCAACCACATACTGTAATGGAATTCTGGAGTTAGTGTCACTATATTTCATTCACTATGAAAAGTATAAAATAACATATGACTACATACTCCCAAAACTCGATGACAGGGGAACGCAGACCCTCCTGCTCCAAGCAGGTTCCATTGAACAAGGCTGACGACAGGTTTAATGGTGCAGAGAAGGACAGGTTGGTGGAGGCTACAGTGCTGTGGTTGAGACAGGAGCGTCTGAAGTCCTGTGTGCAGTTGGGCGTGTTCCAAGGATGCCCACAGGTGGCCCACGGGAGAGGGTTTGTGAAGGAGTGAAACAGGAAGTACAGGCCCCACACCAAAATCATTATGTAGTAAGTGTTACAGAAGAACACAATCACCATAGAGGCCAAGCCCAAACCTGAGACAAGAAAGGATGGAAGTAACATCCAAAAATTAGTAAATGATTAAATTATTTTAAACGTAAGAAGAGGTTATCAGATCTCATACATTATTATTACTACATTTGTTTAAAGACAAAGTTTAAACACTGTTTAAAGACAAAACTGAGATCTTTATTAGGTGGTGTACCCTGCACCAGAAAAAGTTCCATAGCACACCTTTAATTATGCTTTTACTTATACAGTCCCTGACAAAAGTCTTGTTGCTTATCCATTTTGTAGAAACAAAAGCTTATAACTTGACTTTAAATTAATCGATTGGTTTTAGAAATGTCTCATATGAAAGCTAAAACCCTCCCAAATTATGCTCAATATACTAAAAAAAAATTTGCTTCACTGAAAAAAGATTGATCATTTAATGAACACAGAAAGGTCAGATTTTGGCAAGACAAAAGTCTTGTCGCCTTGTCATATGATGCACCCAATCCTAGATTACAGCCTCACCTGTGGTCAGTTACTGATCAATCAATTAGTGGGTGTGTATAAAAAGAACCCCAGCACACCAGACCTTCACATCAACTGCAACTTGACCTCTGACAACATGCCTAAGATCCACCCTGAGACCAAAGCGTTAATTATCAAGAGGCTGAAGACCAGATCCACTGCTGAGGTGGCTGACACCTTCAATGTGTCTCAGCGTCAAGTACAAAGAATAAGAAAAAGATCTGAAATGACTGGAGATGTTTTTGACAAGCCCAGGTCCGGCAGACCCCGCAAGACAACTGCTCGGGAGGACCGTTTATTGATTCGAAAATCCACGGCCAGCCCCTTTTCCACTGCAGCAGACTCCACCAGGCCTGGTCACCTCAAGTCCCTGTGTCAACCACAACAGTTTGTAGATTTCTGTCTCGAAATGGCCTCCATGGTCGAATCAGTGCAAGAAACCAGCACTAAACAAAAGGCAATTAAAAAAACGTGTGGCATTTGCCAAGGCCCACAGCCTGCTAAAAGAATGGACAAGTGGACTGGAAAAGTGGTAGAAGGTGGATTTCTCAGATGAATCCTCAGTTGAATTACATCACAGCTGCCACAAATATTGCAGGAGACCTACTGGAGCCCACATGGATCCAAGATTCACCCAGAAAACAGTTAAGTTTGGTGGCGGAAAAATCATGGCCTGGGGTTACATCCAGTATGGGGGTGTGCGAGACATTTGCAGGGTGGAAGGCAATATCAATAACCTAAAATATCAAGAAGTATTAACTACCTCTTACATTCCCAACCATAAAAGGGGTCAAATTTTGCAGCAGGATGGTGCTCCATCGCATAATTCTATCTCGACATCAAAGTTTCTCAAGGCGAAGAAGATCAAGGTGCTCCAGGACTGGCCAGCCCAGTCACCAGACATGAACATCATTGAGCATGTCTGGGGTAGAATGAAAGAGGAAGCATGGAAGGCAAAACCAAAGAATCTTGATGAACTCTGGGAGGCATGTAAGACTGCTTTCTTTGCTATTCCTGATGACTTCATCAACAAATTGTATGAATCATTGTGGAACCGCATGGATGTAGTCCTTGAAGCTCATGGAAGTCATACAAGATATTAAATATGGATCTCACAGCACCACTACTTAATTCACTGACGTTATGCAACATATTTTTGTATTTGAAGTAAATTATTTGTTCAATTTTCTGTAGGCGACAAAACTTTTGTCTTGCCAAAATCTGACCTTTCTGTGTTCATTAAATGATCAATCTTTTTTCAGTGAAGCAAATTTATTTTAGTTTATTGAGCATAATTTGGGAGGGTTTTAGCTTTCATATAAGACATTTCTAAAACCAATCGATTAATTTAAAGTCAAGTTATAAGCTTTTGTTTCTACAAAATGGATAAGCGACAAGACTTTTGTCAGGGACTGTATGAGGGATGGAGCTTCTATTATATATTTTATTATAATGTGTATAATTGTTCTAGACTAGTGCAATTACTTACAGTTACAGTTGTATCATTTGTAAATTACCATTTAAATGCATCTACCTTTGAAAAGAGGTGCAATATTCCAGGCAGAAACTCCTCCTTGCTTCATGAATTGTCCAAGTGCAATCTCCAAAAAGAAGACAGGGATACCTCCAATAAACACAATCAGCAGGTAGGGAATAAGGAACACTCCTGAAAAATGTACACAAAACAGAACTATCTTAAATATTAATTCAGCTACAGATGATAAAAATACATACATACATTACTTTTAAAAACACTAACAGATAAAGGGCTAAGGGAGCAAGTAAAAATAAGCCTATTTTTCAGGTAGACAAGGCCAAAGATAATACTGTATGCCTGAGATAACTCGTCTTTCATTCCACAAATGCTTGGCCCCAACTGTCCTTGAACTTAAATGTGAAGACAAATGCACTAACAAATAAATAAGCTTTAGAACTAAATAAAATATCCCCCCCCCAGCCTTGTATGATTCTGTCTTGGTTCTGGTTTTGCTCCTTAACTTGTAGTCTATGTTTATGTATGCCCTGTATTTAGAATTTACTATGTCGATGAGTATTGCTGCAGCCCCAGACATTCAAAGCTATTTTAATTTCTAATAGCTGTCATAACCTTAAGGCAGATGGCTTTTACAGTACCTACCTACTAAAAATAACTTACATTAGATTTTTATGTAACACCATGGAAGTAAAAATATACATAGACAAAAATAGGCTTATATTTAACAACTGGCGCTGGACATTCAACTCTATCTATTTCTATTTCCAGAGCTATAAACATATAAAGTGGCATAGCTAGCAGAGAGAGAAAAGATGGAAGGGTGATCATGTGACCTACTCTGACGCAGAAAAAATAGGAAGGAAAGACAGACACATCACAGGAAGGACAATGACATAGACAAAGGCAGTGTTCAAATAGGCTCAACAAAAACAAAAATACACAATTATACGCTAATTTAAATTAATTGATATTCATGCTTTAGCTGGTCTAATGTTTCTTTGTGCTACTCTATGAGAGAATAGGGTTATAACCTTATAAGGAAACATCAGCGTGAGTGAGTGAGGAGGGGAGGGAGAGAAAGGACAGAGCAAAGAAGCAAAGAGAAGTGTGAGTGGAAAGGGCTTTTTATACAGCAAGACTGGCAACATCAATGGCCACATTGGTGACAGAGCATAGACAAGCCAAGGCAATGGTCCTATCTTGCAATGGTCAATATACAGAACCAACTGCTTTTTTTTCATAAGTTCTTTAGTGTGTAATTAAGTATCATTTCTCCATATCTCAGACCCATAATAAATTCCTGAATACGGGTCCACATCAAAATGAATACATTCAGTCCTTCTATACACTAACATTGATAGTCATGATGTGTTATGTGTATGTAAGTCTTAGCCACGACTATGCTCCAACTAGAAGATCTTAACTGGACATCAGTGTCAATTATGACAGGTCTTCTCTACAGGGCTTCACTGATTCATAGACCAAGGAAAAATTATTGAACTGAGTCACAAGACAGTTAGAGTGTGCCATAAACTTCGGCTCCTTATCAGAGCTTATCAGAGGGAGAGCTGCAGTGAGCACCTTTGTGATTGACCTAAGCCAGTGCTCGGCAGGAGCACAGGGGGTGCTCTGTGTGAGGCTGGTCATTGTTATACGATACCAGAAGGTGGTTGAGAGCCTTGGGTCACAAGACACTGTGCCAGGGAAGGGGGGGGTTGCCGTAGGGGCAGCAATGACACATTTGTACATTCATAAAATAAACAGTGGGTAAGGCTAAAGATAAGCACACTGTTACGACTATAGACTGCTGTTGCTGGAGAGAGTTCACTAAAGGACAGGTCAGCACATAAAAATGGAGATGTAGAAAACGGTTACAGTAGTAGTGTTATCACCTGTCTTTACACGGGGCAGTAAGGGAGTAAGTACTATATGGAAACTAGTGTTTATAGAGTAGCACAGGGTTGAGTGGCAGAGTGGGCATGGCCTTAGGTGTACGTGCTCATAACCATGCACTGCTGTATGTTGGTAATGCTACTCACTGTGAAATGCCTGTGACTGTTTACTCCTAGACTTTTATAGGTGACAGATGATGAGGTTTTGGACTAACATGCAGTGTTGTGTTAGGGGTTGCAGAGTTGTAGTTCTTTAATGTATTCATGCCGGCTTTCCAGTAAACTTTAGCCACTCAGTACAACTCTTAGAATGTTTTAGATTACCTCAAGTCTCTGATTAACAGTAAAACACGAAAATAGCACTAATTTTGATTGGCAGGTTTAATAATTTATATTTCCTTTGACGTTGTTAATAGAACCTAATCTAATACATTTCAAACTCAATGCAGGGTTGCCAAGCAGCCAACAACATATTTTGAAGTGCAATATGCTGGTACAAGAACGCTTTCCAGTAGACTGTAATATTGAGGAATACTTGATGACACTGACAAACTAAGCGTAAATTGTGAACCTTACCCCCTCCATTCTTGTAGCAGAGGTAGGGGAAGCGCCACACATTCCCCAGGCCTACAGCGAAGCCCACACAGGACATGATGAAGTCCATCTGTCTGGTCCAGGTCTCTCTCTCCACTACTGGGACAGCCACAGCCCCATTGGCTGCAGCTGCAATACCCTCAGGATTTGGAGGAGGGCCAGCCCCGCTACCGTCCCCACATCCTGAACCTGTGCTGGGCACCAGGGGCCGCACTGACCCAAGACCCTCCTCCTCTGAAAGCGTTCCTGCCTCCAACTGTGGAAGGGGCATCTCGCCTAGACACACAGAATAGCATAGATGACATAGGTTATTAACAAGGTTAACTGTTAAAATAATTTAATTCTATTAAATATTGGTTATGGAGGAGCAGAAATGGTTTGTTTAAGGTCACAAACGTGTATGGCCAAGTGTGGCCATGTTTCTGACACAGTGATAAATGAGCTGCAGTGCAACACACGGACAATGTGGACAGTACGCAGATACTGCTCAATGTGGGCAAGGTTAGGTATCCTTTAAAACCAAGTCTATCAGGTATTTACAGACATACAACAAACAGAAATGTGACTTCTTTAGTGGTATCCACGTGCATCAAGTGAGCCACTCAGGTCTGGATGCAAAGCAAAGCAGCTCAATCCAGATCAGAGCAGTTTGAGGGGGAGCATTACCAAGCAGGACAAATGCATAAATACCAGATTATTACTTGTGCCCAATTTTAAGCAGAATTTGGATAACTTTAATTTAGGATAGACCAATATACACATTAGGATTAATTAAGATTTTACCAATGTTACCCATAATTACTTGGTCTGTTATGGCAATAATGACCATTAACTAAATGCACATTTTATTTATTGAAAAAGTATATTTAGAATAACCCATTGACCTCACGTGTTTGAATAGGCCTATAGGAGTGAAGACTGGAGCACAATGAGGAGCAGTCATTACAGACAATGAAAAATCTGTGGAGAATCTATTACTCACCATGGTTGTTATCTTCCACTTCAGGTGACATATTCGCGGCTAAAATATTTTTCTTACAGTCAGAGACAGTTTCAGTTGGATTATGTCTGGCTGTGCACCAGCGGGCTTTCACGGGCAGACACGGGGAGGCAGGCACTTGGTAGCGCACCGGTTATGTTCTATTCTCTGAGTTGATTCTCTTTCTCGGTATTAATAAAGATCTCAGTTTTGTGTTTAAATCAATCAGCTCAGCCAAAAGATGGAAATTCACAAAGCGCCGCGGTCAGGATAGCCGTAGACACTGAAAATTCAAAAGCAGTCGACGAAGCACTTGAAGGTAAGCCTGAAGAATCTCATGGATAACAGTTAAATGAAAGTAATACTGAGTCTTAAGAAGAGTCTCGTGTTGGAAATGAAAAAGCGAAGTCAGAAGACCATGAACCTGTAGGTGATGCCGCGCACCGACAAACGGAGAATGAGCTCCGCTGCGCTGTCAGGGAGCTGTGACGGCCGCTCAGACCGCCCCCTCCCGCTGCTTGCGGACTGGATTGGCCGCGCCGCGGCAGTGCAGTGCGCACAGCATCAGCAGCCGCGTCTAAATCAGAGGAGTCACAAGGAGAGGTTTATTACGATACAAATGTCCTTGACCCGATATCGCACAAATAACTGTAGATAAACACTCACAGGTGCCCGGAAGCCGCAGCAGAGACATGGCCGAGGTATTAGAATAGTGTGGAGACCAGACAGTGCGTTTGGACCATAGACTATGCTTTTAACTGGCAATTTGATTTGGGGGGATGGAGTGCCCCCGATCACGATGAAGCGATTCTGATGCACCACCAAATGTGTGCAATAGTAAAATGTATGGTATACGAACTTTCTGTCCATGTAGGTTATATGGTTTTAAAATAATCTATGGCCTACAGATAATGGGCTAGTTATGTAACGATCTAAGAGTGTTTATCAAGAGCTCTCTACTTCCAAAGAAGTACTGGACTTTGAATTGGCAGTTATAGTCCCAATCTAAGGTTTGCTACCGAACTGAAAGATTAAACAAATCCCGAACAGCTATACTCCAACACGTATGAACTGGCCTATATATACTGAAGACAATAGCGCCATCTCACGGTTTATCACCCGAATTGCACAAAATTGCAAAGTGACGCAAATGCAAGTAATAAAATGCTTTATAATCTCAAGATATACGTATAACATATTATTGTAACAACCAGATACAAAGAAATGTGTCAACTCGTGTGCAACATCACATGTGAATAAATAAGCACTGTGATAACATAAACAAATAGCAATAATAAATAACAATCTCATAAGACACCAATTAGATAAATATTTCAGTAGTGATGACAAAACAATAAAATAAATTAAAGCAATCAAACAATAGCCTATTAGGGAATGTCAATTAAAGACTTATAATAGTCCACATTTGCCCCATGTTTTTGTACACATTTTGACTAAAAGCATGTTTAATGTTAATTTCAATCTTCAATTAGCAACACATTCACAAACGTATCTCATGATATGGCTTAAAACATGTAGATGACTTCACAATAATACTGCTGGGATAAGATGACAAAGTATTTAGTGCATGTTTCCTAAAAGGCATTTGTTGATATTAATATACTATAGGACATTTTATGTTTTATTTAATGCCTAAGTGTACAAGTGAAAATTATATTATGGTGAAACCTGATTTTACTCAGTAGTTCAATTTAAAGTGAAACAACTCCATTGTAAACAGTAGATAAAAGAATACACGTGTGCGCGTGCGCACACACACACTCTTCGGTTTACATAACTAACCTAACATAACATTAATTTCCTGAAGACTGATCTTAACCATAGTTACTACCTGCCTAACTTTAACCTAAAACCAAATCTTAACCTATTTTTAACGCATATATGAACTTTAACTAATGTTGGCTAAATAATAAATAATTTATGTCATGGTGACCTGATTTTTGTCTCCACAGAGATTTAGGTTCCCATGAGTTAAGAGAGTATACAGACTTTAATCCCCACAAATTCAAGCATGTGTTTGAGTCTTAATGAATTTGAACTACTGAAATAATCTTAATGGGTAGATACTTTATAACCCCCTTTATGCACTTGCATACAAATAATATTATTAATTAATATATTATATTAAAAATATAGTTATTAAGTAAAAAACAAACCAAAAAAAACATTTAAAAGTAGATTATTTAAACTTGCTTGCATCTACAGGTTCACAAAACAGAAATGGATCTGTGAAATGCCTTTTGAATATGAAATACTACCTTTTTCAAATAAGAAAATGTATCATTCTGGCTATAGATCCTGGTGGAGGTTGTTGTGTGAAAGAGGCTGGTAATAGTCTTCCAGGCCTGATTTCACCTGGTGTCTTTGGGCCACCAGTCTCTGATATCTGGCCTGTTGGAGGTGATCTGGGTCGACATTTATCCAGCTGCTGGCCACCCACTTGAGCCCACGTTTCACTGGGCAGTCTCCACGGAGGGAGTATTCGTCCATGTCACCCATCCAACCTGCAATTAAAGTGGGACTCAATTGTAGTTGCTATAAACTTGACTTGTGTTTCTTAAACATTCAACTAGAAAATTACAGGTCTGTTAACTGGTCATTGTGAACCTAGAACACTGCATACTGAATGTACAATTATTTCACAATGCTGTGGAAATACACATTCAGAACAGATATTTTAAAAATCCAGTGTCTGCACTGGTTTCAGTTGATATTGGGTATTGGCAGGTACTTAATGTCAATGGCTGGATAGGTTCATCACTAGTATTGTGCAAATTCTGCCCCCTTCTCAGTCAGTGGCAGAAGAAAATCATTAAGAACAATGGTTTAATATTATAACTGGCATATTGAATATACTATTTTAACTCTTTAAATTAATTATGACAACACTGTACTGGGTTTATATGGCACCTTTTCGATCACCCAAATAACTGTGCATGATTCATTCACTTTTGTATTCACAGCTTCCCTGGGGTACACTGACAGAAAAGAGCTGCCAATAGGAGCCATTATCCCCTCCAGTGCATAATACACTGAAATACGCCCTGCTGCTTACCTTTTCCATCTGAGAGGTGATTGTACCAAAGCAAAGCCATGCCAACAGTTGGCCTTATTCGAAGGTTTCCTCTGTGACACGTTTGCTGAGTATCTGTCAAATCGATGCCATCTTGGACCAGACCCTACAAGAATAACATGTAAGGGTCAGTGTCTTGAAACATCTACTTACTCACCACCGTCAAAGGATATACACGACAAAAATCTGATCTGATTTTGAAATGTCATGTACACAGCTATACACAGTTACAGTTATATTTATTCTGAGTAATCAGATTTCTGTCTGATTGTTTACAACTATACAAGTTTAGACAAAGAAAATCATGTAAAAAGGGTAAACTAATGTAAAGCAAAAATAAAATAAATAAATTAAAGATAGAAAGACTTATTTTAAAACTGAATTTGAATTGAATTTATTTGTTTGGAGGATAAGCCCCTTGAGATGTGTCACCATCTCGTTTTCGAGAGGGTCCTCAAAACTCATTATATAGGTCTTGAACTGAACTCAAATTTCTTTTGAAATATATGGTTATTCCAGATATTTGAATTTTAATGGCCATGGAAACATACCCACTGAGAGCTGAATGTCAGTACATGTATTGTGTAAACTGAGTTTTACTGAAATTTGTTGGAATAAAAATTACTCACATCTTCATCATAGGTGCGGTTATCTGCCACGGGGAAAGTGGTCTCACCCCCTTCTTCCACAGAGCTGAGGTAAAATTGCACAGTGAGGTACCTAAAATGCAAGGATTTACAAAAACAAAAATCCAGTAATATTAGCATCTAATTATGGTTTGCTTTTAGAAATTGATGGCACTTTAGGTAAATCTAAGACACCAACAAACTGCTGTGTAAAAAGGGAAGTTGTAATAAATGAGGTATCTGATTTTGATATGACTTTAAAGAAAACCTTAGTACATACCTGCAGGAGACCTCAGTGAGAGTAGATGTGTTACTGGCTAAGCGTGTGTGTGCACACGAAGTCTCAGGGTTTGTGGGACTGCTGTCGTAATGAGCATCACTATAGTCTCCATGTTCATATCGAACCACCTGCAAAGGTTCACTCAACTCAACAAGTGATGAAGGCAGACGAGTCAAGCCAATGACTCTGAAAATAAAAAAGTAAAGACAATATAATAAATACTACTACTTATATATATATATATATACACACATTCAGACATTCTGAATCTCAAAGGGACTCATGGCTGAATAAAAGTTATACAAATAAATTATTACCTCTTTTTAAGTGTCTGAAGCACATGATGAGATCCTGGGCCTTGATACAGCCATGTATTTTTGTTTCTCTGTTTGTACTGATTTGTGAGCTTCCCAGTGCGTTGTGTTGTGCTTTGGGATTCAGCATAAATACGTTTGAAGTCCTCCAAAGTTACTGTTCCTGTGAAACACACACATACATGTCAAACTGACACTCTGAATTCAGGGTTTTAAATGTATTAATCAGTAACCTCCTGCATTCGTCCCCAAAAAATATTACATATGTATTTAATTAACCATAGCGCCATAACTGTCAATAGGAGGCCTTTTCCCATCAACAACAATAGGGTTGAGAGGAGGTAACTGGTGAAGTGGGGAGGGGTAAAGAGGAGGTGGGTTCCGGTTTTAATGAGACAGTATGAGGTGCATCCAGCTCATAACAATAGAGGGCAAGATGACATGTCAAAATGAAAATCTAGATAATGAAGGTAATACTACAATCAGCATTCAAACGTCAAAGGAAATTTCATTCCAATAACCAAGGTTTAAAAGTAATATTAAAATTTTATTTCAGAAGGCATACCTGTTGGACGGGCCTCCAAGTTGATCAGTATTTGCCGCAAACTCTCTGCACTCAGCCAAGTTCCATCTCGAGAACGAGAATGACTCACAATCTACAGAAAGAAAGAAATGAACAAGATTAATATGCATACAGTCTTTAAAAGATGTCACTTTTGAAAACAAAACTGACCTCCTGTTTTTGCAGTAGCCCATCCTGGTTAAGGTCCAGCAGACCAAAAACCTCCTCAGTGCTGAGAGACAGCAATGGCAGGTTAGACTCATCGTGCCCCTGAACCAGAGCTGGTGTCTGGGTCTCCATGAGACCCTTCAACTGGGCCAGCTGGACTACCACACGGCACTCCTCTTCCGAAAGAAAACCAGGGATCTCTGAAGGACAACTCTACATTAATTGCATGCAATGGTCCAATGGAAAGTAAGACTGAACAAAATAATCTAACTAATCAACTTCAGCCACTCACAATTTCTAAGAAGAAAATCTGAAATGAGCAGAAAAAATATGAATGAATGTTTGCAATATGATATTTTTTTCATTTATTATGCAGAAGCAAAAAGAAGTCAGTAAAATGTTAGGGTCTAGTAGCGAGCAATAGAAAGTGGTTAATATTGTGCTCATAGATTAAATATGCAGATAGCACTAATCTTTCACACCTTTAACCTGCAGACGGTGATTAGTTAAAAGTTTAACAATTAGGTGCAAATGACCCTACCTTAGTGTTCACATAAAACTGGAAAAATCTGCAGAAGCATAGAAACTTATCACACCTAAGGTCAAGAGTGATTAACTGTTCTTAATGTTTTTACTTTGATTAAATTAGACTCACTTTTGATACCACCAATTGCATTATTTATGAACACAAGTGGAATATTTAAATGTCATTAAAACCAACTGATTAAAATAAAAGATAAAAATACAACATTACACATTAAAATGTTGATAAGTGTTGAAAAGTATACTTTAAAATAAATAGAGGAAGTCTTATGATGTGCTTTCAGTACATTTCATCACATTCCAGATTCAAGCTTCAGTGGTTTCTGCAATGAAGGATTGTGTGTGTTTTTAATTACTTCTATGCCTAATAAAAACCTTCCGGCAAAATGGCTGCCTGTACAGAGGAAGCCTTGTTCGTCACCCGTGCCTTTACACTCATATTCATTTGGTTAATCCCATTGTCCAGTCAGGCCTCATTACACTGAAAACTGATATGAAAGACAGAGAATAGAAGTCCTCTCCTCCCACCCAACACAGTTTTATTATTTTCTCCGGAAAGGAAGTGACCTGCTTGTCTGCACAGAAATCAGGCCATGGGCACACAGCAGGGCAGCCCAAGTCTGTTTATGTCCAAAATGCTCAGGAGTCTTAAAACATCTAAATGACATCAAAGAATGGGACTGCTTGGCGAATGGCTACACAAAATAAGAAATTTAACTTTTAATTTCGAAAGAAAGCAATACAAAGTAATAATAAAATTTCTAAAAACATTTTCAGTAACAATCAGCTCATTAATGCAAATGGTCTCAGCTCCGCCCACCAGTCAATGCATGTGCCATCATCACTTTGTATAAATACAGCAATCTACCACACTGTCACACAGAAAGAACCTCCAGCAATTGGATGAAACTCTGTCCCCAGTTTATTTTCAGCATGTCCTCATTTTTTGTTACTCTGGTTTTTCTACTACTGCTTGCTGAATCCAGCAGCACATCAGTATTTAGCTCAGGAAGAGGAAGAGGGGAAAACAGGAGAAGTTTAGGCTCACTTAAATCAAGTTTGAATAACAGAGGAGGGCGGAGGACCAGTCCAGAAGTGGAACCAGTGGTTGAGGAGGAAGCTGAAATCTGGGGAGACCTTGGAACAGACGCTGCTTTTAGATCCCCTCACTCTGAGGGTGAAGGTGGCCTGTGGGAGCCCAGAATCTCCTCACGCTGTGTTCCCATCCCATCAAATATGGCGCTGTGCCAAAAGATCGGCTATGAAAACATGAGAATGCCCAACTTGTTGGGCCATGAATCGCCTGCAGAGGCTGTACAACAGAGTGCTAGTTGGCTTCCACTACTGGCCCGAGAGTGTCACCCGGATGCTCGCATCTTTCTCTGCTCTCTCTTTGCACCAGTTTGCCTCGACAGGTAACGGTCTTTTTATTTACTCAAAATGTGTTAAATTGTAAAACTTGTAAAAACGTTTTTAATAGTAACACTGTTTTGTTCTAGGTTTATATCGCCTTGCAGGAGTTTATGTGAAAGTGTACGTGACAGCTGTGCGCCAATCATGAACTGCTATGGTTATCCTTGGCCTGAAATCCTGAGCTGTGACCAGTATCCTGAAGACCACCTCATGTGCATCTCTTCCATAACCAACAGCACTGTTCACCCAGGAAGACGAAGAGGTACTGCACAACTAGTTAAATGGGATTACAAAATTCTTAAATTAAGGCATGAATTTTTCAGTTCCACAGGCCAGCTGTCGGGATTGTGAACTAGAGGAAAGTGCCTCTACAAAGGAAACATTGGAAACTTTTTGCAGAAATGATTTTGGTGAGTACAATAACAATATATGTTGATTTGTGGTTGATTACTCCTGACCACATGATTTTTCTCTAAAGTTGTGAAACTTCGTCTGACGCGATACAACTCTAGTCCAGCGAGTCTGTCTCATTTCTCCCTGGCTGGAAAGTTTGATGTTCTGAAGCATGGACCGCAGCTGGTTGGACAAATTCGCTCCCGCATCGAGCTGTGGCTGGAGAGGGATGCTACCTGTGTGAGAAACATGACTCGACGGCATTCTCAAGGAGGAACTTTTGTAGTGACTGGGACAGTGCAAGGAGAACGCCTTGTGGTGAACAAAGCTTACTTTTGGCACAAGCGTGACAAACGTCTGATTGCTGCTGCTCGTAGATGGAAACATTACCAATGTAAAACTTCATAAAAACCTACTCTACAGTGGCAAATACAAAAAAATTATACCCAACTATCAGAGAATGTAATTTTATACTTTTATACTTTATACCTTTATTTTAGAATCTAATTTAGGATTTGTTGATTTGCATTAAGATACACACTGAACACCGGTAGAACATATATATTAAAGATGTATAAACTTTATGTTTAATAAACATTATCTTGATTTATATTTGTATTGCTTTATAGAAAAAAATAATAATAATCTGAGATGACATGATTGATTATAATTTGATGTAACTTACCAAAAATCAATGGCTTTAAACTGAGGGTCTTCATCACAAGAGTTTTGTCGGACGCCAGAGAAATCCGCTGGACATGGCCAACCTAAACAGGAGTCAATTAGCGAGTCAGTGCAGTTTTCTTCTTTCAACCACAGCTAATTATTAAACGTTTGTATGCTTTAAAATAATCAAGTCTCACCCGTATGCCCTCAATACGAGGTAGACTAAAACTTTGACTGTAATCGTCCAAATGAAGCTCTGTTGACGATGGGGCGGATCGGGGCAAGGGGCTGCCACCATCGTTAATGGCCGAAGAAGAAGCCGCTTCACTGGGGATTAAATCTTCAGGGCCGTTGTTGTAGTGCACGTAGAGCAGCAGTGCAATCACATTTAGGATATAGACATGAAAAAATACCATGACAACGACGAAGTATGCCCGAGAGCACACATTACTTCTCTGGATGTGAAGACGGGTCGAGCGAAAGGGAGGAGGGGGGAAAGGTAATTTCTCGCTTTCACTTATATCTTCCTCTTCTTCGTCTTCAAGTTGTTCTTTTAGATCTTCTTGGTTATCCTCCATTTTAAGGCAATAAGGCGCACGACGTTTGAAAAAAGGCAATATGTATCAGAAGAGAACTAGCAAGTACCACTGAGCGCTTATCAACAGGAGGAAGCTAACGGCTAACAGCTAAAAATACAAGCTCCATTTGACCGTAGACCGTAAATACGAAGAGCCGAAGGACGCTCCGGAGGAAGCCCCAACAAAAACGAAGAGATGAAACAAGTAAAATCATTTGTCGATTACTTAGTGTTTCAGTAGTTGAGTTGGTTCTTTTGCAAATTGAGGTCACCTAATCCCGAGATCACCACCCATCACAGGTTGGGGGTGCGCTTCCCTGACAACCACAACACGGCGGAGAGTCAACGAGTGCAAATAAGCTGTGAGGTCAGAGGTCAGCCCTACGCCCGCACCTCCAGCGCCCCCTAACGCAAGGAATGCATTTCGAAAATTGCACTGCTATATATAGTTTATGCTTAACACACACCCTGGCCTTTTGATAAAAAAGGATTATGTATTATTAACTGTATTGTGTATAATTCCATTGGCTAATTTAAATACGAGAAATAGGCTGCGTGGGCTACGGCGTGAGCCACGCAGCGTTTTAAGAATTTCTTCACCACGTGGTGGTGCTGTTACATCGCACCTCCAATCAAATTGGGATTCATTTAATTATATTGATAAGTGATAGTTTTCGTTTTAGTTGTCAGAATTAAAATAATAATTTGTAGAATGATGAGCTACAAGATGACAGGATGACATCAAGGGCGATTCGTTTTCGAGAAAGTAGTCTATAAATCAGTCAAATAGTTGCTGTTTTTGCATAATAAATGTTCAGGAGGGTAACATGAGAATGGTCCTAAACATGCTGAAAGAGATGGCAGAAGGTAGTTTCTGGTTATTTTCATTTACGCGCACTTCCACCCCCCCACCCCCACCCCCCTTATGGTGTTTTCTGGTATCTCTCCTTCCAGTCGGGATCCACAGCAGCAGCAGCCAGCGATATGGCTGATCATCGCCAGATGGGACAGTGCCGTGTGTTAGCGAAAGTTATGGTACGATAATCCTAAATATGTCTTTTGTAGGCGACCAAGCCTCGTTGCGCACAGATTAACATCGTGATGGGATTAATCTAAGGAAAACTGGCCACCGGCCGCGTTACTGCAAAGTAGTTGAGGGAACTTGTCGCAGTGGATTCATCCCAGCGTGCCGCCTGGATTACCACACACAAGAGGAACAATAGTCTTCTGCAGGAGAAACACTCACAGGTCAGCATTTATATTTTGTTATGGTCAGGTTAAGTTTTTTTGTGCTTTGTCAATGGCATCGTTTAAACATTAACTACTGGGATTGTCCTGGAGCCTACGCACTACTGGTGGAATTTTCGCTTCTGTGCTATTCCCTGTTTTGTTGCGTAAATAAGATACCTTCGCGTGCGTAAAAGACAGATTTAGTGGCAATCACACTGAATTATCTCTGATTCGAAGCCCAAAAGCATATCCCGTATTAACATAGTAATACTATAATAATATCAGATAGATATTGGTGGCTGGCTGATGTTGCGACATAAAAGCTCACACCGCTCTTGAAAGTAGCCCTATTTTCCCGAGTTCCTGTGCCGGTGGAGTAGAGGTGTAACTTTTGTTTGCCCTGCTTGCCTCTCTCCCTTCCGGATGCTAGCGGCAGGAAAACACGCGGAGATGGGCCCTTGGAGCAAAAGGCCGTACGAGTGAGACCAGGATTTCTGTAAAACTCAAAAACAAATGATTGGTTAGTTGCGACGGAAGCACGTTTTGTAGGCCATGGTGCTGACTGAAGCGGTCATGTCAAGTCACCAGGCAGCTCACAAAGCTGGGTATAGCCTACTGCAAGCACTACTAGACTTGTGTTGAGTTGGGCAGTGCCAAGGGAAATGTCACATAGAGATGTCAACTTATCCTTGTTGGAAGGTATAGCTCTGCAGTGTACTGGGAGTATCAGTGAACCATGCATTATTTATGGCATTGTTAGTATGGGTTTAGATTGGGAACCGTGTGGCTCCTTTGCCCTTGTGACACACTTCAGTAAAATACACCAAAAAATAACCTGAATCAGGCAGTTACCTACTGGTGATGGCCCCTGCCTTTACATGTAGCCTATTAAAATAAGAGCCTGAATAGACTGTTGTTTATAAAATTTCCAGTATAGGTACAACTGGACTTTTCACTTCTACTTCATTTTTAATTTGGCTTTGGTGTATTATGTTATTATGCTTGCCATTTCCATTGAGAACCATAATGTAATATGAAGAGAAAATGTATTGTCACACATGAACTTATATGGAAGTTTGTATGACTATGTTGTTGGGCAGATTCGGGGCATTACTCATGCCTCTTTAGGCCACTGCTCCAACATGGTTCAGACTCAGAGCCAAGTACAGTCACTGTGTGTGCAAGCATGCAAATGATTCATGCCATTGAATTTCCTTATAATGCTGTCCTTTGTAATGAGTTATAAATATTATAGTACTAATAAATATGATTTTCTTTCACAGTGAAAGTAGTCTAAGGTTAAGGTAGACATTATTGTCCCCATAGGGAAATTTGTCCTCTGCATTTGACCCATTCTTAAATGCCACTGGGGCATCTATTCAGGAGTACTGAGAACCACAGTGCAGTGCTCAGGTATCCATCACCGTGATCTTGTTGCTGGGTTTGGTCAGACTCAGGACTGCTGGAGGAATTTACCTATTATGCATGTTGATGGAGTGCACAGAGGAACCCTCCCCCCCCAGACATGAGGAGAACATGCCCGGGCGACCTGGTGATCAAACCAGGAACCTTTTTGGTGTGAAGTGCAAGTGTTAGCCACTCAGCTGCCTCTAGTAGTACTTTGGTTACAGTGAGGTCTTAGACACCGTTACAAGTTCATGTGCCTCAGTGCCTGCTGACCCTCCAAGAGAGATGATGACAATTAATTGTAAATTCACAGCTTTTTTCTTCTCACTTTCAGGACAGAGATTTGCCTTTGTTGCCTGTAACCTAGCAACCCAAATGGTGGTGATTTAGTACGTTGGATATATTTCACCTTTGTGGTGACCTTGTGCCTATCTAACTTAATGCTTTCTAAGTTGTATGACTTTTATTACGGGCCTCTGTCTTGCATATTTAGACTTTGGACTGTACAATAAGTAGGCTATACCAGTAACTAAACAACAACAATGCAACTAGCCTACAAGCCCTACTGCTGCTATTATTAGAGAACTTTTGTGCCACGTCAAATGCTGCTGAAGCCCGGAAAATCATGCAAATGATGGGGGATGGAGATGCTTCATCACAGAAGAAATCCTCTTATTCCTGGTCTGAAATGATATTTGTGTTAACAAAGAAGCAAACTCTGCAATGCATACCATATATGACTCAGCTTATGGCAGAAGCACTCCTGTTTGCAGGGGATTTTTTGCTAAGTGCATCTTCCTGGTGAAACATCCACTTGTCCTGCATAAGGATGACTGGGTTTGAATTCCCTCAGAGGACATACTGTCTCTAATAGGCCTCAAAGAGCCATCCTGAAAGGATGAATAGCTTTTGTTGAAGCCTTCAAGGTTGTGCACAAAGAGGAAGGCACCAGTGACGTTTATGTGCATGTTATAGCCCTAATGCAAGATGTACAAGTGAGACTGAAATACTCTTGTCTCCCTCTACCTCTAGGCCAGGAACACAAAGTGGTGAAACTTTATAGACTCAGAAATCGTCCCGAACGCATCCATTAAGTGTACATCAGTATTCATTCATATATGACTTAATCTCTAACTATACACATAATAAACAGCATCATGTTAACAGGATATACTCAGAACTTTCCAACAATTTAAGTTACAAATTAAAGGTTTGTGACACAAAAAACAATAATGTCAGTGGTACTGCCCAGTATAATTGCAGTGGTAGCATAACATACACTTACCATGGAGCCTCTACACACACTTCTGTATATTGTTCTTGTTCATGTAATATTTCAGACCCTTCCAGTGAGATATATTTTGTCTGAAACCTGTTATTGTCAACATGTCAACATACCTTCCATACATATATACCTCATTTTAAGTTTTTTCTTTTTTAAATTTGTTTAACGCAACATGTTAGATAGGGCTATCTACAACAATAAAACCAGATGCTTCATGGCTAAACACAGTTAGCAGGATAGTGGGAAATGTAGTAAGACTGCTTTCTAGTTTGTTCCTTTTGCAATCAAGATGAACAGGTTCTGGTTGTGACTGGTGTAACTGTAATGATTGTGCTGTGAGGTGAATAGCACTTATCTCATGTTATGTGAACCTTTTCTGCAGGTCTTTGGACCCCAGTCTGAAAATGGACCGAATGAAGATCATCAAGAGGAGGCTGTCCATGTCCTTACGCAGCGCCCGGCCTGTAGATGATTCTCTGTCCGAACTGGCAGAACAAATGGCATTAGATGAGACCGCCACAGTCCGGGACAACGGTGAGACAAGTACTTCTGATACCACTAAAGGTTTGATTAATTTAGATTATGTACATTGTTAATTTGAATACATTTCTGTTAAGTTCTGTAAAGCATTTGTAGCAATAGACAGACTGCTTGCTAGGGTATCGACAGACTGAATTTACTGTTCATTTACTAAAATCATCACAAGCTTGCCCCCAAATTATTTTCATTATTATTTTTTTTTAATTTATTTACCAATTTAACCAATCCATCACCACTACATCAATCACAAGTATTGCCACTCTAATGTGCTAGTCACTATCACCTGCTCGTTTTCCAATAACAGCGGTTTAAAGATTCTATTCACGCTTATGACACAAACCCGGAAGTTGTTTGGAAACATGCGGATGACGACTTCCTTTGGGCTCTGTTAGCAATGGGGGATCGTTTTTCTTCATCTAGATGTCATTGTATTCTGTCTTTTTTCCTTTAATAAATTGCCTATTAAATGATGTATTTGTCTAACGTCATAAAAAAAGATGTTATTGTAGCGTTCCATTATGTTTGGCAGATCAACAGTTACAACCAGCTGTCTGTAAGTGACATCGAAGGTGTGATTAGGGTCACATCCCCCATGGAAAGCTTTGGCAGGTTGTGAAGACCACTGCTGCTGAATCCATGGTTTTATCACATGCCCAGTGCCGGTAACTACATTGGAAGTCATCATCCGCATGTTTTCATGTTTCCAACGTCTTCTTTTAAGCGTGAATAAAGCCTCTTGTGATAAACTCTGGAAATAAATTAGTTCTGCATCTGTGCCATCTGCTGGGCACCAGGAAGGACTACATCGTGCACCAGGATCAAAACAAAAGGACATCAAGATATCAAGACATTAATTTAACTTGGCCATGTTACTTTGTTACCAAACCAGTATATGCAAACAATATGTACAGAATCAAACACTTTGTTTGTTGAAAGTGAAAGATGTAGAGAATGATGAAAACATATTTGCCTTTTGGTATTATTGCCTTTTTGGGGTGTCCTTGGTACATACACATGTCTGTTTGAGTGGTATATGCTGAAAGGGAATTATTTAAGGAAATACCAAGCCTCCCTTTTCTGTTTGCTCTATACTAAGATTAAACAATGGTCATTTGAAAAGACTGTATTGTATTTCTTTACATTATATAAAACAAGAACAAAAATGAAACAATAAATAAAACCCTTCAACACCCACCCTTCTCTTAACACCCCAACATCCAGTCCTGCCAAAATGTACTGTGATGTACATTTAATGTGCCAAAAGTGTCCAAATTAGTTCAAAGTCCTGCTTCTTGCCCCTCACAGAGTGAAAGATCTTCTCTAGCGTGCAGTAGGACAACAGTTTGTAATCCCGTTAAAGACTGTATTGTATTTCTATTATAGTACAATGCTGTTCATAACATAGCAGTTTCACAACGGTCCATTTGTTAAAAGACACACTGCACCTTGGAGAAGTATAAAATCAGAAAGTAAGTTGTGCAGACCCATTGATTAATTTTCATTAATAAACACACAAGTTAATTGTTATTGTTGAGCCTGTACAACGCACACAGAATCTATGTGCATTGAACCACTCTGCTGCATGCCAACCACATGACATCCTTTTGCATGCTGTTCTTTCACTTTTTCTTACTCCTTTTCTTTGACCTTGTACTTGATAAATCTTTCACTGCATCCATCTCTCAACTGAAACAAATCACTCCCCTCTCATCCATATAACATGATGGTGTTTGCATCAATTTTGCAGCGTTTTATCTGCTACTTTAATACTGTATACTCTTCTATCTTTCTCTGTGGTGACGTATCTTGTTCTTCTCTGTCTGTTTTCGATTAATTTGCCACCTTCCCTTGATTTTATACATTATTTTGGCTGGTTGCTTCTCTCCCTGACTTTGTTTTGGCATTGTGGGATGGCATCTCAGAGCCCATGGTGGTGTGTTCGCTGCACCCTCCTGCCTCCCACAGCGCCCCGTCCTTCCTGCGACAGTATGCGGGACACCTGGGACGGACCGCCCTGCGCAGGGAGCTGGGAGGGGGGCTCGAAAGAGAACGCGCATACCTCAACCTACACAGGACTGGATCTCTGGGTACAAACACACACATTTTATTTCCACACTATTTTTTCAACTAGTCTTAGACTACATGTTACAAGCACTGAACGTTGAAAACTAGATATCTGTAGTGACACCATGGCCAAATAAATGTATATTTCATATTTAGTCTCATTGTCTATTAGATCACAACCTCTAATACAGGATCAGCTTTATGAACTCAAAATGTTAATGTGATGTACACAACGCGATAAATGTATTTCAGTTTTGTACTTTTTGTTTGGTTTTTGGAAATTAGATTTAGTTTAAATGACTTACTTTGCTCCTTAAATTGCTAGAGTTAATATATATAATATAATAATGAATATACATTTCCATATATAATTGTACAATTAGCAATTAGTTAATGTTTATATCCTTAATTGTACTGTATTGTGTGTGTGTGTATATACTACAATACACTATAATCACTGCTTTAAATGTGTATGTTGGTATATCTAATGTTATAATGGATACTGCTCTACTGACGTTGACCCTCTACATATTATTTATGGTGGAATTTATGGTGTCAATTTATTTACACAGAACTGTGCTTACTGACAAGTGATCATTCTCGCATTACTCAAAATCTGAACACATAGCTCTGTAATGACCTTAATCCAAACACACACACTTGAATACTCAGATTACTATGGATTGTTGTACGAAATCGAGGTAATCCTCACTGTTGCCCTTATGAGCATGGGAAAGATGTGAAACCAAAAATTCCTGTTGGACCAGGGCTAGCTGTGGAGATGAAGGTTCAAATAAGCTTGAAATTTACAAATGCTTGACTTTTGAAAAAAAAAAAAAAAAAGCAGAGAGAGAATCAGCATTTGAGTGTCTGTTGTTCTTTGTTCTCTCAATTTATACTTGCTGTAAATAATGAAACAGCATCTGTTACATTTTCTAAATTCATATAACGGCAACAAAGTTTATTCTGTCGGTCAGTTTCACTGTGATCACTTATCCCTTTACTCTTATGAAGTAATACATTGCATGCAGAGGTTGTGTCTTTAGGCAAGTCACTTTCCATCTTCAGTCCAAATAAAATGTGCACTGTAGGAGATCCCATAAAGGAAAGAGAAGTTTAACTCCAGAGTGATTTAGCTGGCAAAGCTTGTGTGAAATATTGCTCTTGAGTGCGTACAGAGTTGATCAAATAATCCCCCAAGATGAAAATGTGTTTCAAATATTACAAGTGTCTTGAGGTGTGGTCTGAAATGTTAATGGGCAGTGTGTGTGTGCGTCTCGCTGACTCACGGTGCCACTCAGCAGTCGCAGCACGTTGCAGGATTTAAAGAGAAACTCGATGATGCAACCTCTATTCCTATTGCATTGAAAACATTACCGCCACTACCCTTTTCCAACTGTTCAAGTAAATACCCCTTTTAATGGACAGATACATTGATGTAGTAGTCCTATACAAGTCCATTACCATTATTACTTTAAAGTTTTTTGAAAAAGACAATTCTGAAAGTCTAACTCTTTATTTAAACTAGTAATTATTATTTAGTTTCAATCACTTTACACTATTCATGTTTTGTCTTTTTTTTTTTTTTTTTTTTCATTTTTTGGCAGCCCTACTCCACATGTGTATCAGGACCGTTTGGTAACCACTGAGCTAAAGATTGTGATTCATCTGTTGCTAGCCCGGCCAGTCTCACTCCTACTCGCGTCAGTGTTCTCACAGTAAAGAGAGAGCTTCTGTGTAGTTACACTGCAGAGGATTAGCTGTCCCTTCTGTCTGCTGCAGAAAAGAACAAGATTTACTCTCACAGAAAGCTGTTTTAGATGCTGCTACTCATCACAAGACTTTGGGTCTGAACATCCCATGGCCTACCACTGTATAGTATAGTGCACATTAAAGCTACTAATGTGCCTGCATTGTGACAGCTATGACAGGGGCGGGCAAGTATTTTTTTTTTACCCGTGGGCCATATTTGAATCATGGCATGTGGAGGAGGAACGCTGGACCTAAAATATAGGCTACTGTACTAACTTCACTATCTGCAAGTTTATATGTCATTACAAATGTAAGTTTTACCAAGCCTAGGTGGTGTTATTTCAGTTATTTTGTTTCTGTTATGTTTTGTATTCGACACATTTTTTTATATTTTATTTTTAGTTATTTCTCCTACTGCTAGTTATTTCTCCTACTACTATATAGGCTTTGATGTTCGGTGGCCCATTTTAGTTTATATACATAACTTTGCAGATAGGTTTATTGCATTAAGAGCAAGCGCAGCCCTCACTCACTGCACTCGTCCATTTGCACAGTCTTTTCAGCTTACTCTTGGATTTAATAAGAACAATAGAAGCCAGCTTTTATATACTTGATCTTGTAATCTTCTGTGTGGGCCTGTGTTGGTTGTTAGTAATGGCTCACAGTGTAGCTGGAGAATGTTAGTAATGCTTAGAGCTATGCAGGAAGGGGACTGGGTTTATATATGGGACTGTAACATTTGGAGCTGACATCTTTACTGGAGGCTCTTTGGGGTTTCTAATTGAATAATAACATGAGTTTAATGCAGACCAAAGGTTTAGAGGCAATTGCTACCATCTCTCTCTTTCTGTCTCTCTATCTGTGTCTGTCTCTTTCTCTCTTCTCTCTCTCTCTCTCTCTCTCTGTGTGTGTCTCTGTCTCTGTCTCTCTTTCTGTCTCTCTCCAGTGTCTGTCTCTCCACATATATTGTCCAGTTTCTCTTAAGATTTTTATTGGGTTTCCGGAGCAAACCTGTAATTAACAGGTTTGTTTTTTACATGTTCTACTTAGGTTCTCCCTTGTTATTTCTAAAGACATGTATACTGTAATTGATGAATTTGGTCAGTTCTGTGAATAGTTTGTAACAAAAACTGTATCCACGAACCTTGGATAAAATCAGCCATTAAGGGAACTATACAATCTATGATAACACATTATATTGAGTACATTAACTGTACATCTTCTAGATCAAAACAAAATAAGTATTCTTAAATATTGGAGCAAAAGTACTGCATTTTAAAATATATGTTAAACATAATGGCATTGCAAGAAGGCTGCAAAGTGATACCAGAATGCCCCTCAAATCCATAAAGTTTTTGATACACAGAATCCAATAGAGAAACTGGGATCATAAGCCTGTCAAAATAATGAATTATTATATTGACTTATCTTTCAGTATATGATGGATTGAACAATGAATTGTCAGTTTTTATCATTTGTACATTTGCTTTGCACTAGCATGAAATCTTTTTTTTTTTTTTTTTTTTCTATAGTAGCCATAGGGCTGTAGAAGTTAAATAAAATAATTTCTATGATTCATTACAGATACAAAATAAGTACTAAAGTGTTGAATAGTTTGTTTGGGGATAATCCAGCTTTAGGGTTATCGAGTCAGTGGCATAAATTAGTTTCAATATTATCGTTTATCGGCTATATTTCTACAACAATATATATTGGAAATTTAAATTTGTTATCATGACAGACCTGTAGGGAAGAATGAGGTGAATCTTGCCTTGCAAAAAGCAAAACATAGAGCTGTGCAATGAATTGAATTTTATTTGACTCTAGACCCAAACATTTCAAATCATCAATGATCAGGTTGCAACTAGGAACAGATATCAGAAAATTCACAGTTTTCTGTCAAATTGCACAGATTAAAGTTTTAATATTTAAATCCAAGAAGCAATGAAATCAGTTTGGAAATCATGCTCGTTCCATTTGGAAGAAACGAGCTGATTAATTATTTTGCCCTGAATCAACAGCTGTATCCAGATTGGACTCAAAAGAACAATCGGCACAGGAAGAGAGGGAGAGAAGAGAGGGAGAGAGTTATGTATATTGTATCACATGAGAGGGAGGAGAGAACCAGCAAGGTGTGGGGAGGGCATATGCAGGCTTCCACAACACTGGAAGCACTGATAGGGGAGCCACAGGCAAGGGGAGTGGAGTGGACGACTGAGTGCAACCTGAATAGAGAGCAGTGTGCTCCATAACAAGCGAGACTGGAAAGGACAATGCTGAGAATATCAAGGAAATGGGAGCATGTTAGTGAAGCAAGTCGATATTTCTACATTTGAGGATTACAAATACAGAGACTGGATGGACACCTGTTAATGTGGCATCGTAACAGTTTGTCTGAGCAGGATAGTCTTTAGCGATTGACTTTGACCTTCCTTAGTCAGCCGGCTGCGTGACTGCGTGGTGTGGGAAGAAAGATGGAGAGGCGGAGACAGGGAGTGTCCACCGGAAAACAGCGGAAAAGTGGAGTAGTAGTCAGGGGAGTTGAAGCATTGTGATGAGAGAGCTCACTGCATTGCACAAGTCATACTAATACAGACACTCTCTCAAAGATGGGGCTGATTCAACTTAGTCTCTGAACTGTACTTGGTATTACAAAGCATTTTGAACAACTTAAGATTTTAGTCCTGCTAAACTATGGACATTTCAGGAAACCCCTTGGCATGTCCGGCTCGGGTGCCCAGAGTGGTGGACACCAGGACAGGGGAGGTTAGGATGGGCGAGGGGGTTAGAACTGGAGAGAGAGAGCCCCCTTTGAGAGTGTCACCTTTCCGAATGCTCCGAATGTTGGACTCATGTCGTCCACCTGGAAATCGTATTGGTGAGTTTGTTGGTGTTCTTGTCAGTAATGTAATTGATTTATTTCTTTCTTTCTCCACCAGTGTTTTTCAGTCTTAAAGATATTTTTTTTTATTTTTTTTATTTCCTAAGAGGTGATATAGATTCTTGCTTCTGTAGCCCAGGGCAGAGCACATGTTTCCTTACATGGAGACAGTCATGTTCTACTTTTTCATTTTTATTGAAGGCACAAAGGGTGAAGTATATCTCTATTTAGTTTTCATGGATGTTTGGCCACTTCTGTTCTGCCAGAAACATAATTATTTTAAGATTATTGTAATCATTGGTATGTAATAAAATGGAGTCTTTGAGTTCACTGGATATACAGGGTTTGGTGAGTTAAAGACAACATTTAAATCATCCTTTCTCCTCCAGACGGGCTCACTGGAAGTCTACCCGAAGTAGGCCAGCCTTGCCCCACATTGGCTTGGTCTATATGTTTCGAGTGAACTAGTACAACAGAATAAGCCTGCAAGTATCCGGACTAAAAATTCTTTTGCGAAATGTAACAGGAAAAATCTTTTCCACAACTACTTTGGTTAAGAGACATAGCAAATATTAGACTTTTTTTTTTTTTTTTTAAGTTTTTAGCAAAACTTTGAATGATTCTTTAGTAATTTCATAATCTAAACTGACCTGTGATAATTTTCTTTAATACACAATGTGGATAAGTGTCATAAAAATATTATGCTTTTCCTATTGTGGAATATATAAACACTACTAACATGGTATGGTTTAGCTGGATGGACTGTTTACACAGACACACTACACTAGGCCCTGTCTGGGATGAGAGATCCTGTGACATAATAGGGGCATCTGGGAGCCGTCGTCGTGCGTCTGTCAGCGGGCACATATCAGGATCAATTTTCTCTTTCTGGTGTCAGTTACCATCAGTTTAATGTTTCAGCATCAGGGTTATAGGGATGAATCTTTGACCACTGGGTGATCACTTCTCTACAATGCTGCTGAGGCAGAGCACATTAAAGGCCCTGTAGTACGCAAAATTAACTCTTGTGAGCTTTAAGTCGTGTTAATACTCTTACCTCATCAAAAACATACCTAGAGTTGTCTTTTGTTACATTCACACTTTTGAGTAATCATTTTGTTATTGTTCTGTATATATCTGCAAAGCTCAAAATGCTCTCTTCCACCTTCTGATGTCATGAAGCAGTAGTTTTCACCTTTTACTGTTAGCTTAATAGAGATTGGCCATTTCAGAGCTGATCCAAATGATCAAGGTATAAGGTGAAGGTGTATGGGGTTTAAAAACACAATGGAGCACTTCTGGTAATACCACATGACATGCCATGGTAGGACAGAGTGTTTTCTGTTTGAGAGAAGGACATATGTGAATGAAATAAAACAGCAGATGTACACTGGACTGGACACTGGCTGGTGAAAGATGATCCAGATATGCTTGTAGTTGGAAGAATCCATTAGGCATAGGGTGGACATCAATATTTAATCTGATTTAAGGTATCTTATAGGTGCACTATCTAATGTTTTGTTTGGGGGTCCATAACCTGCTTGTTTCTTTGGAGATGTCATTGCTCTGCCTATAATGTTTCACAGTACGACATTAAGCAGCTCTACCTTACAATTTTTAAATTACAGGTGACTTTAAAGCTCAAAAATACCTAGAAAAACAGGCATTATGACTGTGAGCGGGGTTGCCTCTCCACAGATCTGACCTGTAACTTGGTCTAGTTTGGTCACTTGAAGATAGAAAGGCTTAATGCCATACTGTGAAACAATCCAGACAAAGCAATAACATCTCAATGGAGAAAAGCATTTGATGGACTCTCCATCAGAAAAGTTACACAAAGCACCTTTAATACCATTTTGGACACGTTGACATTTTACCTAATTCAGGCCATGCACAATTGAACATAACCTTGACTACATAACTGAAGTACAAGGCAGACCTACAATCAGCCTCTGGTAGTATTATCCCCTGCAGAGCTGACAAACAGGCCACTGTAATAAATGGTCTGTGTACCTCGCTCTATAATAATATCCCACTGTTCCCAGCACTGCTCTGATGTAACACGCTAAATACAAGGTCATCTTTCCCTATTCTCATATTTTTCTATTAGAACAACATCACAATTTTGTGTTTTTCTAACTGTGGGGCAGGTGCCACTAGTAACACAGAGGCGCTTTCTACAGCTATTCAGGGTAACTGGAAATTTTAATATTTAAGTCTACTTTTATCTTTTGGCCCTAATGTTCTGTACTTGATGGGTGATGGTTCTTTTGAGTCATAAAGCCCATTTTAATAATTAAGTTTCTTGGTTTAGTCATGACCAGTTAGTCCTATTTCTTTGGCATACTGTTGTGTTATGGATTTGTTTTTGTTATTTTCCTACGATTTGATTTCTGTTAGTTTTATGTAGGAGGTTCCTTATAACAAGGTATCTGCAGACCAATTTTCTTTCTGCTAATTGTTAAAAATAAATCTGCATTCTGAGATGCTGATATTTGAACTTATAATAAATAATGAGTTCCCAATCATTCACATTGAGATACAGTGTACGTTGTACGTGACCTGAGCTTTTGCATCCAAAGCAGCAGATGCCCATCCCCCACAGCTCTCCCCATGTTCCCCCATCACAGACTGATAGACCGAGGCTCTCACCCTCTCACTGAAAGAACCCATTCTCTGTGTGTCTCATTAATCAGATAGACTCAGATGGGATGGAGGTGAGGAGGAGGAGCAGGAGGAAAGCTGCAGAAGAGAAGAGATCCCATTGCAAAGAATTATTGATTTCTAACTCCCCTCCCTCACAAATGGCATTTTATTCAGTGTTCGGTGGCATTGCTGGTGGTATAATTCATCACAGGCTGATTGAGATGGTACTATGCATTTTCAGAAAAAATAAATAAATATAAATATATATATGTGTGTGTATATATATATATTAGTAGTATGAATTCTCCAAAAATTTTATTAAAAAAATAGGTAATTTTGAATCTGATGCAAAAACACAAAGGTCTTGTGTATCCCCTTCCTAAGAGCCATTGCTGTGTTTGCAGGTATTGTCCATGAGAATGTGAAGATGGGATCAGATGGAGAAAGTGATCAGGCATCAGGAACGTCCTCTGATGAAGTTCAGAGTCCAGTCCGGGTCAGGATGAGGAATAACCATCACCGGAGAATCTCTACTGAGGTTAGATATTATTGGATTGTCTTCAGTGTACAGGTTTCATAGCCATGCAAGTTTTTATGTGCATCAAATGTAACTATTCAGTTTCCCCTATGATCACATTATGAATTTCATGATTTAATTACTTTGACTTTTTATCAGCTGGCAGGTTCACATACATTCATTGAACATATGTAAAGTGGGAGTGCAAGTTTGTAACACACTTTTTCTGCTGAAGATGCTGATGTTAGCCCTGTATTCTCACTGCCACTGTACTGTAGTGGCAGTGGATGGGACCGATGTAGACCATGTTTATCACAGAGGGAGCCAGAGCAGAGGTGGGGTGGAGCAGGACAGACCATAATTATGGAAGTAAGAATAATTATCACTGGTACACAGGGGGAAGAAGGCTACTGAGATGAAAAGAAACTGCAGAACAGGGACCAAGAACAGGAAAAAAAACATGGCTCCTCTGCTGTGTCCCCTTCCCCCCACAACCCTTCAGGAATCTCTCCTGCACCTCAATGCTCCTCCTCTTTCATTTTCATTCATTTATTTCACAAATAACACAAAATAAAAAAAAGAAAGATGTATTGTGCAACTGCAGTAAAGGCAGTTTGAATGCCAGGTCCAATTACTTTTAGTAAATTTTATCTATAGTTTGCAAAATAATTATGAAATTTACATTACATAGAAGGGAGAAATTTATGGAAATTATGTTGACAAAGAATAAATTAATTGCATTAGCTTTTTAGATGAATTATTCATCAAAAACAGGAATACATCAATGTTTACCTTGTATCCTAGCTTTGTGGGCTCTGATAATAAGGACTTCACTACTAAATTAAGTTATAATTAGTTCCAATTATATATAAAACCTGAATCAGTTTTTATTACTTTCTTTATTTTCTCCTTTACTAGTAATCATCAGTACATTAGTCCTCAGTTCAGATTTAAACTCTTTCTTTTTCTTATGTGTATAGCAGTGCCCAATAGTGCCAGGCTGCCTACAACTCTTGTCTTTCTCACCCCCTCACCCTCCATCACCATTGCTTTCTGTCAGTGCGTGTAGTCATGTGGCAGCTCAGAGACATGGAGAAGCGGATGTGTGCAGTGTGATTGTGTAGCCAGACACTTTTAAGGAGAAGGACAATGAAGGACTTACTAGAGCTGTTCTGCTTTGTGAGTATAGCGGCTCATTGTTCAGTGTGTATCCAGTGAATTACAGGGCATTTGTGTCAGTCTGTCTGTTGTGTTTTTTAAATAGAGGCTCTAAAAAGATACCCCTGCTAAAAGAGAGTCTTATATGGATTATGCAGTTTTATGCATATTCCTGTGCAAAAGCTGTAGTGAGCTGTGAAAATTAATAACTGTTAATAAGATGGATGTTCTTCTTCTTCTTTCTCAAGGTCAAAGATGAAAGTTCATGCCCTGCTCATTGATGCGCTATTCATAGTAAAATGCATATCACAGAATTAAATCTATTTTTGTTTCAGTGTCTCTTGGGTTATAGCTGATAATGCAACCTGCATGTTGTTAAAAGCTATGCTAAAACCATTACATGCATCAAATCCCTCTGCCTTTAATCTCCCTTATCGCTGATACACATATAAACACACACACACACATTAGCACACATAGATGCAGTGGGTCTGTACTGCCAAGATGTGATTGGCACCTTGCCTAAAAGCATGTCCTAAATACGATATAGGGGAAGCATTGTGCGTGGAGCAGCCCCACATCATTAGAGATGTTACAAGGAAGAGGAAATTTCTATGTAATTATTTATCTTTAAAAGCTGTGTTTCAAAAGTTTGTGTAATAATTGCTCCTGGTATATGTGTTTTAGTGTATAACATCTAATATTATCACTCTTATCAACCATTAATATAAGGAAAATTATGCTTTTTAATGTCTGAAAAGATTTAAAGAAGTGGACTAAGGGAGTGTGACGTCACCCATAGGGTTTGGCTCCAATCAAATGAAGCTCACGAGGCTAGCAGTTACTGGGAGTCAGTTCCATATTAGGAATAGGAATTTGCGTACAAAACCTACAATTTCAATTAAGCCAATAAATGATACTAATATGTTGAACAAACATGTCTTTTTTGTGTGTTTCAGGACATAAACAAGCGGTTGTCCCTGCCAGCCGATATCAGACTACCGGAAGGCTATTTGGAGAAGTTTGCCATGAACAGCCCACCTTTTGACAAACCAATGAGCCGCAGGTTAAGGCGAGCTTCACTGGTCAGTATTGCTCATAAGTCTGTCATCTGCTTTTGCGTGTCCATGTTAAGACTAACATGACTCTTTCCTTTGTGTAGATAGCTGTGTAATGTGTACTTTGCAATTAGGTTGGTTTGTCTTCAGGTAATACAAGCTCGCATTGCACTATTTGAAATGGTTGACGCAGACTGTTATATCATTATTTCAACCGAGAGTGCACGCACAAAACACCAGAGTGAACCATGTCATGGAGATTACAATAGCCCAGTAGGAGGTGAATGATGCGTTTTGTAGTATGCATCCAGGCCAAGAGCATTAGGCCTGGGAATGACAATTAAATGAACTAGTGGGACAGATTATGCACATATTTTTATGCTTATGTGTTCTCTTGTTCAAGTGCACACTATCATTCACCGTGCACTGTTAGACAGGGAATGAACTGTGGTATACAAACAAAGAAAAAGGAAATATACCTACAGGTCCTATATTACACAAATTGGATTCTTGTGAGTTTTTAGCCATATTAGAATGTTGTTACCTCCTCAGAAACATTCCTGGAGTTATAACACTTTATTATGAGTCTGTTACATCTTCAAAGCTGAAAATGCTCCATTCTACCTTGTGATGTCATGAAGCAGTAGTTTTCAAGTTAACAGCAATCTTTTACCTTTAGTTTAGTTGAGTTTTCTGTTTGAGAGAAGAACTCATCTTAAATATGCAGGTTTTGTGTGTTAAACATGTGTGAATGAAACAAAACACAACTCCAGGTATGAGGAAACAACATGATAACATAGATCTCAAAATAGGGTAATATAGGCCCTTTAAAACAAGGCCAGTGATGTCAAACCTTTCACAACAATACCCATGTTCAGCCCTCTAAGTAAACATACCTAAAGGATGACTACTGTCTGAACAAAAGATGTAAAACTGGACAAAGAAAAAAAGTTAATGCAGAGAATTCCTTGTGTCCACTAAGGCTCTGAGATGTTGTATGATGTAACAGACCAACTAATAATTTAGTGGCTGCATCACATTTATCTGCAGCTCTGATCCTGACAAGATTACAGACCAGGGCAGCATGGAAAAGGGAAAATGAAAATACAGAGGTAGGGATTAAACTAAGTGCAGGAAATATAATTCACTAAAACAGGTGTTTGAGAACAAGGTTAAGGTTAAATATACAAATATGTATGGAGTTTTGGGTTTTATAGAAAGTTTTTAATCTCTCTCATAAGATCTTGTATTTGGGAACATACTGTACAACTCTACAGTGATTTCTGAAATGTGTATTAAATTGAATAGTGTATGGTAAAACTCTAGCATCTAAACAAAGTATTGCAAAACCTTAAATCAGGGCCATTTCAAACTGTAGGACACAAAACATAAAAAGGTTCAGGTGGTTCAAGTGACTTTATTTGTACCCGTAGGTGGATTTGTTTTGCAGCAAATACTATGTATTGAAGATATTTTGTTCACAGTTAGTTTGTTTGCTATAATAATTTTTGGAAGTACACAGTGCACATGCCAGATGTATAGTATCTTATCCTGCCATGTAAGACACAGGATTTCGATCTTTGAATCACTTCCATTCTGAAGTATCAGTGTCGGCTTTCTACTAATGCACGATGTTGCCCAATCAAAATTAATTATTCACAACATTCAATATTTAAGTGCGAGTAATCCCAGGGCAGAGGATGCAATAATAATTCCAATACAATAAGTGAACACCATTTTCAACTAACGGCATCCTGTTTTCAAAGTGGTGCAACTGAGAATTGTTTTGAATGTTGACACAAAATCCAAACATATGTATTCATATACAAATATTATAACTTTGAAGTAATATATTAAAAGTGCACAATGTATCTCTTCTTCTCCATAGAGATGTTATCGGTTTGTCTGAAATTGTCCACAGTATGACATTAAACTGTCTCTTTGGAGACAAGCAGGTGATGCCACCAGGCCAATTTACTGGTCAAATCTGGATAGGCAAGCCCAAACTATTCTAACTGAATAAATGCAAGATATGCATGTATAATGCCATGCTATGGAACATTTGAGGCAAACAATGACAGAGACAATCAGGTGCTGGACCCTCCTTTAGAAAAGTTACACAGTGCAAGTACTCAAAAACTTTTGAGTTAAGTATTGTCTATTAAACTTAATACTACTGCTTTTCACTGAGGTGACACATAACACATTAAATTACCTTTATTATTATAGCAGCTGTAATTTTGGTTCTACTAGATTTGCTGAGTCAGCTCACTGGAGCATTGGAGTGAATGAAAACTGTGCTTTCAGTAGCATTTGCAATCATGATTGTGTTTGTTGGTTTGTTAAACTAAAGATAGCCCTAAATTGAATGGTCGAAGGTTCAATAGGATATAGGCCTTTTATTGTGAAACACTGATATCCAGTAGTATTTGTGCATGTGACAGCTTGTGTGTGACAGTCTTCCTAAATGAGACTCAGAGCTGCAGGCCTGACAGCCGTTGTCACAGATACAGGAGCTGTTTGTGTATTCACACTGAGTCTGCTGCTGGGGTTACAATGAGCCCTCAACATCCACCAGACATTTTACTCCATATGTATTTTTGTAAAAGCTGACACTACTATTTTTACTCATCCTGGAGAGTGCGGACAAAGCCCCCTGTGTCCGTGGTTCCCAGATTGTGTTATTTATTATAAAACATTTTTAGTGTGGTTTCTGCACAAGCAAATAAAAATACATTTATTATGATCAGATACTTTAAGTAATGTTTGAGAGTGGGTGTTCACAGTGTGAAATATTATATAGATATGGTTAGGGTTATTAACTTTTAGTTTTTAAGTTTAATCATCTCTACAATACATCATATAATACTAGTCCGCAATCTTAATTGACTATGTCGTACTGTATCCCATAGCTGCTATACAGTAAATAATAAAATACTGTATTTTCTAACACATCTGTGTGAATGGAATGTTATACTTTATTCAACAGTCAAAGACAAATGGAAAATGTTGCAGATGATTTAATTAGGCATCCTCATAATAGTCAGACTAATTTATAATCAAATATTGACATTTATAGTCACATTTAAAGTAATCACACACTTCAGATGCTTACTTGGCCAATACCCCCACACACAACCATAGAAGAGACATTATACCAACATTGTTGCATGAATGATTTCATATTTGTGACGCTGAGAAAACATGTTGTTGGTGTCCTGAGTGACAGGCAGGGGGCAGTACACACAGCAGGTCTGAGCACATCACAGCTTGACACAGCCACTATCATCCATAATTCATCACTAACGGCCCAGAGTCACATGCATTATGCAGCTGAACTTTTAATAACTGATTTTATCTAGCCTTTTCTGTGCCTTTATCCTTATATTGTGTTAATGTTTTTGCCTTTTTTGTAAGTGCTTGACTTATGGAAATATTTTACTATTTCACTTGAAATTGTGTAGTGAAGCCAACAAGATGTTTAACTGCATATCATAAAAAAAAAAAAAAAACTCAAAGGAATCAAAACATAGAACTCATTTGCACATTCAAAAACATATGAAACTACGCCCTGCAATTGTAGGTCAAATGACAACAGCAGCAGGAAACAAATTGAAGTAGAAGTAGCTTTGGTTATGACTGGAATGTAAAATCTCAAATGATTTGAATAGATAAAAACACACACAGCATATATTTAATTTTCTCTGCATAATCTAGCAACAATTCAGCATTACAAACTATAAATTCACAAAATTGTATTCAAACAATAATGTCTTTCTTTTTCATTCAGGTGCTATTATTTTGAAGTAGGTTACTACACAATACTATAACTTAAGTACATGTTTGAGTGCTTCTTCTCTGTATGGTATTATTGATAAAAATGCTTTTTGTCTGTCTAGTCGGAAATCGGTTTTGGGAAACTTGAAACCTACATCAAACTGGACAAACTTGGAGAGGTGAGATCATAACATTTTTGTCTATTCTTCTGCTTGGTCTAATTCTTTCTTATGATGTTCATGGGTGTGTTTAGGGTACCTACGCCACAGTATATAAAGGCAGAAGCAAATTAACTGACAACTTGGTGGCTCTGAAGGAAATCCGACTGGAGCATGAAGAGGGAGCGCCCTGCACAGCCATTAGAGAAGGTATTGGGCTACTTTAATTGTTTGGTTTAACTAGTACTACAAAAACATTTAACTGAAATTATTAACTTCATAAATGTGGGGCAGTGGCAGTATGATAAATAATGATGTAATAAAAATGTGATAAGCTTTGCATTTTGAACTAGAACCAAACCAAATTAAAAGTTTGTGAAAGAAAAAGAAAATCTCTTTTATAATAAACATAATCTTGGACCTTTAAAATATTTGATTTCATGGATAGTTGGTGAGTTTTCAGCTGTGGTAGAGTATGTAAAACAAAAAGAGGAACGTTGTGCACTACTGCTGGTGTTTTTGTTTCTACTGCTAGTGAGAAGTGAAATTGCGATCAGTTCTTTATAATTAGGCTTGGAAAGTATTGTCACAAAATTAATTGAAACAAATCTTGAAACATCCAATGAAAAGATATTATCACCATGTTAATCAAAACAACTGGACTTACAATTTTTTTGCAGCTGACATTTCGTTAATAACAAGGTAGCTTCTTCAAGGCTTTGTATTAGTGGCTACAGTTCAGGCTTTGTAGCAGTGAGTTAACACATGGTAGCCTCATTGTTACATCTGGTGGGAGCCACAGTCACTAACACAAAGCCCTGAAGAAGCTACTGTATTTGGTTAGCTGTAGTGTAGTCTGTTGTAAGAGCTTAATAAGCCCATTTGTTCTGATTAACTCAGTGATAGTATTGTCACAAAGCTGTACTGCTCAAACACTTGTGTGAGTGGATTGTACCTCTGCGCTACATGTGAACTGTGGGCTGTTTAATACCAGCTGCCGCGCTGTCTGTTTGACTGACACACTGTGATTCTGTCTTTTCAGTGTCTCTGCTGAAAGACTTGAAGCATGCCAATATTGTCACCCTCCACGACATTATCCACACAGACAAGTGCCTGACTCTGGTGTTTGAGTACCTGGTAAGAGGCTAAACGCTGCATGCTTGTCAGTAATGAAAATGTTGGATTGTTTTACCTAAGCCACTTAATTTTCCCCAGGAAAAAGATCTGAAGCAGTACATGGATGACTGTGGAAGCATTATGAGCATTCATAATGTAAAGGTAAAGACATAAGGTTTGGTTATGATAATAATGGTTAATGTATCTCACTTACTTGATTGACATGTTTATTTTCTGTCTTTAGATCTTTCTGTTCCAGCTGTTAAGAGGACTGGCTTATTGCCACAAAAGAAAGGTCCTGCACCGAGATCTGAAACCCCAAAATCTGCTCATCAATGAGAAGGGGGAGCTGAAACTGGCAGACTTTGGTACATGAAGCATTTTTATAATTATTAAGTTGTGTGGTTATTGTATATTATCAGTACATTATACTAAAATGCATTTACTTTTGACCATATTGGCCAAAACCTGATTGCTAATAATTGTCTAATTATTTTTGTACATAAAACAACATTTTGTCAAGCTGATGTAATTTTTGTAACTAACTTTACATTTTTGATATAAAGGGTTAGCAAGAGCCAAGTCTGTTCCAACAAAAACCTACTCAAATGAAGTAGTGACGTTATGGTACCGTCCTCCGGATGTGCTACTGGGATCCACAGAGTACTCCACACCCATTGACATGTGGTAAGAGAAAATACAAAAAATTAAGGGACCTGTGCTCTATTGCATATCTACTAATAACATATAGTGCTTCTTATCTTTATAAAGGGGCGTGGGGTGTATTTTTTATGAGATGATCACTGGCAGACCCTTGTTCCCTGGGTCGACTGTGGAGGATGAGCTTCACCTTATATTTCGGATACTTGGTAGGACTGAACACTATTGAAATGTTGAACCCGACCATTTATTTTAGTGACAATACCACAGAACTCATTCTATTAATACAAAAATCTACATTTTAACAATATTTAATTTATTATTGGTCTATAGAATGTTGTGATGTCCTCTGATCTAAAACCCAGCAATTCTAATCATGGTCATTGTTACTGGTTATTTGCTTATATTATTCTCTTTGTGCATCTTTGTGTATGTTTTATAGGCACCCCAACAGAGGAGACCTGGCCAGGCATTACAACAAGTGAAGAGTTCAAGACTTACAATTTTCCCCAGTACCAAGTTGAACCTCTGGTGAACCATGCACCAAGGTATGAGTCCCAACTACAGTCAGTGACCTGTGCTTCAGTTATGACTACAAATACTTTGATAAGCATTTACCTTGCTGCTAAATAGTGATTGACCAATATGAGTTTTTTCATGACTGATCCCAAATACAGAGCAACTGATAAACTCTGCATATATTTTTTGGGCCGATATGTTTTCCTGATTTGGATTATATTCCACAAATTATGTCATTTAAATTAACTACAAACAAGTGTTTTTTTACCACAAGCCTATAAGATACTTGTGTATTTCACTTTGTGCATCTATTTGTTCGTATTTAATTTTTTTATATAAAGCTTTGTGTGTATTTTTTAGGGAACAGGTTGACCAAACAAAATATCGGCATCTGATGTAGATTTAAGGCTGATAACCGATACGCTAATAAGTCCATATATCAGCCTATCTTTACTGCTAATGACCTTACTAAAATGCTATACGCTATATGTTTTCTTTCCCCCATACAGGATAGACAGCGATGGCCATGACTTGCTGTCGCTGCTATTAAAGGTAAAGCACATTGTTCTCTCAGCGGTCCCATTACACCATTATATACTGTTATAAATTAGCCTTACTCTGTCTTTTTTGTTTTTAGTTTGAAGCAAAGAAAAGGATATCAGCAGAAGATGCTCTAAAACATGTTTATTTTAGGAGTCTAGGGGAACAGGTTCAAACACTTGCAGACAGTAAGTGTTGTTGTTGTTGTTGTTGTTGTTGTATTGTTTTTTTTTTTACTTAAAAATTGAAAGATGCAATTTTTTGTTTTGTTTTAGCGGCATCAATATTTTCTGTAAAAGGTATTGCGCTACAGAGAGATCCAGGGAAGAGGTCGTCAATCTATCCAGAATCAAGTAAGTCAATTTAGCAGCAGAAGATATGAGAGTCAGCTTCTGTTAAGCACATGAAACAGTCCAGACATACAGAGTGATTTGGTTTGCTCAGTATGTAAAGAAATTATAAGAACAAGATCAATAAAACACCAATACTTATTTTTAGAGCCTGGGCAGTAACTTTTTAAAGATATTATATATTCTCTATATAGTCTCATTATGTGTTTTACATGACACTTTTATTTTCAGGTGTACATTACTATTACGTCTCCCATAGAATTACCTCTGTGTCTGTTTGTGTCTCTTCATGTTCTCCTTCCTGTTTGGCCCATGCCTCTTAATGTTATTCTTTCCCTGTTGTTGTGCTCATTTCCTTTACTCTGTCTTCCAACTCTTTTTCCCTTCTCTAAAATCTATCCTGCCTTCCTCTTCCCCAATAACCTTTTTGAAAGCCACGAGCTATAAGCTTGGCTCCGCCCCCTCGCAGTACTTCCAGAGAGAGGCAGCCAATCCCAGGGCTCAGAGCCACTCTCTCTCCTCCACTTCCACTGGCTGAGTGTCCATTCCTTCTGGTAAATTTTTCAACGCTTTCCTTTTTTCCTTCAACCAGTCTGTTGCTTTTTCATTGTCTTTAGACACCAGATCCTCTATACTTTCGTTGTAGCCCATTGAAAGCTGATACATGTCCACATACCACAGTGACATGACGTCATATCTATTGTAGCTTACATCCTGGCTGTCACTCCATCCTTGTCTTACTCTTTCAAAGTCAAGCATCTCATCTTTCACAACTCAACCTCTTTCTTACTTCAGGCAACCCCTTTTCCTGCTTTTGTAAGACATAAGCAAAATATAGACAAAGCATAGTTGAAATAAGAGTCATTTGATCATTTTTATTTGCAGTTTTCTTTAGGTTCCTCCAGCGAGAGATGTAGCATTTTTGTTAAATAAATCTTTATGGGTAAGGGTTCATGTGTGGCATTTTTGCATTATAAATAGTGATGGAGAATCTATATTAAGGGTGCATAAATGAGATCCAAAATCAATATATTTCTCAAAGTATAGGATTCAAATCCCTGGAGATACGTAGATCTCTTCCCAAACGAATCCATGATTACCCATTCCTGATGTTAATATTACTCTGCATCACTATTTAGACATGCATGATTGCTTTGATTGCTGTGTGGGAAAAAAAATGTAAGTATGATTTGACAGGCCTGTTTTGGATTGTAATTGTTTTGGGCCATAGACTGTGTATATAAATGGGCATAGCTATCCTGCAAAATAGGAAGTGAACACAAGGGCGCTTCCGGCTCCACTGAGTCACTTCACATAAAAAAAAAAGGTCACGCCTCTCTTGTAACTGCTTCTTTAAATGTTAGTTTTAACCCGCTCTACATGATCCTGGTGTTTGTATTTCACTATTTTGTCTGTAAATAAATTCCTATTCCTAAAATAACTTGGCTCCAAATTGGCTCCTAAAATTGCTAGCCTTTTGAGGTTAATTGGAATTGAGCGCTATGGGTGATGTCACGCTCCCTTAGTCCACTTCTTTATACCGTCTATGGGCAGTTTTGGGCATTTGCTGTTGAAAGTACAATTATTTTTTTTTGTCAAACTTAAAATGTAACTTATTTGTTTTTTTTTCTTGCAGGTCAGGGAAAGAGCAGGAGGCAGAGTGTGTTGTTTTAATGCTGGTGACGCTGATGAAGAGAGGATGACCAGATGAGGACAAGGCCAAATGAGACTTAAAACTGTCGTGCAGAGTCTCCTATACCCTGTCTACACCTAAGGAGAGACCCACACACACACTCTACCCCATGTACACCTTTGGAAATGACAGAAGTATGGCTGAAGAATTGATACTTGATTAAAAAATAATAATACCCCCTCACAAGTAGGATCCTCCTTCCTTGCTGCTGCTACTACTGCTGCTGTCCATAAGAGGGCAGCATTATGTGCTGTATGGAAAAAATATTGGGGACTGAGCTTTCTGCCCTATTTGAAAGAACCATACAGTCTCTAAATATCTCCAAAGACACAACAGACACTGTCCAATTTGAGTGTGTGTCTTCTACAGGAGTTTACACAGTTAAACTTAAGCACCTTATTGTTCAGTAGACATCAGGGTGGCTGTCATAACTTACCTCATCCAGCACGGACGTTCAAAATGAAGAAGTGAACCAAAAAAACAAAACAAAATATAAGATTGACATCACCACATATCATGAAGATACATGCTGTAAAGGCTTGCTTAGCACTCCTGTTTCATGGACAGTGATGTCAAGGGTGTTTTCGCAACACTCCAGCTGTACGTTTGTTTTGCCTTTTATCTCTCAATGTCCAGATCGTTTTAAATGTTCTTTTTTGCACCTAATTTTACCTCTTTAGACCAAGTAGAAGGCCTGAAACCTCTTCTGGCTACACCTGCCTTTTTATGTTCAATCTGTATATATTTGATCAAACTTTTCTTGAATTTTGTTCTAATTTAGAGTTGTACGACTGAGGACGTGTTGCACATTCCTTAAGCTCAGGACTCGTGATAGTGTGATGATTTGAATGCTGTAAGTAAGGCTGTCTTTATGTCCTACCTAGCTGGAATCCCTTTGCAAAGTTAGTTCAAAGTGACACCCAATCAGTCATTTTAGAACAGTCAGTTATAACATTATTACCACTGAAACACAACATAATTGCCTCTACAAGTGACATGCATAACAAAACGCATTGATAATGCATATCTCTTCGTTATCTTATGGGTGAGTTTGCCAAGGAAACCTTTACGATAAAACACTAGATCAGACTGCATGGTCCCATTAAACTGACTCACCTCTGTAGCTCTAAGAGTTTCATATATAAGGTATTCACAAGTGGTCATAATGTTATATCTGTTTAGTGTATCATACATATTCTTGATTACACCCATTTTTCAGTCTTGCCTATAGGCTACTTACCATTTTGAGCATGTGTTGAGTTTGTATGTGGAACATTTACCATCAATGCAATATTCTCAACTAGTTTGCATGTTTTTACTTTTGTACACACCACACTGACCAATAAATGGCAATGACAAATCACAATCTTCAGACACTGTATTGTGTAGAACAGTGCATTAACTCAGTGCTTTGGAAAAGGAACAATGTTGTTTCATGAGACTTAAGTTTCCAAGCTGCCAGAAACAACAGGACCAAAGCTTAAAGCACATGTCTCATAGACCATTTCTTGATATTGTACTGTATACGGAGGTTGTGTTGGTTGGTTTTAATTGCCCTGGTCTGATCAGTAAATGAGGGTCATGGAAACTTCTTTATGTCACTGTCAAAATACTATGTAAATATAATATTAAGTAAGTAATTTAGTAATTACTGCAATGCATGTGGTAGCGGACTGGTGCTGATGGGTTGCTCCAGTGCCATTGAACTATGGAGGGAATTATATTATATTATAGGTGTAAGTGTAGCGCCATATTTAAATTCTAAAAATCTGATTAAATTGCCTTAACAGTACCCATATCTGGCTCTATATTTCTTGATATTCAGTTACAGTGACATAAACAAATTTCCTTTACCTTCTTTATCAAAAAGGTGTCTTGCTAACCCAGAGTGTCACAGTATGTAGCATGTACAAAAAGAAAGCCCTCACTATGTTGTAAATAGTGTATAGGTTTGATACTGCTGTTCTTGCTTTCATTTTATTGAGATCTCATAGCAATATTTCTATAACAAATTAAGAAGCCAAGGTGACATGAGGATTTGATTTGAGAGATGACTGTGAATGATTGAATTGTGAGACAAAAAAAAAAAAAAAAGACCCTTCCTTGGTCTAAAGCCTGGAGTGTACTTTTGTGTTGCAAAGAAGAAGTAACAAACACTGATTTTTTTTGTTTTGTTTAGTATTTTTTTTAAACCAATGAAAGCCATATGGTCATAACCAGGTCTGCTGATAATGTGGATGAAAGAGGATCACATCTGAGCACAGACCTAATAAAGCAAAATGGGATGAAAACCTAATTCAAAAGGTGTCGTTACTTTTTGTCCGTTCTGCAAATATTTTACATTGTGCTTTACAAAACTTTTAGACAGGAAAAAGGCTAAGTACAAACATTTGTGTAGTGTAGTAAAAATGCCAATTAATGCTCAGCCAATGACACGTGGCTAGTTAAGTCACGTGACTCATCTCACAAAAATATTTAAACTAATGGAACATTCTGATTATAACCTATTTAAGTCAAAGACAAAATATTCCTTTTAGTAGCTATGTGTGTAAAGTATTTTGCACTATTAAGTAATCTTCTCAAGCAGCAGTTAATCCATTCTAGACACTACCCCAAATAACCCTGGGAAGACTCAAGATAAGGAAAAGCAGCTGTACACACACTCAAACAAATTTGGTTAAAAATATCATCTGTTTTATTCACAGTTCTTTGGAGTGCATCATCCTTATTTTAAACAAAAGTGAAATATATACAGAATGTTTAATTAGATAATAATATGAGCTAGATATTATCGGATAAAATTTGGTTATAGCAGTGATAAAAAACAACAACTTAACATTACACAAGCTTGAAACTGGTTGATACGTACAGGTTTCAAAATGTGAAAATTTAATTAATGGATGTTCTCCGTAATCTTAAGTTAAGTGAAATAAAATCCAGTTTTATTCCTTAAGCGATTCTTTGGGTGACACTCTTTGGCTCTTGCTGATGGAGGTTGCTGTCGTCTCTCCCTCTGAGAGCTGTGCCTCTGAGGCCCAGGGGTTCCACCCACACAGAATAGCAGGGACCGCATAGTTTTGAAACTATGAAGAAGATAAACATGCAGATTGATTATATTACTATGATTACACCAAGCCGAAGTAAAATAATGGTACATTATAAAGAGACCAGTATTGTATCAGTACTGAAGTTATAAGTTATGATAAATCCAAATCCACTTTATTTATACAGGAAATTTTACAAACTAAAGTCCTGCACAGAGATCATAACAATAAAAAAAGGTATAATTGCTAAAGATTTGATCGTACTAGTCCTAAAACAATAAAACCAGTATAAACACAGATAAAAGCAAAATCATAAAATAGCAATAAATAAGTAAAATAAATAAAGATAACTAAAAGACAGGGAACCACACAACTCACTCCGTGTTAAAAAAAAAAGTCAGAGAATCAAAGTATGCAAAAGATCAACTACTACCGAACACTATACAGATATTTTGTAAGTCCACCTCTTAAACCAATTTGCTTGTTGAGTTAAACTACAGCCTGCACATGGCTTAAAATAGTTCCTGTCTTATTTATTTACTTATTTATTACTTTTATACAGTGGTGGATGAAGTAGTAAATTTTGTTACTTAAGTAAAAGTACAGATAAAAAGCTAAAAATTTACTCAAGTAAAAGCAAGAATATCACATGACAAAATCTACATAGTAAAAGCAGCTGTACAAGTACCTGTATAAAAATGTACTTTAAAGAGTAAAAAGTAAAAGTATTTTGCAGAGATGCTTAGAACAATTAAAGATGAACTGTAGTGATTTTGACTTTTGCAGATTTTAAGTGATTCAATTGATTTCTTATTTTCTCTAGCTGCTTTGTGTATTTGGTTTCCTCAAAATTGTGATGTTAACTCAAAATAAATGTACTAAAAAAAGAAAGTTGTAGTGAAGTAAAAGTAAAAAGTATTCACTAAGTATAGATATGTAAAATTGGTACTTAGGTATTGTACTTTTACTTTTGTACTTTGTTACCTTCCATCACTGCTTTTAGACTTCTGACAGTGGACTTGCCTGTCTGTTCATGAAGATGTAGATGATGGGGTTGTAAACTGTGCTGCTCTTGGCCAGAAAGACAGGTATGGTGGCTATAACAGGGTCTATGTAGAGGGATGGGACCAGGATGATGGAGAGGGCCATGGAGGCGTACGGTAGCCACGTCAACAAGAAGGACAGCACCATGACGACCACCATCCGGGCCACCTGCACCTCCACACGTTGAGTACTGCCCCCCTCTGACACCTGCAGCTTAGTCACCTATAGCACAGTACACGGTTTATTGCATTATCACATTATCGCATTCTGTAGTAACTTTCATGTTGAAATAAATACAATATGCAAATGCAGAAGAAAGAGTATGTCACATTACTGTTACTGATGTGCTTTCAAAATCTCAGATGTTGTTGTACTGTTTGTTGTTTGTTGTTTACATGGACACAAAAAATTTGATTATTATTTAATTTCTGGAGTTATCTGAATATTGGAATTACAGTAATCCCTATGGTTTTGGCAAAAAGGACAAACTAATGTGGCAAAGAACAAACCCCGATGGAGTAATTTTTACATAAATTTTACTATGTCTTCCAAATACAGTTATTCTAATATATATATATATATATATATATATATATATATATATATATATATATATATATATATATATATATATATATATATGGGTAATTGACATACATCACAAGGTGTATTTGATTTCTCTTTGTAGACACACGCCAAAGATGAGAGAATGATTTGATCATTCTGGTTATCTGATTTCTACTGACCATGTAAATGTGCCCACTGTCTCCTTCAGTGCCTCACCTGTCGCAGGGTCCACAGCAGCCGTGAGTAGGACACCATGATGACAAAGAAGGGCAGGGTGAAGCAGAGGAAGAAGTACATGATGATGTAGGACATGTTGCCCATGTCCCGACTGTACCAGTTGGGGGCGCAGGAGGTCCTGATACCCTCCAGTTCATAACTGCCCCATCCAAAGAGAGGAGGAGTGTTCCAGATGAAAGACCAAACCCAGGACAGCACCACTCCGGCAACTGCATGTCTGTAATGAAGAAACTGTGTGCTCTGATTTATAATAGACACAAAATCAACCACTAGCAACCCCTACTCTGTAAACTAAACATTCAATCAGTACAACTTCTGATGGAGCCCAGCAACTGTGGGCTTTTGGTGAGCTAAAATTAATCAGAAAGCTATAATGACTTAACTGTTATTCTACCTTTATTTAATATAGAACTAGAGCAAATATACTTTGTAATAAAAATTACCTGGTTTGGAAGAGCACTGATCCCAAAGGGTAGCATACCACAACATAACGTTCAACAGAAATCACTGCTACAGTGCATAAACTTGCTATTCCTACAGAAAATATAAAACATACATATTTTAAACATGGTCAGCACAAAATATTTGCTTGGTATTGACTTACCAAAAAAAGCCACAGCAAAACCCTCTATGACACATCCAGCCCGTCCAAAGCTGAAGTATCCCATAGCAGTCATTACAGTGGTGGGTATTCCCCCCAAAACAGCACAGCCCAGGTCACAAACAGCCAGGTTAACTAGAGCATAGCTCAAGGGCTGCCTCAACTGTCTGTGTTTCACTGTCACAACAATTACCAAAACATTAAGAATGACCCCTGACACTGAGAAGACCCCCATTATGGCTGCAAGGACATTGTAGCCAGTTTGAGACAAAAAGGGTGTGTTGGCTGCATCTTCAGAAATATTTCTATGGAAGATCGCCATTTTGTTGTTTGGCAAATAAGAAAAAAGACTGTAAAAGTTTAAAGTTGTTCCCTAGATTAAAAAAACAAAAACAAAAAACAAGAATCTGACCTTATCTTTATACAAGTATTGACTATGTCTTCTCCAATGCTATCACAGTTGCTGGCCCTATCTGTGTGGCTGAAACGATGGGACCCTCTTAATAAACCATGTAGAGAGAGGAGGGACTTAAGATCACAATATTTAATTGTTGAAAAGCAAATCCTGGATTGTGCAGACATAATTCTGCCTAATATCTTCTAAGACTGCACTTTCCATAATTGGCAGAGGTCTTACATCTGATGATGATAAGGGTCTCAGAAAAACACAGTGTGCTTTAGAATTAAGCCCACTGTGTTTTCTTGAGGCTTGAGCTGTTTGTAGACTACAGAGCTGTTGTGTACAGAGGTTATAGGCATACAAATTCAATTGGGCATTTCGGTTTCTGGCTACCATAGTTCTAAAAGTTTATCTTACTATTTTTCCATGATTGCTAAAAACCTCTAAATTGGATAACACAACAAGAGGCCTCGGTGTATTAAACCAAATGGTTTAAATATTGTCAATTTAGCCTACTACAGATAAAATAAAATTTAAAAAATGCTTTTGTCTATGTGTCAAAAATTTTCCCAGACTCCTTGCTTTTTCCCCTGAAGATATTGATGAGATGCTGTGGATTTTTCTTTCAAAAGTTTCTTAATTAATAGGAAGTGTTAAAATGGTTCTTATCAAATTACCAAACTGCGTGCACTACATTTAGTTTGTTCCTCTTCCCTGTCACTAGAGGGCGCACACGCACCTCGCCTCTCCTTGAAGACCACGAGCTCGGCTCTGGTGGTAAACAGTAAAGATGGCGGCCTCCGTGAGGAGAGCTGCGCACGACATCGAAACGCGAAAACGAACCGACGATGTAGTTCTTTCTGAGAATATTAATTTCAGCTCTCTGCTCCTGTCCGAGCCTGTGCTCCAGGGCCTGTCTGCCGCGGGCTTTGAGAAGCCTTCCCCCATCCAGCTCAAAGCCATCCCGCTGGGCCGCTGCGGTCTCGGTGCGTTACGAACATGGGCCGAGTCCAGAATTACTGCGCATATGAACCACAGACGATGATATTATATATGATATTAACCCATGGAAATGCACTCACACGATTTCACACAGTTTAAAGTTTAGTTTGTCTCAGTGTGTTCCTGACAGAAGTTCATATGTAATTTGTCTTACTTAAATTAAATTGTGTTTTTCAGATTTGATTGTCCAGGCTAAGTCTGGAACGGGGAAGACATGTGTATTCTGTACAATCGCGCTGGACTCTCTGATATTGGAAAATCCTGCAACACAAGTAAGATAATGAGTGCCAACATTAATAATAAGTAACGCACACTATTCTTGATATATGCAAATTTTCTATAAAGATCATACAGAAAACACTGGATTTCAGACAAACAACAGCTAGTATAGCTCTTATTCACACAGACCATAGGATTTGTGAAGGTTGCAGGTTAGCACAGGAGTGTCCAAACGTTTTTCATCGAGGACCACATATTATTGAAACATATTCGAAGCGAAGGGCCACCAGTGGTCAGTACAGTGAGTAATTCAGATTGGTTCATTTCACACCAGCCACATCTTTAAAAAATCAAGATTACTTTCTATGATCAACTGGATTCAGCAGTAGGCCTGCTGGCCAGATTATCCCTTTGTTTTGCACTTGTAATCTGTAGTATTTAAGATGCCTGGAGTAGCGAGTATGGAAGGCACTAACATTGTTAAATCCTAAAACTTGCTTTCTGGTGTGGTGTAATCCTCTTTTCAAAGGGACTATAGAGGAGGACTGTCTCCCACCTGCTCTCTCCTAATCCTTTCCCAATCAAACACAAGTGGTTGTTAACATTTCACTTGTTAATCAAGCCAGTCTGTTCCTTCAACAGGTGCTTGTGCTGGCGCCAACACGAGAGATAGCCGTGCAAATTCACTCAGTGGTGATGGCTATAGGCTGTGCCATGGAGGGACTCGAATGCCACGTTTTTATTGGGGGCAGGCCTGTGAGTCAAGACAAGGCTCATTTAAAGAAGTGCCATATTGCTGTTGGCTCACCAGGTACAAGCCATAAAACACAATGCATTCTGAATGGCTCCTGATGTAATGCTTTGTACTTTCATTTTCCACAGGTCGTATTAAACAGCTTATTGAGTTAGGCATGTTGTCTACAGCTAGCATCAGACTGTTTGTGCTGGATGAGGCAGACAAACTACTGGAAGAAGGAAGTTTCCAAGAGCAGATAAAGTAAGAACAACACAGACATGTATACCACGCTCCTGTGTAACTTACAGTTTAATTGTTGGATGCTTAAATTTAAACATTATTCTGCACAGCTGGATATTCTCCTCTCTGCCAGTGACCAAACAGATGCTTGCTCTTTCTGCTACCTACCCAGAATCCCTTGCTCAGCATCTCACTCGCTACATGATCGAGCCCACATTTGTCAGACTAAACCTGAGTGATATGGGCCTTAAAGGTAACGTGGGAACTTGACGTGTGTTCTGCTTTTAAGGTTCAAGTTGTGTTTATAGTGTGATTTTCATAGGTTTAAAGCAGTATTACAAACTGGTACAGAGTCACCCTTTACCACACAAGATTTTTGAGGAAAAGGTGCAGCACTTGCTTGAACTTTTTTGTAAAATTCCATTCAACCAAGCTCTGGTGTTCTCCAACCTCCACACAAGGTCAGGCTGCATTTTGTAATATTTTAGTAGAGATTCAGATTGTAATGGATACACAGACAGTTTAAACTATGCTACGATGATGGCAGTTTCTTTGTTCTCTCAGGGCACAACATTTGGCAGATATTCTGTCCTCTAAAGGCTTACCTTCAGTCTGTATCTCAGGTGAGAAGTTTTCTTGCATCATATTTTACATTGTAAACAGTGCTTTGTCTTTACTATAATCTGTAATCTTACTAACACTTCACTGCACCCTAACCCTGTTGTGATAAAATCCTTATCATATATTTATAATTGTACAAAAGCTTGATATAGTGTAATAATACCTTCAGGTGGCCTGAGTCAGGACCAGAGACTGGAAGCAATGTCCAAATTGAAGCAGTATCAGTGCAGAGTGCTTATCTCCACTGACCTGGTAAGATGCCACCTCCAAGTTGCTTCTCCTGTCAAATATCATGGTAAAGTTGATGGTTTGTGTGATGATTCACATTAATGTGTTTTCACCAGACGGCCAGAGGTATAGATGCAGAAAAAGTGAACTTGGTCATAAACCTGGATGTGCCACAGGACTGGGAAACCTATATGCACCGCATTGGACGGGCTGGACGCTTTGGTAAATCTATTTTAATTTTAATTTTATTACTTTTATTACTTGCATGTTTTCAAACACACTTGATTTTCCCATATTACCTCTTGCTGGATTAGCTTCAGCTGTATTTAAGTAAGTTCTACTTCTGTAGAAAGGTCAATAGCTTCATAATCATCATGGATTTAATTATGATTACTTGGGATTACTTCTGTTTTAATGGAAAGAGGTCAATTCAATTCAGACTCTGAAAGGTTGTGCACATGCTAGTAACTAGAGCCATAATCAATAGCACAGTCTTCTGTCTTTTTTTTTTTTTTTTTTAGGCACTCAAGGGCTGGCTGTTACCTATTGTTGCCATGGGGAGGAGGAGAATAAGATGATGGCAATCTCTCAAAAGTGTGGCTTGAGTCTGTCTGCATTACCTTGTAAGTTCAGAACCTTCACATTTTTTGGGGAATATGGGTAGGACTTCAACATGCCTTTTTTGTTTAACTCAAGGACCAATTAAAATAAACAATAATTGCTTTTAGTTTAGTGTTATACTATATACGCTACCAGTCAAAAGTTTGGACTTTCATTTAACTAACAATTACATACATTGTAGATTTTCACACAAGGGATCAAAACTATTAATAACACTTATCAAGTGACAAAAACACCCACCCTTTTGCTTTGACCATTGCTCTTGGCATTCCCTGCATAGAGGAGAACCTAAAATGGAAAACATATTTATTGACTTATTTAACATTTTTGTCTTTGCTACATAATTCCATGATGTCTTCAGAACATATCTACAATGCAGAATGTGGAGAACATAAAGATAAAAACATTATTCCAAAACTTTTGACTGGTAGTGTATCTTCAAATTGTTATATACCTGCATTTTTCTTCTAACATCTAATGCTAATTTTCTTACTTCCATAATTACGATCACCATTCCTTTATTATGTTACCAGCTTTTTGAAATCAATCTTTCTAAATTATGATAATAAAGTCAAGTTAATGTGACTTGTGACATTAATTTATTTCTTAAATTGAGTGTGGTGATTGCTTTTTCTAGCCTCCCTGGAACCCGGTTTAATGGAGGAAGCCTGTGACTGGGATGTTTGCAGTGAAGCTTCCAATCCAGATGTGCCAACATTCCCAGTTGCCTCAAAGACTGAGAAAAAACACAGGACAACGGATGTGGTCAAACAGAAAGAATCTTCTACTAAGAGAAAAGACATTAAGGAAAGACTCAAACACAAACTGAATACTGAAAGAGATTTGGACTTGCACCCTCAAACTCAGGTATTGAGTCAGAAACCATCTAATCGCCATCCCATAGTCTCTCATGAATCGTCTCACAAAGAACAACAAGAGGCTCTGCCCAAGATCCCGTCTCTGAGTTCTTTCAAGACCTGTAACTCTCAGTTTGTAACATTTGAGGAAGCTGAGAGGGATTTTCAAAACTTTATTACCAAAGGTCTGGGCAGAACAGTAGAAGTTATCAGACAATATGGAGGAAGAGATGAAGGCAGCTCAGAAGATTTGAATGGATATACAGAGTCATTCACACTTGATGACAGTAGTACAAAGAGTGTGGTAGTAACTAGTGAATATAGAAAACAACAAATTTCACTCTCTGAATTGCCAAGTTCTCAGTCAGATATGGAGCAAAATGACATTGCAAAAGATTTTGATCAAAATGAAGAAAAGTCTGTTAAAAATGCTGCCATTGCCCCGAGCAAAAATGCTGTCAAACTAACATCAGTCAAACCAAAGAAAAGTTTGCAGACTGACAGCTTTTCAAATGACTCCTCTTACTTAGAGGAAGATGGAGTTAAAATGGGTGTTAAAATGAGCAGGCCAACAGACAAGACAGCAGCAGAAGAGTCTGAACAAACCCATTTTAGAAAGATCAAAAAAGAAAACCAAAAACATAAACAAAATGGTTTGGGGCGCAATAATAAAAGGAGAAATAGAGAGGCTGAACGCAAAGAGGAAGAGGAGGAGGAATCCAGTACAGATAGTTACTGGAGCATGTGGCACAGCTCATGGGATCAATACCATCCTTATCAGCAGTATGCATACCACAGCTACTACAGTGCAGCTCAGTGGATGGCAGCATATCGAATGAATGCAGTTTATATAGAAGAGCTTCTTAAGTATTGACTCTAAAATGACAGAAAGCACTTAAATAATATTTTGTGTTTGTTCAATAATGACACGTTTTTGTAATAAATTCATTAGTTTGAAGCAATATGTCTGAAATATCTTCCATGTTACTGATTGTTCCTTTTACTGTCTAAAGCCTACAGGGTTTGTCAATGATAGATTTAAAAATACTCCAAGTTGATTATTGGGTCATTTATTATTATTGTATTTCTCCATCAGACCAGTGGCTGGCCATTGCCCAAGATGCACCCCATACACAGGCCAAAGTTGGTGGGATACTGTCACAGTCAGAATACGGTTGGCATTGTGCACTTAACAAATATTTTTACAAGCCTTCTTCACTGTGCCTTTGTTTTCTAAGAAGATAAGCGGAGAGGTCACGATAACTACAAATAATTGTATGTCTCATTTAAAAGGACGTTGCAAGGTTAGACACATCCACGTCTCGTTCCTGATTACAAGCTTATCAACCAGTGCCCTGTAGTCTTCCAATCAGCGCGAGGCCCTTGATGAAACAAGTGCGCCGCGCAGTGCCACTTATTATAGCCTAACCATGTGTAGATTTTGGCCCCTTATTCAAATTATCAAGCATGGAAAGAGCATTTGTGTTCTGCGAGCCATGGCTGGATTATCCACAAAGTAAAGCCTTGCTCAGATCATGGGTGCACAAAGGTGGAATGACTCAAACTTTAATTTGAAGCCATGTGAAGAGAATGCTTTTCTTGTTTTTAACTGCACCATTTTAAGTCTGTCGCTAATTGTAGGTTTGCCTGGAAACCTGTGGGTTTGTTGGGTTGTTTTTCGGACTAAAAGCCTCCAAACTTGTAACAATGCTCTGCTGGTGAGTCTCGCGGTCAGTGACCTCCTCAAGTGCTCCGTGGACACACCGTTGCTCCTCTTCACTTTCCTTCACTACGGTAAAAGCGCGCTGCCGTCCGTGTCCGTGTGCACTCTGCAGCAGTTCACCTACGCCTTGTGCAGCTGTGTCCAGCTGCTCACGCTGGTCAGCATCAGCGTGGAGCGCTTCCAGGCCATCGCCTTCCCGTTTCAGACTGAGAAGAGGAGACTACGAGTCCGCCTCTGGATAATGTCTATCTGGGCATGGGGCTTGTTTCTGGCTCTGGTTTCACTCATGTTGTCCAAAAACGCACTTTTCTACATGCTCTGTCGGCCGCATATGGTGTGGGCCAACGAGGGACACGGCCAGTACTCTGACCCGTTTGGACCTTACGTTCTTGTGCCTGTGTGGGCAATGTCTTTAGTCGTCATTATCATACATTATGTTCGCATATTTAAAGTTGTGAGACAACACCGGAAAAAAGTGTTCAGCCGCGGCGTACAGCTGAGACCAGCAGTGTCCGCACACGTGTGGGACCTGCTCAGTGCGCCTCCTCACGCGGGGCCCTTCAGATCTCTGCCCGCGGTGTCCTCCAGCAGCCCGTTTCCCGCTCGCCGGGGCATGCTGCTCGGGCCCCAAGAGGGCGGCTCCACTGACGGCTCACAGGGCGTAGGCTCCAAGGCTCCGGAGATTGTGGGAGCGGTGTGTCTGCTCACACCAGGCGCCAGGGAACGGGGCAAGAAACAGATGGAGGGAAGACTGGCCCAGCGCTTTGGATACATCATCATCGCCTTCACACTCTTCTGGGTGCCCATCGTGGTAGTTCTGCTGATGCATGTCTTCTTAGGGCAGGAGTCGAGCAGAGTGAGTCTTTAGACACACTAACCCGTCCCTGTTAGGACAATATCTTTTTCATATCTCTGACAATGTTGTCTACCTGCTATTTTGTTTAATAATAAAATGCTATGTTAGATGGCTATTGGTCAAAACATTTTGCCATGCCTTCTTTCAACCAAGGCTAATATACTTCTACTTTTATTTTAATACATTGACAAATATGTAGGCTTACTTTACCATATTACCATGAATAGAGTTTTCAGGTTTTCATAATAGGACTCTGACAATTTTATTTCACTTGAATAATTGATCTGACCAGAACTGAAGAAGCAGTTTGGATGAGCTGTGAAATGTCTTTGATCAAAAACTTTTGTCCAGTTGACAGAACTGAATTTTTCTTTTGCTTTGACTTGAATACATTTGTTGCTAAAATGTCATTTATACCCAAGTAAGGAAATATCTAACATCTTCACTGCTGTAGTTCTTCTGTAGTTTATTTTGTACATACTCAAACAATAATCCATAAGTAGTGAATTAATCATTTATTTTCCAGACCCTGCTGGAGCTGGAAACCTCAGCAGTGGTACTGACGTGTGTGCAGGCTGCTGTGGACCCTCTCATCTACACACTGGTCACCAGGCAATTTCGCTCTGAAATCAGCAAGATCCTCTCCTCCATCCCTGGCTGTCATATTAAGTGATAAGTTTAGATTTGCAAGACATTTGGATGGTACCTTTCAGTGTAAGTCAGAAGAATCAGACTTTCCACAAAGAGATGGAGACAGGTAAAGGCCAGAACCCACAGACTCTGTATTTGTGGCAGATATTGATGTTTTATCAGGCGCTTCACAGTTGGGACACAAGACAAGGTCATAAATAATAGCCAACACCTGACAAGATACGCACAGCAGTAGTCTCAACAACGACAGGTGGCATAAGAGGGAAAAGCAAAAGAGTGAAGAAAACTGTCATAGGCCATAAAGGGACAATCAAAGGAGCACAGAATACAGAGAGACGAGTAATACAAGTACAGACTTCTGTTCTAAATAATAGTACAGTTCTTTGACACTGAGTAAAAGAATACAAAGTCTGTTTTTGAAATGTGACACAACATGACTTATCTTGAAACAGGGAAGTAAGAAATTAAATCCTTGTAATCACAGTCCAGAAAACATTATAAAGTGAATCACGCTTCCTGTTTCATACCCTGTTACAATGTCTGAAAGAAATGTTACAAAGCCATTTTAAAAGTACACCAAAAGAGGTCATGATATGTGCTTGTCTGTTCTGTTAATTCACTGTCTAACTCTATGCTGTATCTAGGCAGTTGTTTTTTTACTGTGCGTTATATTGATACTGCATTATAGCAAGTAACCACTAAAAGGGATGTGTAATAAGTATTTCCCATTTTGAATCAAATACTAACATACTGTACATTAATGACCACACTAGTCTATCAGTGTATCAGTATTATGGCTATTGAATAACATCTGCTTATTTTTAAATTCTCTATTTTACTACTTAAAACATCTTGTACAATGTCATTTATTTGAGCTACTTTCACTGGGTGTATAATTTGGCTAATTTATTTATTGCTTGAAAATCATAACAATGACTGATTGTAGAGAGCTGCTATTTCTGAGCCTTTCCAGTCTCAAGAGGATGTGTGCTTACAGTATCTCACCTCACTTCTGTAAAGCTAAAGGTGGTGCTTTGTCTACCAGGGCTACAGCTGTTCTTCAGTGCTATACCGAGACCTAAGATGAGGTCACTGACAAAGATAGAGCTATAATGTTGGCCTCGCAATGACATTTAAGATGAAAAGGCTGACAAAGCGGCTTTAAATAGGAGGTTTTCAGCGCTAAAAGGTCGGTGTTCATCGTTACAAAGGTCAATTCTGAAAGGCTGTGATAGGAGACATATGGTCCAGTGCTGCAAGAGGGGGGAAATTTTAAATACAAAATGGGACATATACAGGCAAAACATCATGACCATCAGTTTATTTCTGTTGAATTCTATGTTATATTATGTTGATCTAACCCATGTTTCCTATAAGAACTAGCATCTCCTTCAGTAATTTGAGTTAAGGGTAGTGTACCGGTAGTCTTTGCAAACTCAGATACTAACTCATGCAAACCTGGAACACCTGATAAAAGATGCATGTTTTGAGATGCAGTTATCACAATTTGGCTTTAATAATAGTTTAATTAAAACCAAATTCAAAAAGCTTCTTCATAAGCTATTTCTAGTGCTTAATACAATACATTTGCATTGTGCAACATTTCTGGTAGAGGGTCTGTCACCTGCTTATCTTCATGGAAATGTTATAGGTTTGTCTCGAATGTTCCACGGTAGAGATTAATCCTATCTATCTCAAGGGAGATAATTATAGGCTACATTACAGGTCAGATCTGTGGAGAAACAACCCTATTCACAGAGAGAATTATTGTTTTTTTGAGCAATAGAAACACCCATAATAAATAAATGCTAGATAGGTGTGTTTAATGTCATACCATAGAACATTTCAGACAAAGTAATAACATCACCATGGAGACAAGTAGGTGATAGACCCTCCATCAAAAAAGGTGCGTAATGCACCTTTAAGTCTGGATCACAATGTTTCATTCACTAATGAACAAGAAATATTGTGGTTATATTGTTATGCCTGTTTGTTTGGTTTATAATTAAATAGTCTTTTGTCCTACTCTGCAAATGCTGAGGCAGACTTCCCTGCTTCAAGTTCTCCAGAAGAAAAAAGTAAAACAAAAAGTAACCTTTTAAACACCAAATAGGACTTAAAGTACAAACATCAAGTATTCCTAACCACATAGTATACACATACTCAACAACTCTGAAAAATGCCCGCTGAGATCTTGGGGAAGAAAAAGTCAACAGCAATAAAGACTACTGAAAGCATACTGGTGTGCACACAGGAGGTGGGGACAGGACAACTACAACAGAGAAGAGAAAGAGAGAGAGGACAGCTTTACTAGCTCTGCCAAACAATGGTCAAATATTACAAAATAGTCTATTAACAATATTCACAATAATACAGGCTCAGAACAAATTTGTGTCAGAAATTCTCAGCAGGCGCCTTGTGCTTTTTACTCTGATGGTTTGAATCTAAAATATATACTATATTCATATTTTTGGTTCTACATTTGAGTAAGTCAAGGGTTGTAGGAGGGATATTCAGAAATAAAATCTATATAAAAGAAATAAGTCTCTTTACTGTTACAGGCACATATCGTGTAAAAAGGCTTGGAGCTGAGAATTTTAGACAGAAATGTGTACAAAGAGCCCTTTAGTGTGGCAGCTAGTCAAATATACCATACATAGAGCTGTAAGGACTTCCAGAAGGTTTCAATCAATAGACACAAATATATCAGGCATACGCTCTCTCACACACTGAACCAAAACATCACAATTTCTCTATCCCTCATCTGTACTCATTGGTAAATTGATACAAACTACAGACACACCTACCACATGTCTTAATTGTAATACAGAACCTGAATTGTGGCATATTTATCTAATCTAATAGAAGACACCAAACAAAAGGGCAAGATCTGAAAACACTTTCCCTATTATCCCCTGCTGAAAATACTTACTGTATAGCCACGCCAGTGAAAATCATAAAAGGTGCTTTGTGCACAGTGACACATAGAATACTCCGGGATGATCAACACATCTATTCCCAGTCACACTCGCTCTCACAGTCACTCACTATGACCTCTAAAACACAGATATACTGTATCTAAAAGCCATCCTCCATCTGTACAGAGTCTGTGCCGTTACAGTACATGACCAGCAGAGGGCAGGCTCCACCAACGTGAATGCACTAGGCATCCTCAGTCCTCCTCCTCTATCCTATACAGTCCTGTCTGTCTTAAACACCATGACTTTGCTCCACTTTAGTCTTCACAGTGCCGACACCTTGACGACGTTTTGGTGGGTGGGGCCTGTGGGTAGGTGGGCGTCGCCCTCAGGAGTGGTCACTGGTGGTGTGGGAATGCTGATGATGGCTGTGGTGATCTGACTGCCCTGGCAGTTCAGAGGCGCCTGCTCATCCACACGCATGTTCAGACTAGAGCGGCTACAAGAGGGAAAAAAGCAAATAAACATACAAATAATATCAATTAACTGAAATCTAGAATTCTAAAGTATTTGTGCATTTGTTGTACATGCACTAAACCCTTTAAAAACAACATATTACATTGAAACGGCATGGCTTCCTGTTATTTCTGACTTGAAAGAGTAACATCATCATGTCCTAAAATCTGTAAACATCAAACTGCTTTGAGGAACAAGTATTTCTGTACTTCTGCATGCATAGTATTTTCACAGAATTATTATTAAAATTAAACAAACCCCAGGTAATTTATATGAGTGGTGGGCCTACTATATTTACCACATCAACCTAATAACAATAATCCTTTCATCTAGTCCCAGCTCTACAGCATACTACAGGCTTACAGAAGTTGTTGCTCACAGCCTATAGTTTTGTCTTGTCCCCCTCACCTGGTACTGAGGGGCTGGATGTGGATAGTGCTGAGCTCCTGCAGCCCCTGTGTGTGTGTGTGGGACAGAGGCTGCATGTGCGCAGGCCCACTGGCGTTAGGTAGAGGTGTATGGCGCTTCTTGCTTCGGCGGGTGCAGCATGTGCCTGTGACGCCGTCTTGGCTTGAGAGGGAGGGGCTTCGAGAAGGGTAATTCTGTAACCCTGCCTCCAGGTAGCTCTGCTGATAATACTGCTCATCTACAAACTCGTGGTTCTGCAAATGAGAAGCAAAGAGACAGAACACAATTTTATTTAATGGGTAGGTTTAGTTAAAGGGATTATCTTTAAAACACCACATTCACACAGGACTCCTTTTACATTACTTCAAGTCTCTTTTCCGTAATGCACAGGAGCAAATCCATGGCCAACAGATCAACATTTCAAACCATTTATGCTGAATTATTCTCAGTATCATAGTGCTGCATTGTGTTTAATGTATAGTTCATCAAATTACACACAAAAACAGCTTTTTGTATGTATACATGATCAGAGTTGCCAGATATGCAAATTGAAAAACCTATTATGTAACTCCTCCTTCATGTTTCCTCAAGGGGTTATGCAATGCTATACAGAGATAAATGTTCATTGACAGACCCTGCATATTCATGGTATGCACTGAATGATTATAAGAAATGACTTTAACTTTGGGGCAAACATATGATGAAGATACAGTGTTTATGGACCATTGAATGATTCTTTAAATATAGAGGCAGACAGGCGTGCATCTTTAGGGAAATGCAGCGAACTGGACATCAAGTCATACATACAAAACACATGAATCAGAAGTGTGTGCTCATTGCACATGGGCGCCACTTTATCATAACAAGCTTAATCATGCCGAGGGTTGGGAAGGCTGCCTTTTAAAGCTATCTTACTACATGCATGTAGATACAGTTACGACAAAAATATCTATATAATTATCCCAAACACATGATCAGTACTACAAAAACTCAAATCTAGCCTAATTAAGATCACTCGAATTAACAAAGTTTTGTCATGATTTGAGTAGATTTCACTTAACAAGTAAAATTAATAAGACTTTTTGTACTTAAAATATGAAAATACATCTTGCTACACTTAAGATCAGAAAAAACAACAACTCTTTGCAATTAAAATGAGAAACAAAATGTAATGTTGCTTGAATTAAGAAAAACAGTCTTATTTCATTGGTAGATAATTACACTTGTTAAGTTGAATTAATTCAAATAAAGTAGTTCTTAATTTAAGTCATTTTAATTTACCTACATATTGCTTTTTGCAGTGCTTAAAAAGTATGTATGAAGTATAAAATATAGCCAAGATCAATGTTATAAGACACTTTTTAAAAAATCCCAAAACAAACAAAGAAACAAACAAAAACATTAACCCCTTTGCATTTTTGGAAAATTGTGTCAAAATAATGCAGCTCAAATTTGTTAAAGTACTACTTGGACAACTGAGGGATACATAGCCTTGTTAAAGTACTGTTTTTTGCAGCAGTTTACTTGAATGCAACATACAAATCAAATTATGAATCCCTGGGCCTTGTCTTGTCTCTATGTAGCATGTGGGACTCACTGTGGTCTTCTCCAGACAATGCAGCAGGTGGTGATGCTGGCTCTCTATTAGGGAGGTAGATTTGCTCAGGTGCTGTTCCTCCTCATTGGACCCCTGCAAAAAACACATATTTTCATAGAATTTAAAAAAAACACTCATCAACTTTCCCAAATGATCGGGTGTGCGGACGGCTGCTTTCTCTGTACCTGATCTGATAGGTTGATCTTGTATGGGATATGCTTCGTGGGTAGAGGGAGACAAAAAGGGAGAGTTTTACTTGAGGCTTTGGGCTGTGATCATGTCAGTATAACACACATTACTATTCAGATGCTTAGAGACATGTCTGCTAACATCAGTGGAGCCAGAACATTGATCTGAGCTGGAAGCACTACTTTAAGACACACCTAATGGATAGCAGCCCTCTGTAAAGCACTTCGCAATGTGGCATTTCTCTCTCTCTGTACAGTCTATGTATACTAGTTAATTTATTTTTTTTCCTTTTCATTTGGCAATAGGCTGTGTCTTTTCTGTATTTCTGTCTCATCAGGACATTTATTTCACATACACTGTAGTGGTAAAAATGTTTCAGTGTTATATTTTGGAGTGACGGTGAGTCATAGTCGGTTGTACTGCTTCCAATACCTGTGTCTAAAAAGAAAAGCTAGAGAGAGCCAATATTGTTTAATTTTGTCGAGGTAAGAATGTAACATTTTCAACATAAAAAGGACACGGTTTGTGCAATGGATTTGGTAGGTCAGTGCTTTCATTAAAGGTACAATATGTAACTTTTCTGGTGGAGGGTCTGCAAGTACTTCTCTCCATGGAGATGTTTTTGCTCTGCCTGGAATGGTTCAAGCATGTCATTAAACTTCTTGTATTTATAACTAAAACATGAAAAAAAAAAAAAAAAGAGAGAGGGCTTGTCTCTCAACAGATCTGAGCTGTAACGTGAGCTAATGGCGTCACCACCTAGATTAAGTTTAGCGCCATACCGTGGAACATCCCAGACAAAACAATAATGTTTCCAATTGTTAAATAGTGCATCTGTAAAGTCAGTCTATCACTTTCCATATTTTTCTCTTTGGTTACTATTAATATTTTACCATATGAACACAAATGTTACAGTTTTGTTCTATTCATAATACATGTATTTCTGGTGGACAGTCTGCCCTCCACAAGCTTTTGAATCACAGTAAAAAAAAAAATCATTCTATTCTTTTGTAAGGCACAAGAAGATCAATGTCTTTTCCTTCAAAGTGAAATCTATCACAAGGCTTAGTTGAACACAAAAACAACTCAGTACACTACTTCAAACATTTCCAGTCATAACCCCATCCTTCTCCCTAGAACATGTCTGGTGGATTGCCAACACTTGTCAGGAGCCGTGTTTGGGAGTAGTGTCTGTTTCAAATATACACACTTTCAATGTGTTGCATCAGTCTTTTCCCGACAGAATCTGTACTTCAACTGTTTATTAAAAAACACAAATTATACTACCTTGATTATGCGCACTTTAAGATTTGTAGAGGCATTTTTTATATTTACTGTGCATGTATTAAAAGCGTCTTTGCTGAGAAAGGGGTTTCTTGGGAAGGTGACGGTCCTGGACTTGAGTGCTCACCTGTGTATTGTGTATTATGCGGTGACGCTAAGGCGGCAGTAAAACGCAGGTGTTTAGATAGAGTTATTTCAGTCCCTGTGTGAGCAAAGGGCCGTATCAGCACAGTGTCTGGAGGCGGCCCGGATCACCACCCAGGTGGCCAGCATGCTGTAGTGAGGAAACAGCTTGATCTGCAGAGTCACAGAACACTGGCTCTCTGCATGGGACTGTGCATGTGGTAAGTACAATGTAACCTATAAAAATTGAATTGTTTCTCTGTAGCAATCTTTAAAAAAATGTCAGATTAATGTGTGAATTATACTGCTTTATCTAATGACACTATATAACACCCATGCATCCACAAACACCAAATATTGTTCAAAAAGTGACTTAAAGGTGCACTATGTAACTTTTTGGTTGGGGGTCCCTCACCTGCTTGTTTCTATGGATGCCATTGCTTTGCCTGGAATGTTCCATGGTATAGCATTAAACAGCTCTACTTTAGATTTATTCAATTACAGCTAGTTTAATAGCTCAAAAATACCTAGAAAAACATATATTCTGACTGTAAGCAAGGTCGCCTCTCCACAGATCTGACCTGTAACTTAGTCTGGTTTTGTCTCCATGACGATAGAAAAGTTTAATACCATACTGTGAAACATTCCAGACAAAGCATTTAAGAACTCTCCACCAGAAAAGTTACACAATATACCTTTAAAGGATTAAGGATTACCATTGGTAGCTTTTTTGCTCTAGTATACTCTATATGCATAAATACAGAATAAAATGTTTTGTTTCTATTGCCAGTTAGTAAAGTTACCAGAGCAGCACAAACCTCTCTAACAATGAGAATTTAGTTTTCTAAAAATATGTTCAAAAATGATCACTGTGAATAAGAAACATGAGCTCCTTCAAAGCTGCTGGAACATTCAGTGGATACCAATTACAGAACAGAACATGGCATTGACATTGTTCTACAGAAGGCAGATGATTAGAACACTTTACAATAAAAGAATTGTGTCATAACCATTTAATGTACATATGAACGCATTAACTTTAGCATGTGTATTTATAGTGAAGCAAGTGTTTTAAATTTCTATAGCTTCTTAAATGCATTTTAGTCACATTTTATACCACCCAACCATTTCCCAACAAATAGCATGGTTCAAACAGCTTGAAAATGTACTCGCTCCTACACAGAGGCTCAACACAAAAATATGGTGTAGAATTAGTATTGAAGCCAATGTTTTTGTGGAGCTGTGTGTCTGTGTGTGCTCCAGGCCACTAGAGTTTGTGACTGTAGCATTTTGTGAGGCGGGGAGAGGTTTTGTTGTGTTTACATTTTGTGTGTTTTGCCTTGAGCTTGTTGTTCGGTCGGACAGCTGGGTTCAAAGATGCTCTGACTTATCAAATGAGAACACAGTTTGCCTTTCTAGCGGCGACGACCAGCTGGGTGAAGTCTAAGAACTGATAAATTAAGTCTTGTGAACCATGGTTTAAGTGACCGTGCTCTAACCTCAACGCTTCTGTGTTTATAGCAATGTAACTCAGGCAAGTAGGTAGATCTTACAAGTTTTAACCGGGCATGACATAGTTACAAACTGTATAATTGTTAAATATGTCAACTATACTTTATACAACCACAGACTATATAAAGACGTGGACTAAGAGAGTGTGACGTCTCCCATAGTGTTTGGCTCCAGTCAAATGAAGCTCATGAGGATGGGAGTTATAGGTGTAAATTTGGAGCCGATATTAGGAATATGAATTTATTTATGACAAAATTAGAAAATAAAAACACCAAAATCATAAATGAGAGAGAGAACTCGTAATTTTAGAGGGTATGGACATTTCAAATTGCCCAATGATCAAACTAAAAAGGCTTTATGTGGTGTAAAACTCTGGAACAGTCTGGATACACATCTCAAGCAATGCCAAAATATACATAATTTCAAGTTGTTATATAAACATATGGTCTGGTCACAGTATACAGAGAGTGAGTCTTAATATTAGAACATACTGCCTTCTGTAGTGCTGCTTTATGCTTGATGTTTCCTTACCATTGCTGGTTTGTGCTGTCCTTTAACATGACTTGTATCTGTTGTCTGTTATCATTGTTGGTGTCCTTATATATTATTGAAATGCAAGTTATGTTACCAAACTATAACAGTGACTCTTTGCCCGCACTTGTAAATAGCTCATATAGTTTAATGTAAAAAAGCTCACTGTGTTAGATTAGAAGAGTGGGGGTGGGATTAAACAAGTTTTCTTCCTCCCACTCATTTTTGGACAAATTTTTAGTTGTTATTTCTGCTATGAGTTCACTAATGTTATATGTTCCAAGAAAAACAAAGGTGCATTTCTTACTTGCTCAAAATAAATACATAAATAAATAAAACAATAAATAATAAAAACATTTTAAGACCAAAATAACAAGGCTGCAGCAGTTACAGACAGAAGGGGTTAGTTTTTTTCAATGTACAGTCAAATGGAATCAGTCAATAAAGCTTTAACAGTCTCCATTTGGAACATGGTAGGTTAGCCATTTATATATGCATTCTATGTTTATGACGATCTGCTATTTTCGGCGATATTGCCATCTCTTGATTCTCTTCTATGTTCTGTTCTATGCTCAAACACTCACACTCACACTTAGTCTTAAAAGCTACATAACAGCAGCGTATTGAATCATGACTACATCAAAATCACGATGTGGGTCACAATACTACAATGTTTTGTGCTATATAGATCATAGTAAGTATTGAAAACAATTCAGTTTTTTCCTAAATTAATAGTAAATCTAGTATTACCAATAACAGGGCAGTTCAAAGTCAAAAGTAAATATACCAGTGAACCATGCACGTGACATTGTGGTGACTTTCTTACCGTTAACTCCAAGGCTTCATTAAACAGGCCGTTGCGTTTGCCGTGGATGAAGGGACCTGAGCTCCCCGTCTTGGTGATTCGTATTCTGGCCAAACGTGCTTTCTACAGGAATAGAAAAAGACAGATTCAGTAAGACATTCTCCTTCACGATCACGTGTCAGAAGTACCAGGGATTTGACACTTCCCTCTGATTTCAGCTACGACATGCCTTGTTTCATAAAGGTGTGATCTTGTGGACTAAACCAAACAAGATCAACTAAGTCATTCACTTTGATGTGTCATGATGAATTCACTCTGATCTCCTGGAATACTTATGAATCATTTATGCTGACTACACGGTACACACGCTCTAAGGATGAGACCAGTTAGTGCAACAGCAGAAGGAGAATGGCAATAACTGTACTGTAATATGTAGTGCATGGGTTTCGATGGTTGAACTTCTGTTAATGCTTGTCAGTGGAGCTGCTGCTAGGCCTGGCAAAACAATAAATAATAGCCTTTTATTTTCTTCTGCCTACTCATTTTGGGTATCATCTCTGTTGATGATTGACCATTTACAATTTATGAAAAAAAGGAAAAAAGTTGAGTTGCCCAAACGAAATAAATAAAACGATATCAAAATTTGTGAAACATTCCATTTGTGCTGGGGGGTAGGTTTTATTTGAAGTTTTATTTCTTTCTTTATGGTTTTAGATGGCTGAAAACTAAACATTTTTATAATTCATTCTAAAGCAAATTACTTAAAGTAGCAATGTGTAACTTTCTTGTTGGATTGTCTGCCATTTGTCTGTCTGAAGATGAAATTACTTTATCTAGAATGTATCACAAAATGGTGTTGAACTTGTCTATCTTGCCTTTATTCAACTATGAGTGTTTTATTGCCTAAAATACCCTGAAAAACATGCATTATTACTGTGGCATAAAGCGATCTTCAATATTTTTGTTTATATTATGGAAATATTTTTGTAGCGTCATATCACATCATCAATTTGTATGTTTTAAATGTTGTAAACATTTCCAATTTTTAACCAATTTTCTTCATAAAAGTGTCAGCTATGTTATCTATTCTGCACATTCACATTTAGTTAATTTTGCTTTGGTTAGTACAGACTCTAAAAATAGAACAAAACTGGGATCCAATTAAGTGAAATATAAAGTGTGGACAGAGGCAGAGCATTCCTAAGCTGGGTGCATATAAACTGCAGCGGGGTTAATTAAGCATGTGGCTCTTGTTTGCATATCTCAATGTGCACCATGCATATATTCTATACATTTCTATAGCTGAATTTTACTCTGTATATAACATATCATCAATCCACTCAGGGTCTCAACACACATGGCTAAGATTATGAAAATGTATGCTAATTTGTCCTCACCGCTCACTTGGATTTCATTTAAAGCGTGTCAATGTTTGTTGACCTGCAGGTAGCTCAAGCTGTGATTTAGTAATCTAAAACCAGGCAGGGGAGATAAATACATGGACACACTGCTGATAATGCATACTACACAAAAGGCTCAAGCTAAACTCTCCACTCATTTGAAAAACATAGCTGCAAAGTTATTAACTTCATCTGATTGATATCCTTAGTTACACAGACTTGACACACATAGACTATCACAATAACAAATTTTAAAGTACAATATATTGCTGAAGAAAATATAGATGATAAATGATAATATTGAAACTAATTTATGCCACTGACACAAGAACCTTAAAGCAGGATTATCCCAAAAAACAATTCTAAATGTAAAATACAGTAAAAAAAAAATAAAAAATACAAACTACAATAAATAAATAAATAGCAGAATGAAATACTTAAGTAGTTAGTTAGTAGTTAATGAGTGTGTTTACATGCACATCAGTATCCTGGTTATTAGCCATATCCCGGTTATGGCAGTACTCGGAATATGCTGATTACATGTGCGCTGAGAAACCGAGACAGTCATTCCTGTGTACATGATCAAATGGAGTATCTCGGTTTCTTGACATAATCTTACAAATGCGCAAGCACAAAAATATGTTTACTAAACCAAGAAAAATACAAACAACCATGAGCTTCTTTAGCATAGGAAGCATAAATAAACTCATTTTTACAACATATAAACCATAACCACTATCATAGCTGAAACTTAAAACCACATGGCTCTTTTGCATAAACTATAAGTGCTGAAAAAAACAGTTGTTCCTTGTGCGCTGATGCGGTTTAGCTTCTTCGGACTGAAGGACACGACTCAGTGGAATATATGAGTTCTCTCTGTGACAGAGGAATGTTGATGGTCTGATCCGTGCATATGTCGCAGTGGAAGTGGTTCATGTTAAACTTTTCAGAGATCATATGTGTACAAGTCATACGAGTGCAGGTCGTATGTGTGAGGTTGTATGTGTGCAGGTTTAGCGCAGCTCTTTATTTTCCAATCATTTCACTCATGGCTGAAAAGTGTTTGTCTTCTGGACACACGTATGCTCAACTTTATGTTGCAGTATTCGGGATACTCCGTATACATACCACAGTATCCCAGTTACTATCAGAATATCCCAGCTACAGAATCCTGGTTTCTCATAACCGAGACACTGTCTTATTCGGGATATTGAAACAGGGATACTGCGTATACATATACTATGATGAAACCGAGATACTCAAAAAACCCGATCATAACCGGGATACTGATGTGCATGTATAAGCATTCAGTGTCTGTAATGAGTCATAGAAGTTATTTATTCAATCTTCTATAGTTCAAATATATTCATAGTACAGAAAAATAACTAACAGATGCCTACAAAGAAAAAGTCCCCATGATAAATACTGACTCCCCAAAATATTATTGTTCCATCTCTCATATACTGAATGATAAATTGTGCTAGGCCTACCTAGACTTTATGTACAAGTATAGTACTATATTTCATATTTTTTCAAGCAGTTCCCTCTCACTTCTCTTTGCCCTTGACAAGTTTGCTTTTCTGTGCCCTCTTCCTCTGACTCCTATATACACATTTTTGCTGGCGCAGCAGTCCCACAAGCCTTTCGGGATAACCCTACTTTGTGTTCTGGCATTGTGCGTTAGCCAATAGTGCCCTGTCTCTCAGGTCGCCATGCCAACGGAGGCTGTTGTGGCGGTGCTGGTAATGGAGGGGATGCTAAGAACATGTCCTGCTACGTTCAGTCTACTTGTGCAGGCCTCTCTGATAGATTCCCTATGCCTCTGGGACCAAGGGACTGGTTCGGAGGCCCATCTGTGCTTTCAGTGAGAGAGATTGGAATAGGATTCTTGCTGAAGCATCATTCGGAGCACAGAAGAGTCAAAGGAAGTATAGAGAGGGGTGTTTTATTAAGGCTCTGAGTGTGTGGAGGTTACAAGGCTACAGCTCACTAACTCAAGCACACTGTAAATACACCAACATGCAGTCAGTGTCAAAGCAGATGGGCTGAGTGTACGCTTTCATATCACCACCATGAGCCCACCACACACAGTACAATCTCTTAGTATTTTAATGCATTTTAATAACTATTTCATAAGAATTGCATTTGTATTTTTCTAGTTAAATTGTGTATTATATTTATTTGTATTTTTACTACATTAAACTAGCTGTTATATTGAGAGGGCATTGTTTATAACATAAATTTGACCTTGATAAAAGAAAAAAAAAAAGAAAAAAAATTCCACAGCCTTAAGTATGTTTATGTCAGGATATCTCATGTGGAAAACAAAACATTTATTGAAAAACTGGGGATCTTGAATTTCCAAAAAAATAAATATAAAACCAATATTATGTAATTGAATAGTATCACTTCATAATAACTACACTTTATTTAACCAGAATAAAGCATGAGCCAGTACTTAAGACTTATGATGAAGCCTAAATCATCCCTTATAATCAATCTTTGTTCCATGAATTCAGTCTGTTCATGCTTTATAGATAAAATATAAATAAAACAAAGTGCAGCTATTATAAAATGTTTCCCTATGCTTTCCTATTTCCAATTACTGTAAAATTGACTTTTTATTGTGTAACCAGTGGGAATAAAAACTATAATATGTTACAAAGGCTCCCTGTTGTCTCTGATGTATTTAGGAGAATGTTTCATTGAAGTTCAGTTCTGAAACAGATCTCATTGTACCTTATTTACAAAACAATTTTACACCCTGGTGTATGGTAATTACATAGAACAGAGGAAGAGAGCGTATAGTGTAATGAAGAGGCACAAAGGGTGAGACGACAAGATCAAACTAAAATTACACCCTCTACTAAACAGCCAACTCACTGTGTACGCACTTATATTAGCGTACTGTACATGATACGTACATGTGTTTCATTTCTGTTGTCTGTACTATACAATTAACAATTTGTCTAATTCAGTATTACTGGGATACTTGAACTCCTCCACTCGAACTGTTGTGGTGAAGAGGGAGCTGAGTTGAAAGGCGAAGCTCTCGATTTACCGGTCAGTCTTCGTTCCTACTCTCACCTATGGTCATGAGCTCTGGGTAATGACCGAAAGGACGAGATCGCGGATACAAGCGCTTGAAATGAGATTCCTCCGCAGGGTGGCTGGGCGCTCCCTTAGAGATAGGGTGAGGAGCTCAGTCACACGGGAGGAGCTCGGAGTAGAGCCGCTGCTCCTCCACATCGAGAGGAGCCAGTTGAGGTGGCTCGGGCATCTGTTCCAGATGCCTCCTGGGCGCCTCCCTCGGGAGGTGTTCTGGGCATGTCCCGCCGGGAGGAGGCCCCGGGGAAGACCTGGGACACGCTGGAGGGACTATGTCTCCCGGCTGGCGCCTGGGAGGAGCTGAAGGACGTGTCTGGGAACTGCCTAGGCTGGAGGCGAGATGGATGGATGGATGGAGTAGGGATGAGGCACTGACACAATATTTGTATTGGAGATTATCGAATATTTGATGGATCGGATATCGGTTCCAAGATATTGGTTCAATTTGATCTATAAATTTATATAATAAAACGATTTACTGATCAATGTTGGCCCAAAACAACTCATATGATTGAAACTGTATTTTTTCAAACCTGTTCTGTAGTTATACTTAAATGATAAATACCAGTTACAAAACACATTTAGGTAAACAAAGAAAATAAACCATCCAATGCC